CTGCCATCTGCTGACGAGTTATGAAGGTGGAGGCATTACTTTTCATTCAACCTTTAATATGTGTATACACACACACACACACACCTGCCTTAAATACAGTGTTCCCTCACTTATCGCTGGTGTTACATTCCAGGAACACCCACAATAAGTGAAAATCTGCGATGTAGGGATGCCTGGCTCCCCCTCCACTCTTCCTCCTTCTCTTCCACCTCTTCTTCCTCCTTCCTAAATCTTCAAGGTGAGGCTGTTACTGCTGAGCATACTTCGCACGAGCTCTCCTTCCCTATGCCTCTGCCTCCCGGCCGGCCTGCCTGCACCACAAGCATGGTGCCCAGTGAGAACCAGCCGGTCCCCTAAGACGTGAGCAGGCCCTCATCCTCCCGACCCTGTCCCCTCCGCCTCCAGCACCTTTGGCCCTCTGGCCTCAGGCCTGCTCACTTCTTTGGGGACCAGCTGCTTCTCCGCGCTTGGCCCCATGGTGCAGACAGGCAGGCTGGGAGGCAGAGGGAGAGCTCGTGGGAAGCATCCTCAGAAGCAACAGCAGGCTCTTCCTCCGTGCCTGCCTGCCTAAGGGCCAGGGCTGGCCTTTCCTCAGCAGCCTCGCCTCGAAAGAAGGAGGAATAGGAAGAGAAGGAGGAGGAGTGGAGCTGGATAGATGCGGGGAATGCCATGGATGTAGCGTACCTGGATTTCAGGAAGGCCTTCGATAAGGTCCCCCATGACCTTCTGGCAAGGAAACTAGTCCAAATTTAAAGACCTGGAGGCTGACTATGTTTTCCCTGGAATCTGCCAATTAGATATTATCTGAACACATTTTGCAAGACTATCACGATCCATATTTCCCTTTCTGGAGGTATATGAACGTGCCGCAGGGTTCCGTCGTGGGCCCGGTCCTGTTCAACATCTTTATTAATGACTTAGATGAAGGGCTAGAAGGCAGGATCATCAAGTTTGCAGACGACACCAAATTGGGAGGGATAGCCAATACTCCAGAGGACAGGAGCAGGATTCAAAACAATCTTGACAGATTAGAGAGATGGGCCAAAACTAACAAAATGAAGTTCAACAGTGACAAATGCAAGATACTCCACTTTGGCAGGAAAAACGAAATGCAAAGATACAGAATGGGGGACAATGCGCTCGAGAGCAGTACATGTGAAAAAGATCTTGGAGTCCTCGTGGACAACAAGTTAAACATGAGCCAACAATGTGATGTGGCGAGCAAAAAAAGCCAATGGGATTTTGGCCTGCATCAATAGGAGCATAGTGTCTAGATCTAGGGAAGTAATGCTACCCCTCTATTCCGCTTTGGCTAGACCACACCTCGAATATTATGTCCAATTCTGGGCACCACAATTTAAGAGAGATATTGACAAGGTGGAATGTGTCCAGAGGAGGGCGACTAAAATGATCAAGGGTCTGGAGAACAAGCCCTATGAGGAGCGGCTTAAGGAGCTGGGCATGTTTAGCCTAACTCTTTGATCCTATGATTCTATGGAAGGGTAGCCAGGCATTCCTAAATCGCAGATTTTCAGCAACAGCAGCCCAAGGAGCCACTGGAGCAGGAAGGAGGTGGCAGCATGCTTCCCTTGTTCTCAGTGGCGGCCTCCTCTCCTCTTCCTCTTTCCGTGACTCAACCCCCAATAAATTCATTTTTTAAAAATCCCACAAAACAGCGAGTCCGCATAAAGTGAACCACGAAACAGTGAGGGAACACTGTACCATATGTGCAATTTCACAGGGACCATATTAGAGAAGTGTGATTTGTCTTGGTAGGGTTCAGAATGGAGAGTTGTATTCAGTGGTGCAAATGTCCAGGCTCTCAGTATGCGGGGAGGCCAATGGGAATCAAACGGCATGCTAGTCCTCTGCATTGCACTGTATCATCTCCAACAGATTTGGCCCTGCCTTGCAAGTGATTTTCAGAGGCAGCATGTCGCAGCTTGCGGGGAGTAGGGGCACTAACATCAGGGTCCATTGGTGACCATGTTGCTTTCGGAGCACCATCTCCTTCTTGCTTGCAGCCGGCCCTCCTCAGAGAAAGACACAGAAGCGGTCATCGGCTTCCTTTACTGTAATTGTGACCGGAGCTGGTCTTTCCGAGGAGTCTTGGCTCTTACCCCGACTCCTCCTGGGACTCATCGCTAGGAATCGCTGCCTGCCTTAAAACCTGGATTGCAAAGAGGCCTTTGGGAATTGGTAACAAAGAGCTCTATTCCTCTTAGGTTTTGAATGCATTCTAGAAAGTAGTCTTTTGTAAGGGGGGGGGGGGGCATGTAAGCAGTAGGATGGAATAAGCTTTCTATATAACTCCATCCCCACGATGCCCAGTAGTCTTGTAAATAGTTGCATGTCCATGTGCAGGGATGCTGTGGCCTACCACAAGCATAATTATGTAAATATAAATGTAATCTTCGTTTGTGGGACTAACGTAACTCAAAAACCACTGGACAAATTGACACGAAATTTGGACACAAGACACCGATCAGGTCAACAAGTAACCATCACTCATAAAAACATTGAAAAACACAGTGGAATGGACTTAAAAAGCCAAAAAGCAAAAAGATGCTACAGCGCTTGCGCAAAAACAAGTCCCCCTGGCAAACAAAACACATAATAGCATATCCACATTCTCTTTTGGACTACAGCTCCCAGCATCCCCTAGACCAAGCCTTTTAGGAGAGTTGGAGGATCCAAATGCACTGCTTCCAAGCTGCAAACGTTCTTCTCCTTGGATTTCTTTGAGAGCATCCCAATCCCTGTGTATTTCCAATTTCCTGTTCCTGGACTGCAACTCCAAGCAATCCTCCAGATAGATAAGATAGATAGATTAGATTTTTTTTTGTCGTGTCCGGAGCGACTTGAGAAACTGCAAGTCGCTTCTGGTGTGAGAGAATTGGCTGTCTGCAAGGATGTTGCCCAGGGGACGCCCGGATGATTTGATGTTTTTATCATCCTTGTGGGAGGCTTCTCTCATGTCCCTGCATGAGGAGCTGGAGCTGGTAGAGGGAGCTCATCCGCCTCTCCCCGGATTCAAACCTGTGACCTGTCGGTCTTCAGTCCTGCCGGCACAGGGGTTTAACCCACTGCGCCACCGGGGGCTCCGATAGATTAGATAGAGATAGGTAGGTAGATAAGATTGATCAGGAGGACTGCTGGGAGTTGCAGTCGAAGAATAGTTAGAGAATGAACGGGGAGAAAGAGGAAGGGAAAGAAAAAGGGGGCGAAGGAAGAGGAAGAGGAAGAGAAGGAAGGAAAGAGAGAAGGAAAGGAGGAGAGAAAGAGGGAGGGAAGGTTGGCCACAGCAACGCATGGCAGGTACAGCTAGTAATATAATATATTTGTATTCTGCTCTACCTCCCTAAGGGGACTCAGACAGTACATAAACAGAGGTAAAGGCTTCCCATCTTTTTCCATCTCCGGCATCTGGAGGCTGTGCTTCCATGCCGAGGAGCTTTGTTGTCTTTAAACACTCTCCTGATCGAAATGCTGTTATGTCCTTATGGGCGCCTTTTATTCCCTCCCTGCCAAAGCGATACCTATTTATCTAATCGCGTTGCTCTTTTCAAACTGCTAGGTGAGCAGTAGCTGGGCTGATAGCGGGAGCTCACCCCAACCCAGGCTTGAACTGCCGATCTTTCGATTGCCAAGATTTTCTGCAGCTTATGGTTTACCCACTGTGCTAAACCCAGTCCTAGTGACCCTAGCAATCATGACCTGTGCATGTCTGCGTGGGCACCTTTATTACCTTCCTGTTGAGACAGTACCTGTTGATCTACTCACATTTGCATATTTTCGAACAGCTAGGTTGGAAGGAGATAATAATAATAATAATAATAATAATAATAATAATAATAATAATAATAATAATTTATTTATACCCCACCATCTCCTCAAGGGGACTCGGGGCGGCTTACATGAGGCCAAGCCCAACAGAACAGCAATGCACATAAAACAACACACAACAATAAAACCTAAAAATAAAAATAAAATACAAGAAACAATATAAATAAGTACATCAAACAATGTAAAATCTCAATAATTAAACACCGAAAATAAATCACAGTGGGCAGGGCCAGTAGCAAGAATTAAAAGTTTAAAACACTGGGTGAGAAGACAAGGTAATGTATCTGGACAGAGGATAAGCGGGACAAAAGTAGGGTTTAATTTCACTAGCAGATAGAAAATAAAATGCTTCCAAGGGCTTTTTATGCAGGATTTGGTCAGGTCAGGGGTTATAGTTCGGTTACACTGGAATAGCCAAGTTTTCAAGCTCTTCCTAAAGACTGCCAGGGTGGGGGCAGTGAATTCCAGAGCCAAGGGGCCACCACAGAGAAGGTCCTGTGCCTCATCCCCACAAGTCGCGTTTGCTAACAGCGGGAGCTCATCCCGACCTGCGGCTTCAAACTGCCAACCTTTAGGTCAACAGATTAACAGTTTAACCAGCTGTTTGGAATTGAGAGAGTTGAAGTCCAAAACACCTGGAGGGCCATAGTTTATCCATGCCTGGTTTAACACGTGCCACCGCAACCCTCAATAAATTTGCTCCAGGGGTTGAAAGGTGGGCTGAGCTAGTGGTCAAGATCCATCTTGTCTGTCTGCTCAGGCTGGCCGGCAGCTTCCGAAGCAGCGCTTCCCAGAGGAGGGGGTGCTATTCATTTTGTGTGACACATGCTCCCTGGTTGCTTGGTACGATAGCATCCTCATTGTTGTGCTCCATGCTTCTCGACACTCAGGCCCTGGAACCCCCTTCCTGGCAATTGGCCTTTGCTTTCTGGAGATCCATTCTTCAATCAGACCTTGAGACTTGATAATAAAACTCTGCAAATGAAATATCCCAGGCTCTTGGTGACCTAAGAGAACTGGAAGGTCCTGGCCAGGACGAGGTGGAGAAGCATGCCTGATTGTGACTGGCCACCATTGCTAACCTCAATGTGTGTGTTCTCTTCTTGTCTTCTTTCTCCCCTCTGTCTTCTCTCTCTCTCTTTCTGCTCCCACAGCCGGAAGGGCCCTGCTTCACCTACGCGACCCACCATAATCCGACCAGCTGAACCGTCCCTCTTAGACTTATAACCCGAGGCCTAGACACAGCAGCTGGCGACGTGCGCTGTGCCCGGGGGCTCCCTGCCCCACCCATCCATCCATCCCAGCAACCCAACCATGTGCCCTCCCCGCCTCACTCTTTCGCTGCTTCTCTCACCGCTACACCTTCCCCTCCTTGCCTCTCCCCACGTCGTTAAAAATGCTCATTAGTGAGAGAGCTCTTCTTCTTCGTCTTCTTCTCTTGTGCGTCCTGTATTGCTTTGTGAGCCTAGAGTAGTCCTAGTTCAGTGGCATGGGAGACCTAAAGGACGCGTAGTGGCATACGGGAGCGCTGCCGGGCGCCTCCACCTGCTCGGCCTTGCGTACCGCATGGGTTAACCGTAGCCTCTAGCGCCGATCAGTAGCTATGTAGTGACTTTTTTCCTACCATAGTTCAGACGAAACACACGTTTTTTGGTGTTTGCTATTCCAAACAAGGGTGTGAAGACAAAAATTCTCAGCGATGTCCGGTATGTGGATTTGGTTTCAAGTGTTTCAAGTGCAAACTTTGGAGGGCTGTTTCACCTGCTGCTCTCTCCATAGTTGGGGAGGCGTTGCAAAACCATAGGGTCCGTCTTCCAAACCAAGATGGCAAGTGGAACGCAGCGATGCAACAGGCTGCTCTCGCTTCTTTGGGGCAAGAAATGCAGGCTTTTTTGAAGCAGCAAGCATGTATTTGCAACTTGCAACGGACTTTCCGCAGACCCAGATATAGGAGCTAATACACTTTGTCCCTTGCTTCTTTGGGGTGAGAGATGCAGGTTTTTGGGGAAAGCTTGTATTGGCAATTTACGACGGACTTTCCGCAGACCCAGGTATAGGGCCTAATACACCTTATCCCTCGCTTCTTTGGGGTGAGAGATGCAGGCTTTTTGAAGCAACGAGCGCTTATTACGACGGACTTTCCGCAGACCCAGATATAGGGGCTAATACACCTTATCCCTCGCTTCTTTGGGACGAGAGATGCAGGCTTTTTGAAACAGCGAGCGCTTATTACAACGGACTTTCCGCAGACCCAGATATAGGGGCTAATACACCTTGTCCCTTACTTCTTTGGGGCGAGAGATGCAGGCTTTTTGAAGCAGCGAGCGTGTATTACGATGGACTTTCTGCAGACCCAGGTATAATACACTTTTATCCTCCCTGCAAAAAAACAAAAAACCGGACGAGCTTGCATTCCCAGGAGTTTGCTGTTGTCAGTGTTTTAATGCAACGAATGACCTTTGCTTCAGACCAACCCAGCAACTACCAAAAAAACACCGTCCTTGTTTGTGGTCTTGAGTATCCTGGTGACTTGCAATAACCTTTAGTGCTTGCATGCGAGTGGTACTTCTTTGTAATGTGGGGGGGGAAATGTTTGTCTCACTGCAAAGTTTGGACTCTCGTCCTCTCCTTATCGATATCTGCTGAGGGGTGAATGCAAATGCATTTAAAGAAAAAGAGAGCCTTCTGTCACCCTGTCCCTCCGACAGTCAAGTTCAGCCACTCGCTTTGTAAGTCTTCCAACCATCCCAACTTACAATTCCCGTTCTTTTATTATTCTGGTGCTGTTGCTTTTGATTTTCTGTTGACGATTCTCTCGACACCAAACTCCGATGTCTGTTTCCTCCATATTTTAACTATGGTTTACTTTTGTTTTTGTCCCTTTCCCACTCCCTTTCTCTCTCTCTCTCTGGTTTAATTTGGTGTGTTTGTCTCTGTGTTCTTGTCTCTCTTTCTTTAAATTCCAGCCGCCCTGGCAAAGCTAGCCCCTCTCGTCCGGAGAGTCCAAAGCCACCCTTTGACATGTAACCCTCTTGAGATCCATCTCTTATCTGCCTCTTAGCTGTTCTGTCCTGGAATGGTTCAACGCACACACAAAAAACCCCCAACACACGGCTTTGTTCTGTCGTAGCTTGTGGCTTGCAATGCACATATCAGACGTGACTCTAGTGAAACTGGTTCTTCTTCTTCCTCCCGGTTGCTTTCAAGGAACTTTAAAAAATCCCACGTTATAATATTGTAGTCATGAGAAACATATCTTTACTGTTATATAAATATATATATAAATATCTCTATATATAAAGAACAAAAGTCTATATGGTTGTCCAGATGTTTTAAGCCTTTCATGCTTCCAATGTTGACTTTAGCAAATACTGGAGTAGGAAGAGTCTATATATATATATATATATATTGTACACATGTGCACCTGGCAAAATCTCGCCCAACCTGAGCCGCCGCCGCCGCAGCAGCCGCCGCAACCCTGAGAGGATCCATCCTTTGCTGTCCTCCATTGGCTTGTTCTGTGGCCCTCAAAACTGTGGGTGAATCTTCGCAGTGCTAGTGGTACCCGTCATGCCGTCTGTGATCTGTCAACTCTTGTTTACTGGCTGAAATAAAACTCTCATTTCTGTATAATGGAGGCTCCATGCCAAGAATAAAATTCTCTCTCAGTGCTTCCAGGCTCTTCTCTTCATGCTGTCAATTGTCTTTCTGCCACGGTGGGTGGGGAATGTGTTGTCAGAGGCTTTCATGGCTGGAATCCCTGGGTTGCTGTGAGTTTTCCAGGTTGTCTGGCCATGTTCCAGAAGCATTCTCTCCTGACATTTCGCCTGTATCTATAGCAGGCATCCTCAGAGGTTGTGAGGTTTCTTGGAAACTAGGCAAGTGGGGTTTATCTACCTGTGGAATGATGTCCAGGGTGGGAGAAAGAACTCTTATCTGCTTTTTTTGGGTCGTGTCAGGAGCGACTTGAGAAACTGCAAATCACTTCTGGTGTGAGAGTACTGACCGTCTGCAAGGACATTGCCCAGGGGACACCCGGATGATTTGATGTTTTTATCATCCTTGTGGGAGGCTTTTCTCATGTCCCTGCAAGAGGAGCTGAAGCTGATAGAGGGAGCTCATCCGCCTCTCCCTAGATTCGAACCTGCGACCCGTTGGTCTTCAGTCCTGCCGGCACAGGGGTTTAACCCACTGCACCACCAGGGGCAAGTGTGCCATCTTGATTAGGATTTAATGTCCTTGTAGCTTTAAAGCCTTCAAAGCCTGGCTTTCTTCCTGCCTGGGGGAATCCTTTGTTGGGAAGTGTTAGCTAATTGATTCTTGCCTGGAATTCCCGTTTTTTTTTAGTGTTGCTCTTTATCTGGACATCTGAATATTGCAATTGGCCAGCTTGATTATCATAGAATAGCCTTGCAGCTTCAAAGTCTGGCTGATTGCTGCCTAGGGGATCCTTCATTGGGAAACGTTAGCTGTCCCCGATTGTTTCATGTCTGGAATTCCCCTGCTTTTCAAGTGTTGCTCTTTAATTACAGTCCTGACCACATCAGCTCTAGTTTCAGATGCAGAACATATGCCATCCAGTAGTCGCCATCTGCTCACCCACAGAAAAATATATTTAATAATCCAGAGCTCATGTGGTAGTCGCAATCTTTCGTGGGTAGTCAGCCTCTCCCCTCCCAACATCCCCATTGTCTTGACGCTATAAGAGGGTTTTGCAAGACCAGTCGCTCTCGTTGCCATGTGGCTTTGAGGTAATGCTGTAGTAATGGTGAGGCCATTGACCATATTTTCATTCTTACAGACCACTAGTGGTCCACAGACCACAGGTTGGGAACCACTGATATAGTGGAAGAAAAGCGGTGGTGAGATTAAACTGAGATTAACTCTCCTAAATTACTTTGTGAGGGTGGCAATACAGTCTTATCCCAGCATAGAATACATATCTGCATGCGGATTTAACCTATGCCAGCACGATGCAGAATCACATCTCTATAACATCTGCGGTGCTACAGACATGAAAAGCATGCCAGTCAATGTGAGGAAGAGCAGCTATTTCATGGATACGTCAGTGCTCAGCGACAGACATTAGGACATTCTCTCCCTGGGACATGGGTTGCTCTGATGTGCAATGACGGATTTGTTTTGCCTTTGTGAAATCCTAACAAAACCTGCGGATGAAGAGAACTGGAGGCTGTAACCCCGCCCACTGGCTACTTATACTGGCCTACAGCCAGAAATGTTTAATAGAATTTCTAGAAGGTTCCGAAAGCTGTTCTGCGCAGGCGCAGGAATTACCATATGTGCGATTCACAGTTGACCACAATGGGAAATCAAATTTAGCCTCCACCTTTGAGACAAATCAACAGACCGGAATGGGCAGCCTGAATAATCGGGATGGGTAACCAAACCCTTAGCGATGCATTTTTCGTGCAACCAGTCCCTCTCCAAAAAGTAGACAAAGCTGTTTTGCCTCTTCCGAGAGTAACATACGGAGGATGCGACAGGTGGAACAGGTTTATTCGGAAAGAACAAATTTGTAACAGGAATTAAATAATCTCTGCCATAGAACTCAAAAGCGTTTTCTAATCAGGGTTTTCCTTTCACATTCTTGGAAAACCAGACACCCAATAAATATCCCCCAGTTCTATATTCCGTCCCATTCCTTCCCCTGCCCCACTACTGACGTTAGATCATTTGACTTTATAATACAAGGTTATAAGGAGCCTCCCGGCAGCTAGAAATGCAGCCAAGGGACTCCTCTCTTCTTTATTTCAGGTATGTACAAAATGTTACACATACACACTATGTACACTTGTGCAAACAGTTCACGGGCCTGTTTTGCTAGTGCCCTGACACAGCGCGCCAAAGGGGTTAACACTGAATTAAAACCGTTTGCGGTGCCAATTTCTTGGATGTCTTCTGCATTCAAGAATATGGAAGAGTACAGTGATTTCGTTTACAATCGCGCCCCAGGCTCGGCAAACTGGGCAGGGATGGGAAGGAAGCGGATTTATTGTAAAACTTCCCTGTGTGCTTTTCTCTTTGGCTGGATTGCTTCTCGCAGGTTCTGCTCTGATGGAAATGGAATCACTAATGACCGAAGGGACTAGTTGGGAAGCGCAATGCAGCAGCCAACCCGTCTCTGGCAGATTGGTGGTTCCTTTTTTCTCCACTCATATCACTACACAACAATTTGCACACCGCTCATGTGCAAACGACTAAAGATAGAGCTCCTGCTTCAGGTCTGTTCCTTCTGCACATACTCGCAATGCTCTTTTCAGTCGCCGGCACATCATGCTCCTTGCATAGACCCCTTCGGCCTTGTTCTGCACTGGAGTTCGCCCCAATCCCGCCTCTCAAAATCACGCAACCCAACAAATAAACAAGACCCCACTACAAGTAGTTGGATTTCCAGAAATCAATACAAAACAGGTTCATTTCTCCAGTGATCTGATTTTGTTTTTACTAGTTTTCCCCATCTTTTAAAAATAAATAAAATCCTCCAACACAAGACGCCAAAGTTATCTCGCCATCCAAAGTGCAGTCGTATTTCCATCCCACCCTCAACTCATCTTCACCAAACAGCCACAAGCCCAAGCAAAAGGGTAGCCGGAACCAAAACACACCAATGTAGCCTTTCTCCTTTGGTCAGAATTGAAACAAAAAAGGGTTTTGCTAATGGAGGCTGTGAGAAAGCCTCTTGTTTCGGAGAGAGCTATCGATCTGGCTATTAGGCTGGAAGGGCTGAGAACCCAAACCATCTGTCCTGGAACAAACTGGTGGGAAAACTAGAGGTCAAATGGGGAACAAAGTCATGAAACGGAAGCCAGGAGAACCAAGTTGCCTCCCGAGTTGCTCCCGATGGCCAACGTGATCTGTTCAGAGCAGCAAAAGGGAAGGGCCAGCACAGAACTGCCAAGCCCTCGCCTCCTGCTCCGCTCAGCTGTGACCGGCCTTGGCTGTTGCTGCTTCAGGACAGAGAAGGCAGGCCCTTTGGGTCCTCAGCAGCTTCTGCGCCCAGCTACACCACCATAATCTTGACCTCGTCGTTCTCGTCGGCCCGGTAAAAGAAGGGGATGCAGGGGTTCTCCAGCAAAGAGCCGGGCCTCTCCCGAGGGTTCTGGATTTCGCGGAGAAGTTGCATGATCTGCTTGGCCGTGGGGTCCTGAGGAGCAGGCGCGGGGGCCTGGCTGTCAGCGCCGGTGGGACAACGGGGCGCAGCACCAGCGGGTTCCTGGTCCGGCTCATCGGCCAAGCTCACTTCTCGCAGCCCTGCAAGGGAAGGGGAGAGAGAGGTGGCATCGCAACTCCAAGAAATACCAGGCTTGCTAGCCTCTAATTCTCTTACTGGGACATGAGTTGCTCTTTTCCAATGGGGAACTGGACCCTTGGCTGTTACGGCTTCAGTTTCAGGGCAAAGCCAAAGCATTGAGATTAAGAATGGAGCTGAAGATACGAGGGTTGAATGAAAAGTAATGCCTCCACCTTCGTTACTTGGGTTTGGATTTTTTTTTTGGGTCGGGTCAGGAGCGACCTGAGAAACTGCAAGTCACTTCTGGTGTGAGAGCATTGGCCGTCTGCAAGGACAATTGTCCTGAATCAATCTGACAATTGTCCTGAATCAATCTGTCAACCTCTTACTTGTGAAACTTGGTGGTTGCTGTCACAGGACGTCCAAGTCTTTCTTTGTCATGGAAGTCAGATCTCCTTCCCTCTTTTCTCCCTCTTTCCCCTTCCATCCTTCCTTCCCATTTGTAGTTCCTTCCTTCCCTCTTTCCTTCCTCTCTTCATCTTTCTCCTTTCTCCAGGGGATGCCTGGATGATTTGATGTTTTTATCATCCTTGTGGGAGGCTTCTCTCAAGTCCCCGCATGAGGACCTGGAGCTGATAGAGGGAGCTCATCCGCCTCTCCCCGGATTCAAACCTGTGAACTGTTGGTCTTAAGTCCTGCCGGCACAGAGGTTTAACCCACTGCACCGGATGGGAATATTTTAATAAATCAAACGCAGAAATAATCCTTAGAATGTGCTCTTTAACTACCACTATTCACTTTGCCACATAATCACCAGACAACTGGATAAATTTCTGTCAACAATGAACAAGTTTTCTGAAGCCGTCACGGAACCTTCCTGGGTACCCATCGTGCACAGATCTTCTGATAGCCAAACGAAGCAATAATGTGACCCACACGTTCTTGCAAAATGCCGATTATGCTTGAAATTTCTCTCTGAGTGATAAGACAATTGTCCTGAATCAATCTGTCAAACTTTTACTTGTGAAACTCAGAGGTTGCTGTCACAGGACGTCCAAGTCTTTGTTTGTCATGGAAGTCGGATGTTCCCATCTCAACATCTTTAAACTTAATTGCCCAACGATGCACAGTACTAACATCAACACAATCACCATAAACAGCTTGCATTCTCTGATGAATCTTCTTTGGGGTGACACCTTCTGCTGCCAAGAATTCAATGATTGCACGTTGCTTAAGTCGCATTGACCGACTGTCTGCGCAGGGTTCCATACTTCACACTTTAACAACACAACCGTTCAATGCTAATGCTTCCCGCCAAAATGGAACTGTAGAGGAGAGTCTACTGAACAAGCCGCATACCAATACTGCCATCTGTTGAGGAGTTACGAAGGTGGAGGCATTACTTTTCATTCAACCCTTGCAAAAGCATGAAACATTGTTAAAGGGGGAGTCTATTTGTTGTTTGTTGCCTGAATAGTCTGCTTTTCCTCCAATGAGTTCGGAAATGTGGCACTGGAAGTGGTTTTCCTCCTTACTTTATTTTCACACCAACTGAGCAGCACAGTCTGGTTTGGAGAGTGTGACTAGCTTAATGCAATCTTTGCATAGGTCCAGAGAGCATCACATTGGGGAGAGCATCACAATGATAGCACTCCCCCCCCCCCCCCCCCCCCCCGCCGCCAATTTCCCACCACTGCTCACCTTCTTTATCAGTAGTGTTGAACTCCAAGTGCCTCTCCTCTGTATCGGCAGGATTGCTCTCAGGGCCAAGTTGTAACTCCATGTTCTGTGTGGCCGCCATGTACTTTGCATACCAGTCATTTCTCTCGCCCACCAAGCGCATCACCAATTCCTGCAGCTCCATTAACTTCATCTGGAAAAGATGGAGGGATGGGAGCAAAGAGAGCCACTCAGAGCCAGCTGTCGACACAGAGCACCCACTTCTTCCCCCCAATTGTGATCAAGCGGGGCTTTGCTGTTGTGAAAACTTTCTGCTCATATGTATGGATGCATACATCAAGGGGAACTACTGACCGCATAGGGAAGCTGATGAGGAAACACAACATACAAACTATTTACAGACCCACCAAGAAAATCCAACAAATCCTACGTTCAGGAAAGGACAAGAGGGATCCTCTCACTTTTGCCGGAGTCTACCGTATACCATGCAGCTGTGGACAAGGCTACATAGGGACCACCAAACGCAATTATGACCAATCACAAATCAAGGAACATGAAAGGCGCTGCAGACTCACTCAACCAGAGAAGTCGGCCTGGTCAATCGTAAACCGGATCGGGGTATAGGGTGGTAACCTGTGCTGGACGGGGTTACACTCCCCCTGAAGCCACAGGTCCGCAGCTTGGGAGTCCTCTTGGATTCATCACTTACGCTTGAGGCTCAGGCGTCGGCGGTGTCCAGGAGGGCTTTTGCACAACTAAGACTTGTGCACCAGCTGCGACTGTATCTCGCAAAGGCTGATCTGACCGGGGTGGTCCATGCCTTAGTCACCTCTAGGTTGGATTACTGTAATGCGCTCTACGTGGGGCTGCCCTTGAAAACAGCTCGGAAATTCCAACTGGTTCAACGGGCGGCGGCCAGGATGTTAACTGGCGCCCCTTACAGAGAGAGGTCAACCCTCCTGTTCAAGGAGCTCCACTGGCTGCCGTTTACCTACCAAGCCCAATTCAAGGTGCAGGTGCTTACCTACAAAGCCCTAAACGGTTTGGGACCTGCCTACCTGCGTGACCGCATCTCCGTATATGAACCCATGCGCTCCCTCCGTTCATCCGGAGAGGCCCTGCTCACGATTCCACCTGCGTTGCAGGCTCGTTTGGTGGGGACGAGGGACAGGGCCTTCTCTGTGGTTGCCCCCCACTTTGGAACACCCTCCCCAAAGACATTAGACTAGCACCCACGTTGGCAGTCTTTAGGAAGAACTTGAAGACCTGGCTATTCCGATGTGCCTTTCCGGAATAGGATAACCTCCAGCACTATCGTCCCAGAAGCACTTTATTAGAGCTTAAGACTCTCTGCACATTGCACTTGCCCAGAATCCCAACATATCACCTCTTACACCCAGCACTTTTTAACCTGTACCCTTCATTGGCCCGGCCCTGGTTTTATTGCGTAATAGTGTAATGTTTTGTTGTTGTTATTGCTTATGTTTTTAATTTGCTTGTTTTGTATAGTTATTGTATGTTGTTGTTGTTTGAGGCCTTGGCCTTTGTAAGCCGCATCGAGTCCTTCGGGAGATGCTAGCGGGGTACAAATAAAGTTTAATAATAATAATAATAATAATAATAATAATAGCAGAACACCTGATGAACCAACCTGGACACAGCATATTATTTGAGAACACAGAAATGCTGGACCACTCTCACAACCACCATGTCAGACTACACAGAGAAGCCATTGAAATCCACAAGCATGTGGACAATTTCAACAGAAAGGAAGAAACCATGAAAATGAACAAAATCTGGCTACCAGTATAAAAAAACTCAAAAATTACAACAGCAAAACAACAGAGAGTAAACAATCAGGCACATCTAATCACCTCTCAACAAAAGATTACCCAAAGGGCTCCACTGCCAGGCCATCAAATGCTAATCAAGGTGGTCAGTTGAAACATTCACACCTATCCCTTACAGACAAGAGTTCTTTGTCCCACTCTGGTCATTCCACAGATATAAACCCATTTTCCTAGTTCCAACAGACCTCACTACCTCTGAGGATACTTGCCATAGATGCAGATGAAACATCAGGAGAAAATGCCTCTAGAACACGGCCATATAGCCTGAAAAAACCTACCAACAACCCAACCTACATAGTGTTTTCCTTAATCTGGACAGGGCACTATCCTTCAAAGAGGTCGTGCTGCCCTAAACAAGATGCAGACCGAGTGTGGGGTTGAAGTGAAGGGCTGTGCCAGGCTTTCTCTTTCAGCGCCATGATGTTTTGCTCACCTTCATTTCCTCCTTGTCCTGGGCCAGTCGGCTGATGTATTCCTCCTTCTCCCGGTGGCGCTGTTTCAGGATAGCCCTTTGGCTCTGGTACAGGGCAATGTATTCACCTAGAGCACAAGAGAGATGGATCAGGTTGAGAAGAAGAGCCACATGTTGTCGTACTCCAGAGCAGAATCACCTCTGACTTTCAACACCACACCAGCTGGGTAATATCAGCAAGCAGTTTATTTAGGGATATATGTAGCCAAAGCAGTAAAAAGTATTCCACAGTAACAAGCAATCCAATTGATACAAAGGAAGACAGGAACAAAGAGTCCAAGGAAATCCATGAAACTTGGCACTTGAATCCATGAACAATACAGAAGCAACATGAGCTAGGCAGACCTTGTTGCTTGAAACTTGGCATTCTGCCGATGTTGCCTCAACTGAAGCAATCTTTTCTCACAAATCATTTATAAACTCTTCCCTGACTCCCAAACTGCGAGGAATTGATTCCTTCTTAGTTTCAGTTTACTATCTATCTTCTGTTGAAGCCTAGCTGAAGGTCTTAATTGCTGCATGGACTGCCTCTGTTTACGAAAACTTCTTTTCCTGTTCAAGGTCTCACTCCCCTCATTAACTTCTGCACCTGGTTCCTCAAAATCAATTTCATTCTTAGGTAACTGTGGCGAAAGGCCTTTCCCAAGCCCAGGACCTTGAGAATCCTCTTGCAGCATCTCAGTCCTCTCTTTTAAACTCCATTCAGGCCCAAGCAATCCCTCATCCCCAAAAACATCAGACCCTGGCCCAGGAACCAGATCAACATCCCTATTCCCTTCATGAACATCAACATGAGCATCCTCCCCATTTTCATCATGAACATCATCCCCATTCTCATCATGAATATCAACATGAACATCAGACACAATCACAGGCTGAACAGGTTGGGATTTATGGAATGAAAACTTCCAATCCACAGCCAGGAAGACCAAGCTCTTTCACCCTCCTTTTTTGGGTGCATATGGGGGAGAGACTACACAAACTTCAAAGGCATGCTCAGGAGCATGGCAAAACACCCAAGAGTGCATAGGGCCTTGGGGGAAAGAGCACCATTTTGCCAAAGCCTTGAGGAGAGTACCCGGCCTTACCTATCGTGTCTGTTTCTCCCGACAACTGTATGCAGCGGTGCTCCAGCTCTTCCACTCGGTCCTTCAGCTCTGCCTTCTCACGCATCAAATCTGTGAAACGGGACTAAAAACCCAAGAGACCAATGGTCACTGAGGACAGGTGGAAGCAAAGGGCGAAAGCTGAGCCCTTCTGCCACTGCACAGTCTGACAAGTGGCACCCGTTTGGGTTCCCGGCCCAGATGTGATCTCCCCAGACTCACCTGTAGCTTCTCCATGGCACTTTTTAAGGCCTCATGAACCTCCCCTGGAACAGAATCTGCACCAGAGACTGGAAAAGACCAGGAAATTCAGCATAAGAGACTGAAGAAAGGACTTTTTTGGCAAGGACCCCCATTTATTTATTTTATTTATTAACTTTATTTGTACCCCGCTACCATCTCCCCAAGGGACTCGGTGCGGCTTGGATGAGGCCAAGCCCAAACACAACAATACAAGCAATAAAACATCAATACAAACAATTAAAAACATAGACAATAAAATACACAACATTATCAGAAAAGAACACATAATTAAAACAGCGGGAGGCCAAATGTAGAGTTAAAATTGTAAATAATGCTGGGCCATGAATGCAAGGTGATACTGGTGTTTGTGGAAGGCATACAAACAGACTCAGGGAAATGTAAAGTGCTTTGGAGGACAAAGTGCTATGGGATCATTATTCCGGGAAGGCACATTGGAACAGCCACGTCTTCAAGCTCCTCCTGAAGACTGCTAGAGTTGGAGCCTGTCTGATATCTTTAGGGAGTGAGTTCCAGAGTCAAGGGGCCACCGAAAAGGCCCTCTTTCTCATCCCCACCAAACGCGCCTGCGATGCTGGTAGGATCGAGAGCAGGGCCTCTTCGGAAGATCGAAGGGATCATATGGGTTCGTATGCAGATACACGATTGTGTAGGTAGGCAGGTCCCAAACCGTTCAGGGCTTTGTAGGCGAGAACCTGAACCTTGAATTGGGTCCGGTAGATGAATGGCAGCCAGTGGATCTCCTTGAACAGGAGGGTTGACCGCTCTCTGTAAGGAGCCCCAGTTAACAACCTGGCTGCCGCCCATTGGATCATCTGAAATTTCGGGGCCGTTTTCAAGGCCAGTCCCACGTAGAGTGTATTGCAGTAATCCAATCTAGAGGTGACTAAGGCATGGACCACCCTAGCCAGATCCGCCTTCACGAGGTACGGTCGCAGTTGGCGCACGAGTCTTAGTTGTGCAAAGGCCCTCCCGGCCACCACCGACGCCTGAGCCTCAAACCTAAGTGAAGAATCCAGGAGGACCCCCAAACTGCAGACCTGTGACTTCAGGGGGAGTGCAACCCCGTCCAGCACAGGTTGCCACCCTATACCCCGGTCTGCTTTACGATCGACCAGGAGGACCTCTGTCTTGTCGGGATTAATCTTCAGCTTGTTCGTCCTCATCCAGACAGCCACAGCGGTCAGGCACTCGTCTAGCACTCGAGGGGCTTCCTTGGAGTTTGGTAGAAAAGAGTAGTAGAGCTGTGTGTCATCTGCATAGAGATGGCACCCAACTCCAAAACCCCATGCCCACACATGGATACACCACTGTCTCCCAAAGCAGTTGCTCTACTCTGAACTCAAGAACAGAAAACGGAATGTTGGTGGGCACGAAAAGAGATTTAAAGGTGGGCTCAAAGCCAACCTTCAAAACTCTGGCATAGACACTGAGAACTGGGAAGCCCTGGCCCTTGAGCGCTCCAGCTGGAGGTCAGCTGTGACCAGCAGTGCTGCAGAATTTGAAGAGGCATGAATAGAGGGTGAAAGAAACGTGCCAAGAGGAAGGCGCGTCAAGCCAACCCCAACTGAGACCGCCTTCCACCTGGAAACTGATGCCCTCACTGTGGGAGAAGATGCAGATCAAGAATAGGGCTCCACAGTCACCTATGGACCCACCAGAATACTGATCCTGGAAGACTATCCTACTTGGCCAAGGAGGGATCGCCTAAGTAAGTAAGTACACATCCCTTCCCACAGCGGACACTCACCTCCTGCTGTGGTGACATGCAGCTGTTGCTGCTTCCGGAGCGTTGCAATCTGCTGCAGGAGGCCTCGGCATTGCCTCTTCTGCTCAGCCAGCTCTTGCCGCATCTCTTCACGCTGGGACTCCGCTTGGGTCAGGGTGGAGGTCAAGAAGGCAACCTAAGAGGCAACCCCGGGAGCATCAATGATTTGTTATGAAGAGAAAAGTGTGATGGTGATGGGGGTTTAAACACAGTACAGCTCCTTTACAGATGGACCCCAGGGCAAAATATATCTGTCAAAACAAGATCCTTGGCGTCTCCTTACTAAAATAGTTGTCCAGTTGTATCGTCAGACATTCCATATATTCGTTTACGTCTAATTATGCTCCAGTAGTAGAAGCTTGCTCGAAGAGCCAAGTCTTAACCATTTTGCGGAATGTTAGACGGGAGGGAGCCGATCTTATATCCCTGGGGAGGGCATTCCATAGCAGAGGGGCCATTACTGAGGAGGCCCTGTCTCTCGTCCCCACCAAATGCACCTGCAAGGAAGGCGGGATCTAAGACAGGGCCTCCTCAGAGGATCTTAAAGTCCTTGATCCTACAGTTTAGATGCATCATTAGATAAGAAATCCATGCAACTACCCCAAGGAACCATCCAACAATTTATTATGCCCTCCACATTTTGCTCTTTGAATGAAATAGTACTTTCTGAGCCCTCATGTACAACACAAAGTCCTTTAAGTCCCAGGGGTGGAATTCTCTAGGAGCCCTGAAAAGCTCTTGGAGTCCTCGTGGACAACAAGTTACACATGAGCCAATGATGTGATGCGGTGACAAAAAAGCCAATGGGATTTTGCCCTGCATCAATAGGAGTCTCGTGTCTAGATCCAGGGAACTCACGCTCCCATGACCAACAGAAAATACTAGCAGCGTTTGGTGGACATTGACTTTGAGTTTGGGAGTTGAAGTTCACCTACATCCAGAGAGCACTGTGGATTCAAGCAATGATGGGTGTGGACCAAACTTGACACGAATACTCAGTATGCCCAAATGTGAACACTGGTGGAGTTTGGGGAAAATAACCCTTGATATTTGGGAGTTGTAGTTGGGATTTATAGTTCACCTACAATCAAAGAGCATTCTGAACCCCACCAACGATGGAATTGAACCAAACTTAGCACACAGTTCTCTCATGACCAACAGAAAATACTGGAAGGGTTTGGTGGGCAGTGTCCTTTGGTTTTGGAGTTGTAGTTCACCTACATCCAGAGATCACTGTGGACTCAAACAATGATGGATCTGGACCAAACTCTACATGAATACTCCATATGCCCAAATGTGAACACTGGTGGAGTTTGGGGAAAATAGAATCTTGACATTTGGGAGTTGTAGTTGCTGGGATTTATAGTTCACCTACAATCACAGAGCATTCTGAACCCCACCAACGATAGAATTGGGCCAAACCTCCCACACAGAACCCCCATGACCACCAGAGTGGGCCACAGCAACGCGTGGCAGGGGACGGCTAGTGCAATATAGTATGATTCTATGAAAACTGTCTCTATGGACTGGCCCTTGTGAGCTACCTTGGAACGAAGAGCTGCAAGGGGAACAACATTATAATAGGATTCAAGAAAGTGCTTGTAAATTTGGAGTTCTGCAGTAGACATAAGAGGAGTGAACAGTGTGACTGACTGGCTGCCAGGAGGAAAGAAGGGCCTGCACTTCCAAAGCTGCTAAATTATTCTCCATTGATACAGCTGCAGTCAGGGAAATTGAGAAGACCCGCCGCTACTCACCATTTCCTCTTTACTGTCAAAATCATCTGGGATGGTGAGTGGAGGGGTGTTTTGGTCCTCCATGGCCTCTTCCGTTTCTACTCCGTCCCCTACAGACGAGAGATGAACAGAGGTGCTAGAACGGCCCCTTGAGGTCAGCCCTTCTGAGTCCTCTCCACTTGAGGAAGAGACCTCACGCTCACCTTGCACCCTGGGAAGCGCCTTGGCGTCCAGTTCGGCCATGAGATGGCTGACATGAGCTTGCAGCTCCTGGTTCTCCTTGGCCACCGTCTCCAAGCTTTCCTTCAAAAGAGAAGTGGCAGATCTTTGAAACAGAAACCCAAAGCACAGCTGACTGGATTAGACAGGACTAGACTATCCAACACAAAGACTGGATGGCTTGGGGATTGGGCTATAAATCTGCCCTCAATGGGTGTCAGAAATATTAAAAATTAACTAGGTATTTTTAATTACAAAAATGTGAGTCAAGCACTGAAGGGGTTAAATGGATGCAATGACTCAGGAAAAGCTGAGTTCAATATAAGCAGATGTGCCTGTAGCTTAGTAGCCATCAGTCGGAGGGAGCCCTCAGTGTTAGCAGACCTTAGTCTGTGAAAGGCCTCAGTGTTAGTTCACCCCCAGTCTGTGAGAGTTATCTGTGGGAGATGGGCCTCAGTGTGTTAGTAGGTCTCAGGGTTCGTTCGCCTCAATATATGAGAGGCGTCAGTCTGAGAGAGCCCTCAGCGGGAGAAGGCCTCAGTGGGAGGTAGGCCTCAGTGTGTGTGAGAAGCTTCGGTGAAAGGAAGCCCCAGGTTGAAGGCCATAGTGTGTAAAGCTCCAGTGTGAAGGCCGTTACGTGTAAAGCTAATGTGTGAAGCTCCTGTGTAACTTTGATGTGAGAGGAGGCTCTGTGAGAGTGAAGCTGCTTAGTGTGTTAGTAGGGCTTCAGTGTGTTAGTAGGTCTCAGTATGAGTAGGCCTAAGTGTTAGTTTACTCTCAGTCTGTGAGAGGCTTCAGTGTTCATTTGCCCTCAGTCTGTGAGAGGTCTTAGTGGGAGAAGGGCCTCAGTATGTTAGTAGGCCTCAGTGTTCGTTCGCCTCAATATATGAGAGGCGTCAAGTCTGAGAGAGCCCTCAGTGGGAGGTAGGCCTCAGTGTGTGTGAGAAGCTTCAGTGAGAGGAAGCCCCAGGTGTGTAAAGCTCCAGTGTGAAGGCTGCTACGTGTAAAGCTATTGTGTGAAGCTGATGTAAGAGGAGGCTCTGTGAGAGCGAAGCTGCTTATAATAAAATAATAATAAGATAAAACTTTATTGTACCCCGCTACCATCTCCCCAAGGGACTCGGTGCGGCTTACATGAGGCCAAGCCCACAATACAACAATAAAAACAATAGCAACAGTAATACAAACAATAAATAAAACTCATAAACAGAAAATAGCAATAAACATTAACAATAACACAACGCTTATCTGCATGAGAAAGAAGCCCAGCATGGAAGCATAGAATAATAATATAATAATAAACTTTATTTATACCCCACCACCATCTTCCCCCAATGGGGACTCGGAGCGGCTTACATGGGGCCAAGCCCAAACAACAAATTACAATACAAAAGATACCCTAAAAGTAACCACAAGCTTTTTATGATAATACTTTGAAACCAACTAAGCTAGTTTGTTCAAGTTCTCTTAATTAAACATCATTGTTTTGTTCACAACATCTGCCTCACGTGTGCTTCTGTGCATAAACATTTAAAGCAGATTTACTGAAGAATCTCTAAACAAGTTAGAGAAACAGGTTCTATACATTTGGTGGCAGGAAGGAAGTATAAAGAACTTTGTTCATGTTATGAAAACCTCCTGTGGAAGAGATAACATTGGTCTATGTGTTTTGGTACTTTTTATCATTTTGGTTACTGGTGCTGGGTCACGCCGCTACTGATATGTTACTCTGCTGTACATTTATGAAAAGGGTCTTTTGTTAATAAGTCCACTCACTCCAACAGTGGGCTCGTGGTCTTTGCCAGCTCAAAGCTCAATTTCGACATTCTGTTGGCCATTTTCTCCCTGTGAATGGCCACCGACCGCTGGACTCCAGTTCTTACCTTGGCCTGCTGAAGCTCCTTGAAGTGCATCTCAGCCACGACTTTGCCCTGGACCTCCTCGTGCTGCAGGCGGTCCATGAGCTGCGTCTGAAGGAGGTACTGCTTCTGAAGTTCCTCCTTCTCCGTGGCCAGCTGCTGGTAGGCAGCAGTGTACTGCTGGAGGTGGGTGTAGTACTGATCCCGCTGCTCCTGAAGAGCCTGGGCCTCCTCCGTTTTCTGAGAAATCTTCAAATAAGAGAAAACCAGAGCTGGGCAAGAACATTCAGGCACATTTACCTCCTGCAAACTCAATCTTCCCTGGGTACAACATTAACAAATTATCAAATGTGAACACTCATGGAGATTGAGGGAAATCAATCTCCATGAGTGTCCATGTGGGAGTTGTAGTTGCTGGGATTTATAGTTGCCCTTCTGAAGCAGTCAACGTTCCAGGGGAGACCCACCTCCTTCCTTGGTGACCTTCTGGGTCCTCCGTCCTCCCGATTCGTTTCCCACACAGTCCCTAGGCAAAAGATTACCTTCTCCTTGAGGTCGGCCAGTGTTTCCTGCAGCTGACCCAGCTTCTTGGCCAGCTCCTTCTTCACGTGCTGCTCCGACTGCAAGGCACTCGTCACCTCCATATTCTCATTGGTCTGGAAATGGAAAAGGAGGAGGAGGTGAAGCAAGGAAAGGGCACAAGCCTGCCATTGGTCAGCAAAGTTTCAACCAGGGCCATTTTTAGGGCCAGTAGTGTTTTTAAGCTCTTAGAATAATAGAAACCTAGAGTTGGAAGAGACCTTGTGGGCCATCAAGTCCAACCCCATTCTGCCAAGAAGCAGGAAAATTGCATTCAAAGCATCCCTGACAGATGGCCATCCAGCCTCTGTTTAAAATCCTCCAAAGAAGGAGCCTCCACCACACTTCAAGGCAGATAGTTCCACTGCTGAACAGCTCTCACAGTCAGGAAGTTCTTTCTCATATTCAGGTGGAATCTCCTTTCTTGTAGTTTGAAGCCATGGCTCCATTGCGTCGTAGTCTTCAGAGCAGCTTGCTCCCTATGACTTCTTCTCACATATTTATACATGGCTATCATGTCTCCTATCAGCCTTCTCTTCTGCAGGCTAAACATGTCCAGCTCTTTAAGCCGCTCCTCATAGGGCTTGTTCTCTAGACCCTATTATTATTATTATTATTATTATTATTATTATTATTATTATTTACAGTATTTATATTTCACCCTTCTCACCCCGCCCCGCAGGGCGGATTGCAATGTACATATACATGGCAAACATTTAATGCCATAGACACACAACATATATAGACAGAAACGTAGAGGCTATTTAACAATCCAGTTTTTTTAATGAGGGTATTCTGGCCACCAGAGGAGCTGTCACTTTACCGTCCATTTGTGGCACTGATGAAGTACTTCCTTATTCTTTGCATGCTTGCTGGAGATTTTTATTGATATTGCTTATTGTGTATTTTTTGTTTTTAAGTTTTTATTTTATTTTAACTGTTTTGTATTGATTATTTGTTGTCGCCTTTGTTTATTAATGTGCTGTGGGCTTGGCCTCATGTAAGCCGCACTGAGTCCCTTGGGGAGGTGGTAGCAAGGTACAAATAAAGTTGTTATTATTATTATTATTATTATTATTATTATTTATGGCCTCGTAAATTAGTTAAATTAGCCTCCCCACATAAGTGGTACCTAAATTTCCTACTTGACAGATGCAACTGTCTTTCGGGCTGCAAAAGTCGACAACAAGCTACACAAATTGGTCAGAAGCTCACTCCGACCCAGGCTGGTTTCGAACGCATGATCTTTTGGTCAGTAGTGATCTTAATGCAGCTTACTCCCAGTCAGCTGCACCACAGTTCTGGTCATTTGAGTCACCCTCCTCTGGATATATTCCAGCTTTTCAACATCTCCCTTCCATTGTGGTGCCCAGAATTGGACACAATATTCCAGGTAATGCGGTCTAACCAGGGCAGAATAGAGCATGGGAAGCATGACTTCTTTGGATCTAGACACTATTGAGGCAGTCCAAAATCTTGTCAGAATGACAAAATCCTGGTGTAAAAACAGGTTTACGGACCATAAGCAACCTGTAGGCAATGTTTAAGAAGATGGCAACCTACAATAGGAGGATAAGCTCATGGTGGACAGAGAAGAGCAAGAGGCAAGGAAGAGTGTTTTGAATGCTCTAGAGTGGGCATGGGAAAACTTTGGCCTTCTAAGTGTTTTGGACTTCAACTCCCACAATTCCTGGCCTCAGGCCCTTTCCTTTTCCCCCACAGCCGCTTAAGCTAGATGAAAGAGTGATAGACCTAAAAGATGCCTACCTTCATAGCTCATAGAATGCTTAAGCGGCTGAGGGGGAAAAGGAAAGGACCTGAGGCCAGGAATTGTGGGAGTTGAAGTCCAAAACACATGGAAGGCCAAAGTTTGCTCACGCTGCTCTGGAAGCAATTTGCATCACAACCTTCCATAGACTCCGCTGGGGTTTTATGGCTTCTTGTGGTCAAACATCCCTAGCCTGGGTGACTCTTTCTGAGAGGGAGGGAGGTGGGGTGGACGCACCAGCCTGACAAACCCATTCTGCAGCTCCGCCAGCTGCTCCTTCAGCTCCCGGTTCTGGGTCAAGGCCCGGCTGATGGTGGCCTTGTCGCTCTGCATGTTCTCCAGGATCTGCTGCCGGTCCATGGCCTCCTCGCTGTAGCGCCGCAGGCTCCGCTCCAGCTCCTCCAGCCGCTCCTCCTGCTCCTGGTTGAGGCGGCTCAGCTGCTGGTTGTCGCGCACCTGGGCCTGGCACTGGCCCTGCAGCGCCTCCTTCTCCTGCTGCAGGCGGGCCAGCTCCTCTTGCAAGCGCAGCTCCGCTTCCGTCGGCCCCGGCGGCGGGGAGGGCTCGCTCTCCGCTGGCGTGGCGGCTACAGAACCAAAGGACAGGAAGAGACGCAACTCAGCACAGTTCACACCAATTTTTCCACAAGCTAAAGAAGAGGGAGTCGGCCATTCCTGAGACTTACCAGACTGACTGCTGAGCAACTCAGACAGGTTGTTTTCCAGCTCCTGAATTCGATTGACATTCAGGTCTTTTTCTTCTGTCAAAGTGTGGATCTACTCCACAGGAAAAAAATAAGGAAAGACTCAGTTGACTGTTTCCATATTTTTCCAAAGCTGGAATTTTATGCACCTGCAAGGACTTTAAGATCATCTGGAGAGGCCCTGCTCTCGGTCCCGCCATCATCACAAGTTCGGCTGGCGGGAACRAGAGACAGGGCCTTCTCAGTGGTGGCCCCTCGGGTATGGAACGCCCTTCCTAGGGAGATTAGATTGGCTTCCTCACTCCTATCATTCTGGAAGAATCTTAAGACATGGCTATTTGAGCGGGCATTTGAAAATACGGAGTAACGGATATAATAATGGAATATAATATAATATAATATAATATAATATAATATAATATAATATAATATAATATAATATAATATAATATAATATAATATATATAATAATGGATATAATAACGGAATATAACATAACATAACATAACATAACATAACATAATATAATATAATATAATATGGGAGAACTGGACATTGTTTTAATGATTATCAATTGAAGTATGTTTCATTATAATGTTTGATTTTATTGTTGCTGATGTTTTTTATATTGTTATATTGTAATTGTGTCCTTGGTGGCATTGAATTCTTGCCTTGTAAACCGCCTCGAGTCGCCGGAAGGCTGAGAGGGGTGGTATAGAAATGTATTAAATAAATATATGTATTTATTTAAAATATTTGTACCCCACCCTTCTCTACCCCCAAAGGGGGACTCAGGGCTGTTTACAGCTGGCAACAATTCGATGCCTCACGTATATACACAGATAAAACATAAATTACAAAATAGATAAACCATTACTATACATTAAAACCATTCAAAATAGCGCAAATTTAATTAGTTGGCCAAATCTAAATCTGAGTTGTACAATCAACAACTTGGTCCGAAGCCTGTCCATAGTCCATATATCACAGCATTGTCATCATTTATCAACCTACTATCCAAATGCCTGGTCCCATAGCCACATTTTAAACTTTTTCCTGAAGGACAAGAGGGAAGCAATTGACCTAATTTTGCTGGGGAGCAAGTTCCACAGGCGGGGGGTCACCGCCGAGAAGGCCCTGTCTCTTGTCCCCACCAAGCACGTCAGCGGCTACCGCTGAAACCTCCAAGTTTCCCAAAACCATGACAATGGCCGAAACATTTCCTCTTTGCTGTTTCCCTTACCTGCTCAGAGAGCATCTGGACTCGCTGCTGCCAGATTCCCCCTTCCTCCTTCAGCTTCTGGGCATACTGATCCCGTTCAGCCTGCAGTTGCTGGAGCGACTCGGATAGCTGCTCAGTAAAGAATGAGAAAAAGGAAAGCCTCAGCAAAGCAATGCAAAAGCAGCTATTACAGTGTTCTCCCACTATTTCACAGTTTGCTTATAGCGAACTCGCTGTTTCGCGGGTTTTTCCTTCCTCCCCCCTCCGGGAGCCACGGGGGAGGGAGGAGGAGGAGGGGGAGCTGGGCCTTACCCTGGAGCTTGTCTCCGGGCTGGGCCTCCACTGCTCCCTACTCCTTTCCTCGGAGGCTCCTTGGGCGCTGAGGTCCAGCCTGGGGACTGCCAGGCTGGGCTGAGGCCTGGTCTTCCCTCTTTGGTGACGGCCTCCCAGGCTGGGCCTCAGCGCGGTCCTCTTTGGCGGCAGCTTCCTCCTCGGAGAGGACCATGCCGAGGCTCCCTCTCTTCCTCCTCCTCTTCCTTGAAGGACCATTGGGCCTCTTAGGAAGAGGAGGCGGAAGAGGAGTGGGTGTGCCTCGACACAGCCCTCTTTGACAACGGAGCAGGACCATAAGAGAAGGAAGAGGTGGAGCCAGGCACTAGGCCTTACCCTGGAGCTTGTCTCTGGGAGGCCGGCGCYGAAGAGGGCCGCGCCGAGGCCCAGCAAAGCAATGCAGAAGCTGCTATTAGTGTTCCCCCACTATTTCGCAGTTTGCTTATTGCGGACTTGCTGTTTTGTGGGTTTTTCCTCTCCCCCCCCCCCACCGGAGCCATGTGGGAGGGAGGAGGAGGAAGGAGGAGAGAAGGGGGAGCTGGGCCTTACCCTGAAGCTTGTCTTTGGGCTGGGCCTCTGCTGCTCCCTGCTCCTTCCTTGAAGGCTTCTTGGGCGCCAAGGCCCAGCCCGGAGACTGCTAAGCTGAGCTGAGGCCTGGTCTTCCCTCTTCGGTGATGACCTCCTGAGCTGGGCCTCGGCGCAACCCTCTTTGGTGGCGGCCAAGCAGAGAGGGCCAAGCCGAGGCTCCCTCTCTTCCTCCTCCTCTCCCTCGGAGGCCCAAGGGTCCCCCAAAGAAGAGGAAGGGTCCTCCGAGGAAGAGGAGGAAGAAGAGTGAGGTGCCTCGGCACAGCCCTCTTTGGCGGCGACTTCGTCCTCGGAGGGGGCCAAGCCGAGGCTCCCTCTCTTTCTCCTCCTCTTCCTTGGAGGCCCAAGGGTCCTCCGAAGAAGGGGAAGGGTCCTCCGAGGAAGAGTAGGAAGAAGAGGAGTGAGGTGCCTCGGCACAGTCCTCTTCGGCGGCGACTTCGTCCTTGGAGGGGGCCAAGCCTAGGCTCCCTCTTTTCCTGCTCCTGTTCCTCAGAGGACCCCTCTTCCTCAGAGGCCCAAGGGTCATCCGAGGAAGAGGAATAAGAGGGGGGTCCCTCTTCAGTGGTGGCTTCATCCTTGGAGAGGGCCAAGTCGAGCCTCCCTCTCTTTCTCCTCCTCTTCCTCGAAGGACCATTGGGCCTCCAAGGAAGAGGAAGAGGAGGGGGTGCCTCGGCATGGCCCTCTTCGACAGCAGCTTTGTTGAGCAGGTGGAGCAGGACCATAAGAAGAGAAGGAAGAGGAGGAGGAGCCAGGCACTAGGCCTTACCTTGGGGCTTGTCCTCAGGAGGCCACCGCCAAAGAGGGCCACACCGCGGCCCAGCCCGGAGTCAAACCCCAGGGTAAGGTCCAGCGCCTGGCTCCCCCTCCTCTCCTCCTCCTCTTCCCTACTTCGCTGTTTTTCGCTGTGGTCATGGAACATAACCCCTGCGATAAGTGAGGGAACACTGTACTCCCAGAGAGAGCGAGAGAGCTGAGGGAAGTCACTCTGAAAGCCCAATCACGTGACCCACCCCTTCTGAAATCACGCCTCACCTGGGCAATTTGTGCTTCGAGATTGGCTCTTTCTTCCAAGGCCATCTGCAGCTGTTGAGTGGCATCAGGGACGCCTGGCTGGCTTGCAAACTGGGAATAGGATTAGAGAAATTGCACTGAATGGGATCCAACACCCTTCTGATGAGGCTGAAGTGCAGAATGTAAACAGCTCTAAGACGTATCCATTGGCAAAAGAAATGTGTGTTGTTTTAACAAGTGGAATTCTTTCTCTTACAAAAACACACTTGACGCTTAAGATGCACCTCCGAATCACCAGTGGAAGAATTTAAAAGATGGGAGGCCCCTCTTCAAAGGCCAAAGACTTTCCAAAAGACTTCCAAAACAAGGGAAGAGGTGAATAGTGACTGTATTACCCCGAGCTTCTCCCTCCCACAGAGAGAGAGAGAAGGAGGAAACGCTTCTCCTCTCTCCTCCCAAGTATGTCATAGTCACCTGTTGAATCATCAGCTCGGCCATTTCCAGTTTCTTGTGCAAATCCTCCACGTCCAGCTTCATGGCTGAGTTTTCGGAGATTAAGCTGCGCAGTTTTTCCGAAAGTTCAGAGTTTTGCTGCTTAAGTTCTTCGCTACTTTTGCTGGAGGGAAGGAGGGAAGGAAACACAATTGGTGTTATTATAACAGTACCTACAGGAGCCAGTTGATGGGCTTTGTTTATTTTTTATTTTATTTCAAATATTTGTACCTCACCCTTCTCTACCCCGGAAGGGGGACTCTGGGCGGCTTATAACCAGCAAAAATTCAATGTCCCACATATACAAAAAATAAACGAGTTACATAATAAGTTAAAACATTAAAATTAGATTAAAAACCTTTTAAGATAGTGCAAATTGAATTAGTTGGCATGTCAAGTCCGCGTTCTACGATCAACAACTTGATCAGAAGCATGTCCATAGTACTTTTTCCATAGCATTAACGTCATTTCTATTGTCAGCCTGCTATCCGAATGCCTTGTCCCATAGCCACATCTTCAACTTTTTCCTGAAGGAGAGGAGGGATAACTGTTGACCTAATTTTGCTGGGGAGCGAGTTCCACAGGTGGAGGGCCACCGCTGAGAAGGCCCTGGCCCTCGTCCCCACCAAGCGCATTTGCAACGAAGGTGGGATCGAGAGCAGGGCCTCCTCGGAAGATTGTAAGTTTCGGGATGGGATATAGGTGGAGATATGTTCGGACAAGCAAGCTCGGCCAAAACCATAAGGGTCCTTTGTTGCACATTTCTTTGTCATCCAAGACTTGCCACACTTTCCAAAAGCCCCGTTTCAAACTCACAACTAGTATGTGGACTATGCCAGGCCAAGGGACAGTAAAAATTTCAGAACCATAACCTTAGAATCACAATGCCTTTTTGTTGACCAAGAAAGGAGCAGAATAATAATATAATAATAATAAACTTTATTTATACCCCACCACCATCTCCCCGATGGGGACTCGGAGCGGCTTACATGGCGCCAAGCCCGAACAACAAATTACAATACAAAATATACCCTAAAAGTAACCACAAGCTTTTTATGCCAATACTTTGAAACCAACTAAGCTTAATACCTAATTTGTTCAAGTTCTCTTAAATAAACACCATTGTTTTGTTCACAACATCTGCCTCACGTGTGCCTCTGTGTATAAACATTTAAAGCAGATTTACTAAAGAATCTCTAAATAAGTTAGAGAAACAGGTTCTATACATTTGGTGGCAGGAAGGAAGTATAAAGAACTTTGTTCATGTTATGAAAACCTCCTGTGGAAGAGATAACATTGGTCTATGTGTTTTGGTACTTTTTATCATTTTGGTTACTGGTGCTGAGTCACGCCGCTACAGCAATAAAATCAAAACATATACAACAGACAACAACAACATTATCAAAATGACATTAAAAATAAAATAATAATAATAATAATAATAATAATAATAATATAAACATTCCAATAGACACAATCACGATAGAGATGACAATGGGCGGGCCACATATTCCGGATAAAAAACAATTAACAGACTATGATGAGATAAAATAGGAGCAGGACTTTTAAATGGAACTCATAAAACACACAGAGTTGTGGGACAGAACATCCTATTTGGAGGGCACGAACTCCATTAGCCAAAACGTTGAGGGGGTGTAAAATATAATGCAGAACTGAATACGCCCCAAGTAGCAGCTGGAGAAACCTCGGACAAGGGCACAGCAACAAGATACAGAATGGGGGACGATGCCTGGCTTGAGAGCACGACATGTGGAAAAGATCTTGTAGTCCTTGTGGACAACAAGTTAAACATGAGCCAACAATGTGATGTGGCGGGAAAAAAAGCCAACAGGATTTTGGCCTGCATCAACAGGAGCATAGTGTCTAGATCCAGAGAAGTCATGCTACCCCTCTATTCTGCCTTGGTGAGATCACACCTGGAATATTGTGTCCAATTCTGGGCACTACAATTGAAGAGAGATACTGACAAGCTGGAATGTATCCAGAGGGGGGCGACTAAAATGATCAAGGGTCTGGAGAACAAGCCTTATGAGTGGCTAAAAAGCTGGGCATGGGACAGTTCCATCTTGTCTCCTGCATATATCATCAGCTGGGGACCACTCCCCCCAGCACTAACTGCTGCTTTGGGCCAGAGTGAAAAGAGAGGGGACCAGGGGACAGTTGCGTATGTATGTATGTGTGTGTGTATCTATCTATCTATCTATCTATCTATCTTGTAAGCCGCTCTGAGTCCCCTTCGGGGTGAGAAGGCTGGTGTAGCGAAGGAGAGAGAGAGTATTTCTTTATTAAGGAAAAACCTCTTTGTTCTTATAATGATTCAGTTTCTTCTTTTATATTAGCTGGGACTTTCTGTGTGCTGTTTAACCCCTGTACATGCACTGAGACACACTTCTGTATAACAAAGTAACACAGTTTATTTATAACTTCTGGCTCCAACGCTTGTGGTTACATTTGTGTTTTGTTGCAATCTTGAGGCTTACAGTCAGTATCATATACTTGGTTTACTTTTCTGAAATAGACTTTCAATGTTTCACATTCACAAACATGTTACTTGCTTTACACACTCTTGACTGAAATTATATTCTGACTAAAGCACCACTGGCTTTCTTTATGTTCCTAAAACTTGAGCTCTATTTAACTAACTGCTTCTATATATCAGAAGTCTTTAACACATCTTCATAACTGCTTATTTCTAACAGGAGTTCCTAACTCTTTTCTCTCACAGAAGTTCCTAACTGTCTCTCACAAACAGGAATCCCTAACTCCCTTCTCTCACAGAAGTTCCTAACTGTACCTCACAAACAGCAATTCCTAACTCACTCACTCTTTTGACTAACTGCCTATTTTTAAAACCTTGGCTCCACCCCTTTGGAATGTTCAGCTCTGCTCTCTCTCCAACTGTCATTTTGGCCTAGCAACCTTTTCAAATGCCTGGGCCTACGCTAATCTGCATATGACCAATCGGCTTCCATATGCAAATGAATCCTATCTCTGCTGTTGCTACTCTGTCTGTGCGTATTCTTCCCTATCTGCCATATGTAAACATAGAGCTATACACCAAAAATTTAACATAGAGTAGCAATTTCACTACAGCTGGCATATAAATGTTGTAAATAAATAAATAAATAAATTGTTTAGCCCGAAGAAGAGAAGGCCGAAAGGAGACATGATTGCCGTGTATAAATATGTGAGGGGACGTCATAGGGAGGAGGGAGCAAGCTTGTTTTCTGCTGCCCTGGAGACTAGGACGCAATGGAGCAATGGCTTCAAACCACAGGAAAGAAGATTCCACCTGAACATTAAGAAGAACTTCCTGATTGTGAGAGCTGTTCAGCTGTGGAACTCTCTGCCTCGAAGTGTGGTGGAGGCTCTTTCTTTGGAGGCTTTTAAGGAGAGGCTGGATAGCCATCTGTCGGGGGTGCTTTGAATGCAATTTTCCTGCTTCTTGACAGAATGGGGTTGGACTGGATGGCCCACCAGGTCTCTTCCAACACTAGGAATCTATGACTCTAAGAAAGCCAAATCTCACCTCTGTTTGTAGGCTTCCGTCTTCAGACTATCCCGTTCCTTGGCCAGCTCTTTGTTATGCTGCCAACAAGAAAACATGAACAACATGAACTAAAACTCGGAGCACCCCTGAGCCTCCCTTGCTTATTTCCAAGTCCCAGGTGTTTATTTTGCTGTTTTATTAATTTATTAGGGGTATTTTTAGAGAAGATATCTCTATACATAGGGATCACACAGTCATCTAATGGGGGGGGGGGGGGGGAATGAGGCACCAGAATGAATTTGCCTGGAATGCCAGATCTAGCTAGTCCACATCACAAAAAGTCTTGATATTGGACACTATAATTATTTATTTACGACATTTATATGCCGCCCTTCTCACCCCGAGGGAGGCTCAGAGCGGCTTCCAAGTTATATGTAAATACAATATATTATATTATTAGCATAGCACAATATTAGCATAGCACATTTCTGTATTGTACTATACTGTAATATTATTAGTAATATTACATGTAATATAAAATATATAATTATTATATTGTATTATTATTAGTATTATGTTGTATTAAATTATAATATTATCAATTGGGGGAATTGGAGGGAAAAACTATTTAAAAATAAAGCCCCAAATGAGGAAAAAGTTATGGAACAGTGACATATAAACAGAAGGCGTCTTCACCTTTTCTTGCTGCTTCTGTTGCGCAGAGAGAGAGGACAGCGTGTGCTCCACTTCTGATATTCTCTGCCGAGAGGCCTGCAACCGGGCAGCAAGGTCCTCTGCTTCTCCTGTCCGAGAAAAAGAGAAGATTTCATAGGCATGAGACCCAAGCAGGCACTTTCCCTTCCTGGGTCAAATCAAGCAACCAGTTCTTCCGTCTAAAACACAACTTAGTTCAGAACCAGGACATGCAAGAATTTCCCTTCTCTATGAGACTGCCTATAGGCAGAAATGAGAACTTCCCTTTTGCATCTCTCTGAAAAAAAGGAGGTGGGTTGACAGGATCAGGCCCCTTTTCAGCTTAAGTGATGGTTCCTTCATCGACTGCACTATGGACAAAGGCCGCACATAATCTGGTGCACATAAACAGAAGAAGGGCCTTCCTCAGGGGAGCATGCTTGTTCCATCAATGTATTGTTGAAGGCACTGCCAGGCCATCAAATGCTAATCAAGGTGGTCAGTTGAAACATTCACACCTAGCTCCAACAGACAAGAGTCCGTTGTCCCACCCTGGTCATTCCACAGATATATAAACCCATTTTTCTAGTTCCAACAGACCTCACTACCTCTGAGGATGCTTGCCATAGAGGCAGGCAAAATGTCAGGAGAGAATGCCTCTACAACATGGCCATATAGCCCAAAAAAACCTACAACAACCCACTGTTCCATCAATGTTTACCATTTACACAAATGACCAGCCACTGCCAGAAGGGACAGAGTTTCATCTACGCTGACGATCGTGCCATCGCCGCTCAAACAGGGAGCTTTGAAATGGGAGTGTATTTGCTCAATCAGTGTTTAACAGCGACGCAAATGACCAGCCACTGCCAGAAGGGACAGTGTTTCATCTACGCTGACGATCGTGCCATCATCGCCCAAGCAGGGAGCTTTGAAATGGTTGAAAAGAAGCTCTCCAAAGCTTTAGGCGCTTTTACTGTGTATTACAGAGAAAGCTAGCTGATTCCTAATCCATTTATTTATTTATTTACATAATTTATATTTCACCCTTCTCACCCCGAAGGGGACTCAGAGAAGCTTACAAGATATATAAACATACAATATATTATTTATTTATTTATTTATTGCAGATATTTGTAACCTGCCCTTCTCAACCCCCGGGGGGATTCAGGGCAGCTTCCAGCCGGCAACAATTCAATGCCTCCAATGTACACATAATAAAATACATAATAAAATCCAATAATTGCATACATTTAAAACATTAAATCACACTAATTAATTAAAATCTGTTTCAGTAACAGCCTGGAGGCCTTATCTGAGCATAGTACAATATCAGTATTATATATTATTATATTATAATCCATCTAAAATGTAAACATCTTAAGAACAGACAAGCATCTTGAGCTCTGCGGATTTCCTGGGAAGGAATCCCTCCCTCTGCAGCACTGCAGCACACTCAAATATCTGGGAATCACTCTGGGCCATGCTCTGACCTACAAGAAGCACTGCTTGACTATCAAGCAAAAAGTGGGCGCTAGAAATACTCTTAGCAATATGTCCTCAAATGCACTTTAACATTGATTTAGGATTGTCTGTGTGCCCTCATCTTTCTTTGAAAACCCTATCCTAGTTTACCCTACCTTGTTAATGCCCAACATTTTAAATTTTACATTTGGCCCGGCCATAGGTTTTTTGAAATGCTATATGTTATTGTTTATTACTTATTGTGTATTTTTTGAGTTTTATTTTAACTGTTTTGTATTGATTATTTGTTATCGCTTTTGTTTATTGATGTGCTGTGGGCTTGGCCTCATGTAAGCCGCACCGAGTCCCTTGGGGAGATGGTAGCAGGGTACAAATAAATTATTATTATTATTATTATTATTAAATAACATCATATGAAAGTTTACTGGCACAACCTGGGGATCACAACCATACACAGTGAAGACATCTGCCCATGTGCTTTGCTACTCTGCTGCTGAATACGCATACCCAGTGTGGAACACATCTTATCATGCTAAAACAGTGGATGTATTATTATTATTATTATTATTATTATTATTAAATAACATCATATGAAAGTTGGCTGGCACAACCTGTGGATCACAACCATACACAGTGAAGACATCTGCCCATGTGCTTTGCTACTCTGCTGCTGAATACACATACCCAGTGTGGAACACATCTTATCATGCTAAAACAGTGGATGTGGCTCATCTCTGGAATAATAATAATAACACTAACAATAATAAGACATGTCACATTATTACAGGATGTCTACGCCCAACACCGCTGGAGAAATTATACTGTTTAGCTGGTATTCCACCACCTTACATCCACCAGGAAGTAGCAGCCTGTAATGAACAGACCAAGGCAGTGACATCTCTGGCCCATCCTCTGTTCGGATATCAGCCAGCACGCCAATACCTTAAATCAAGAAATAGCTTTCCAAGATCTATAGAGATACTCGAAGGAACACCTGAGACCAACGTTGAACATCTGAGACAAAAAAATGGCCAAAAAAAGAGGCATGGCTATGTGGGTTTTCTGGGGCCACTTCACACACTGTGACCGCCTCCATCTTCCTGGTGGGGATGCGTTTGCCAGGCTCCTCCCAGGGCTGCCTACCTGATTTCTGGCGAGCAGCCTGCTGCGTATGCGCCAGGGCCGTCTGCAGCTCCGACTTCTCAGACACCAGGATCCCGATGGTCTGAATGTGGACCTGCAAAGAGAGCGCAGAACCCCCGAATGAAGGATGGGGAAAAGCCTATTGTTTGGCATCTGTCACAGCAACTCCCAAAAGTCTCATGAGCAACAAGTGCCCTTTCCCATGAAAAGATGGTCCAAGAAAGAGAACCAGCGTCTGCTGGAATAATAATAATAACACTAACAATAATAACAACCCTTTATTTATATTCCACCCTATTTCCCCTGGGGGACTCAGGGTGGATTCCAACAAACAGAAAGGCAAACCTTCAATGCCTCAATAGATAAGCAGGACTAGATAAGCAGGAGGCCCCCATGCCTACCTGCAATTGTTCTCGCAATGCTGCTTGCTCCTTTGAAAACTTCTGCTCAAACCCCTTCTTTTCCTGCGAAGACACAAAGTACAGATACATCAACATGAAAAGCATGCTCTGCTTACAACTTCCCTCAGATATCCCCTATATTCTGCCCATATGCTGTATTACCACCGGAGATGTTGTGTGCTCTACACACATACCTTGCTGCTACTTAATAATACTCATAATGATGTGGCGAGAGGGGTATAAACTCATATTGCCTACTTGCTTGTTTTTGTAGTTTATACTCTCTCGCCACAATTCTGCTGATGAGAAGACTAAAGCAGTTTTCTCATTGTCTGTGCCATTTCTGTAGGAGGATGGAATTTGGGTCCACGCTCTCGTTACATCTAGGATAGACTACTACAACGCACTCTACGTGGGGTTGCCTTTGAAGACTGCTTGGAAGCTTCAAATAGTCCAACGAGAGGCAGCCAGGTTAATAACTGGGGCGGCATACATGGAGCATACAACTCCCATGTTACGGCAGCTCCAGTGGCTGCCAGTTTGCTACCGGGCACAATTCAAAGTGCTGGCTTTGGCCTATAAAGCCCTAAATGGCCCCAGCCCAAATTACCTGTCCGAACGCATTTCTCCCTATGAACCATCGCGGAGATTAAGATCCTCCAGGGAGGCCCTGCTTTCCATCCCGCCATTGTCACAGGCGCGATTGGTGGAGATGAGAGACAGGGCCTTCTTGGTGATTGCTCCCCGGCTATGAAACTCCCTTCCTGGTGAGATCAGGTTGGCCCCTCCCACCTGTCCTTTAGAAGGATGTTAAAAACTTGACTGTGGGACCAAGCTTTCGGGACAGGGCAGTGGGAAAGATGACAGGGCCAATTGGATTTGATGCGGACAGATAGGACGGTTTTAAATGGTGTATTTTAATATTTTTTAATGTTTATGTATTGTATGCGAATTTGTGTCCCGGCATTGAATGCCATGTATATGCTGTGCTCCGCCCTGAGTCCCCTTCAGGGTGAGAAGGGTGGAATAGAAACGTTTTAAATAAATAAAATAAATAAATAAACTTTCCAAGAAAAAATGGAGGAGGAGTCTTTTGCCAGGATCGCAGATCCCCCTGCTTCAGGTATTTTGTGGATTTAACTTGTCCATCTCCAGAACTGAAAATATTGGCTCTCTAAATCCTTTTTGCTGGTCTTTTCAGAAATTAAACAAAAATGGCCCACTGAAAACTACAAATCTTTTAGTTAACAGTGATTCGGGCCCAAGTCTACTGAGAAGTCTCCGACCAGTGGCAGTTACCCCAAGGGGAGTACAGTATTCCCTTGCTACTTCGCAGTTCGCTTTTCACGGACTCGTTTTTTTGCGGTTTTTCAAAAAAATGAATTTAAAATATACAAGTACCGAGGGAACACTGTATACCCGTTACCTGTGCGGACCTCCAAGTGGATTTGGTGGTCATTGGTTAAAATCATCTCCACCGATGCCATGTTTCCTAGCGCAGCCACTGGAAGGTGAAGAAGACATGCATGGAAAGGGGGCCAGGCATGTGAGGAGGACCCATCGGGAAATGTGGTGTGCAAGAGGAGGGGGGAGGAGGAAAGAGGAGAGAAAAGAGAAGGCGAAGGATTGAGTGAGTGAGAGAGAGGGCAATCCTATGCCTCACGTGCGCTGAGGCAGAACAGTGTTCCCTCGCTACCTCATGGTTCGCTTTTAGCGGACTCGCTGTTTCATGGTTTTCAAAAAATATTAATTTAAAATATATATCACGGTATTTTCACTGTTTTTTGTCGCTGCCGCTCTCCACGGCTCTTTACCTCCTCAGTCCTCCCTCCCTCCAGCCTTGAAGGGCCTTTCCTTCCTTTCCTTCACTGTATTTTAAATTTATAAAGATTTGAAATAGTATATAACTGCTAAAACAGGGGTCCTCAAACTAAGGCCGGGGGGTTGGATACGGCCCTCCAAAGTAATTTACCTGGCCTGAAATGAATTGAAAGCACACAACAACAACAATCCTATCTCATCAGCCAAAAGCAGGCCCACACTTCCCACTGAAATACTAATAAATTTATATTTATTAAAATTGTTCTTCATTTTAATTATTGCATTGTTTTAAAGTATTTTTTGCACCACAAATAAGATAGGTGCAGTGTGCATAGAAATTCATTCATGTTTTTTTCAAATTATAATCCGGCCCTCCAACAGTTTGAGAGACTGTGACCTGGCCCCTTGTTTAAAAAGTTTGTACTAAAATAATGTATAAATATTAAAATAAATATAGCACCCCTACATTGTGGGTTTTCACATTGTGGGAGGTCCTGGAACGTAATCCCCGTAATAAGTGAGGGAACACTGTAGATATATAGCGTCCCTACGTGGATTTTCACTTGGCCTTTGTAAGCCGCATCGAGTCCTTCGGGAGATTTTGCGGGGTATAAATAAAGTTAATAATAATAATAATAATAATAATAATAATAATTATTATTATTATTATTATTAACTATTGCAGGTGGTCATGGAACATAACACCCACGGTAAATGAGGAAACACTGGAGAATGAAGCTATGCAAGCAATTGGAGCAATCCATTTTCCAAATGGTCACACGAATGTCTACTTCTGTAATGCTTTCTCCTCGTGGGGGGATAAGTCAGTTCAATGTCCCTCCTTCTCACTGCTTTCCCTCCTCCTGTTTTTGTGCCTGACTCTATAGCAGAGCATATTACCTTCTCCAGCTGATTCATAGCTTCTTGGTTCTGCTGTTTCTGCAGAAGTTACAAAAAAGGTTACGTCAGAATGACCTATGTGGCCCGTTTTTCCCAACTGGTCAGCATACTTTGGCTAGACTAATACAAAGAGGATTAAAAGGCCTTTCAACATTTGTAGCATTTTGTTAGGGTCAACACACCCTGGAGCCCTGACAGAAACGCTAGCGGCAGTCTATTCATATTGAGTATAGTGGCACACTTCACAACAGACATGAAGCAACGGTTAACAGCATTTCCCACCATTATGGCAAAAGCTGCCATCTAAGCTTTCCAAGGATTGTTTATTCCAATGTATAAGATAGACAGCAACATAATTCTGGAATTACATCACAAATTGCATCATGTTTTTTTGAAACTTTTTGCAAGCAGTTCCACACCATTCCGTCTGAAATATGAACACAAGCAAGAGCTGAACTCTTGACGCAAGTGGGTTTCAGGGCACATTCCTCTTTATGGGAGCAGACCATGCAGGCCTTTCTAGAATGGATCATTTTTGGACTAGCCACACAGGGAAGCTCATCCCAAAATCAGCACTGGATTCTGGCTGCCAATTCTGTTAAAGAAATGCTTCTCAACCTGTGGATCCTCAGATCCTCATCATACAAGGAGCATACCGCCCCCCCTGTTGTGTCAGCTCCAATTCCGAGCACAATTCAAGGTGCTGGTCTTGACCTATAAAACCTATACGGCTCCGGTTCTCAATCTCCTCCACACAACTATATCTAAGGAAAGGAGGCAGGAGGAACTCAGGAGCTTCACTGTCTTGCATTGAAAGGCCTTGGTTTCCTGTTATGCCAGAATTAGGCCTTAGAAACCAGCTGAAAGACCTGGCAGTGCTGACTTGTAAACACAATGACAAACTAATTGGCTTTGCACATCCTACTACTTTCTGTTCATTTCCATTCATCTTTATAACAAACTACACGTCCCCTGCCACGCGTTGCTGTGGCCCAGTCTGTGTATATGTGTATATTTTGTGTGTGTATATATGTGTGTGTATATGTGTGTTTGTGTATATATGTTTTGCACATTCATTGTAATGTATTTTTTGGTTTTTTGGCTTTTTAAGTCTCTTCTGCTGTGTTTTTCAGTGTTTTTATGAGTGATGGTCACTTGTTGGGAAATTTGCCCCAATTCTTTTGTTGGAGGGGTTCAGAATGCTCTTTGATTGCAGGTGAACTATAAATCCCAGTAACTACAACTCCGGAATGTCAAGGTCTATTTCCCCCAAACACCATCTGTGTTCATATTTGGTCATACTGAGTATTCATGCCAAGTTTGGTACAGATCCATCATTGTTTGAGTCCACAGTGCTCTCTGGATGTAGGTGAACTACAACTCCCAAACTCAAGGTCAATGCCCCCCAAACCCTTCGTGTGTTTTATGTTGGTCAGGGGAGTCAATTCCATCATTGATGAAATTTAGAATGCTCTCTTTTTCGCCCATGTTCCAGCATTATTTTCAATTTTAATCTTACATTTGGCCTTCCCATAGTTTTTAATTGTGTGTTGTCTTATTGTTTAATGTTTCGTTATTTTATTGTCCATGTTTTATTTTAATTGCTTGTATTGTTGTTATTATTGCTTGTGTTGTTGTATTTGGGCTCGGCCTTATGTAAGCCGCACCGAGTCCCTTTATTATTATTATTATTATTATTATTATTATTATTATAAATCCCAGCAACTACAACTCCCAAATGACAAATTAAATTTTTTGTGTGTGATGGTCACTCCTTGGGTTAGTAGGTGTCTTGTGGCCAAATTTGACGGCAATTCGTCAAGTGGTTTTTGAGTTATGTTAATCCCACAAACGAACATTACAATTTTATTTATATAGAAGATGTAAGTTCCTCAAGAAATTCTCTCCCGTCATGGAACTTGAGTTCTCTTTTTCAAACACAGTCCTTGATATTCCCACCTTACATTGGTTAAAGTCACAGAGCAAAAACTGTTTGTGGGCAATGCCCAAACGCAAGGCATTCCTGGAAGCCACTAAAATGCTACCACAGGAAAAACTGGGAGACAAAGGAAAGAACAATGCAGTAAAGAACTCAGAGAGGCCATGCAGCAAGGCGGGGAGGATGAAATGGAGGAGGAAGCAGTCTGAGCAATGCAGGGTCTTTCCTGGAAGGGAGAAGAGGCCTTCTACATTCCTAGTTCTACTGAAAGGGCAGCCAAATAAGTAAGTAGCAGAAGTGGCTCATGCAAGCAAGAAGACTAACCAGCTCCTTCACGGTGCCACAAGGGTTGGAAAGATCGCCACACACTCTCCCTAGTCTGTGTAGCCCCAAACTCTGCTGAAACAGATGCCATAATTCAATCTTGTTCATGAGAGGAACGTTCTGAAGCGGTGCATTATGGAAATATATTAAATTTATTTATTTACGACATTTCTATGCCGCCCTTCTCACCCCGAAGGGGACTCAGAGCGGCTTGCAAGATATATATACATACAATATATACAATTATCAGCATAGTACAATATCAGCATTAAATATTACTATATTGTACTATACCATTATATTGTAATATTATTAGTAATATTACATGTAATATAAATATATAATTATAATATCATATTATTATTAGTATTATATTGCATTACATTATATTATTTAAATAATTTATTACACTACATGTAATATAAATATATAATTATAATATATTATTAGTAGTGGTATTATATTGCATTACATTATAATATTATAAATAATTTAATATTATAAATATTAAACACGCATCAAGGACCATGAAAAGCACTGCAGACTACTTCAGCCATAGCAGAGCACTTGATGAACCAACCTGGGCACAGCATATTATTTGAGGACATAGAAATGCTGGACCACTCCAACAACCACCATGTTAGACTACACAGAGAAGCCACTGAAATCCACAAGAAGCACGTGGACAATTTCAACAGAAAGGAGGAAACCATGAAAACGAACAAAATTTGGCTACTAGTATTTAAAAAACATTAGAATCAGGACATTAAATAAAGAGGAACATTCAAAAAGCAGGGGAATTACAGACAAGAAAAAAAACAGGGCCAGCTAATCACCTCCCAACAAAATATTCCCCCAGACAGGAAGCAGCCAGACCCTGAAACTGCAAGGCCATTCAATGCTAATCAAGGTGGCCAATTGCAACACTTGCCTCAAACATTACTCCACAGGGTGAGGCAGCATAACTTCCTTTTTTAAAATGAGCGCCATTCAGTCGGTTGAAGACGTAGCGGAGCACTAGAGGTCTCGTTCGAGAGGCAGGAGTATAAAGTTTTGTCCTGACACAGTTCAGTCGCCATCATGCGTTGGAACTGTGAGGAGCATGCTTTTGCCGTTGAGGCCTACTTTTCGAGGGGATTTGGAGTGGCCGACCCGCTCTCCAGATTTGGCCCTTTGTGATTTTTTTCTATGGAGGTTTTTGAAATCCCGTGTTTATGTGAACTGCCCAAGGACCCTACAAGATTGGAAGACCAACATCCAGGAAGGAATTGCCAACATAATGCCTGCTATGCTGGAAAGATTCATGACAAACGCCAGAAATCGGTTGACTCAGTGTATGGACAATGAGGGACGTCACCAACCTAATTTGATCTTCAAAACAACGTAAAACAAAACTTTAGGTATGCGTTTACATTATATATATAAAAAAAATCTGATTCATACAATGGGTTTTATTAAGTTTTGAAAAAAGGAAGTTATGCTGCCTCACCCTGTATAAACCCCACTTGCCTAGTTTCCAACAGACCTCGCAACCTCTGAGGATGCCTGCCATAGATGTGGGCGAAACGTCAGGAGAGAATGCTTCTAGAACATGGCCAGACAGCCCGGAAAACTCACAGCAAGCCAGAGATTCCAGCCATAGAAGCCTTCGACCACGCAAATTCCAGACAAGAAACAATCAGGGCCAGTTAACACCTCCCAACAAAGGATTCCCCCAGGCAGAAACAAGCCAGGCTTTGAAGCTGCAAGGCCATTCAATGCTAATCAAGGTGGCAAATTGCAACATTCATGCTTGCCTCAAACACTACTCCACAGATATATAAACTCCACTTGCCTAGTTTCCAACAGACCTCACAACCTCTGAGCCAAAGATGCAGGTAAAACATCAGCCTGGGAAACTCACAGCAAGCCAGTGATTCCAGCCATGAAAACCTTCGACAATACATCTAAAATAACTGCTTGCAAAGGGTCAATGGAAACTAGAGCCACAGGTTACTTACTCCTGCTCTGCAAAAAACACAAACCAGAAGTCCCTTGCTCTCTCAAACCCCCTCAAGAGATCCTAGAAAAGGAGCACTCTCTTTACTATGTAAACAGACAAGGTAAACAGGCCAGATAAAGTCACAGGCCTAAACTTGCTCGAGAGGTCCCACACTGAGGCCAATGCTTTACTTAGAATCATAGAGTTGGAAGAGACAGCATGGACCATCTAGTCCAACCTCCTTCTGCCAATGCAGGAAGAGCACATTCAAAGCACCCCTGACAGATGGCCATCCAACCTCTGTTTCAAAGCTCTGAGGCAGAGAGTTCCACTACTGAACAGCTATTTTGTGCTACTGGACCACACTGACTACTACTGCTTGTTCATGCAAACGACCCCCATTCCTTTCCTTGTGGCACCGAGAAAGAGCCTTGCAGGCACCTGGAAAGCACAGAGAAGCAGCAAGACAAGGCCAAACAGGTCGGTTCTAGGGGTTTCTTACCAATTCCTCTACTTTTGAACTGAGTTGTTTGTTTGTTAGATTGCTGGAGTCTAGAGCTACTGCCAGCTCCTGGTAACGTGTCTGATGGGCACATGCAGACAACGGGAGGAGTGGGGAAGAGAGTAGAAGAGGGGAAGAAAAAGGCAAATCATTAAAAAGGGAGGAGAAAATGATTGACGTCACAGCCGAGCGCCTTTGTGCCACTCCATCCCCACCTCCCGCTCGAACCCACTTGGGCTTGAATCCAACTGCTAGTCTCAACTAGAGTTTGTAACCATTCGGTAGTTAGTGATCCAGGGCATCGGCTCTAGGGAGGAGGAGCAGGTGAATTCAGACCAAACTGATTCTCCTTCAAAGACAAATCTGCATTTTGAGAAAACTCAAGATATGCCCCAAACCCAATCTGGATGTAACCTTGAGAACATTCACAAGAAAACACACACAAAAAAACCCCCCAATAACATACGTTTGTGGTTTTACAGCATGCAGGCAATTGTACTCAAAGCCCGTTCTCACTGCTTAAATGCACAACGGAGACCTAAATCAGTTGCTCAATGACAAAGAGCCCATAGCTGTGGACCTACCGCCATTTCTTTCATATCTGTGCAAGATGTGGCATTTTCCCCATTCACGTAGGCCGCTGGCTGCAAAATAGAGATACCTGCCATTATAATATGCAACTGGCAAAAACCAGTAAATCCCTTTGGCTCAGGTAAGTGCCACGTAAACATGATATTCCCTTGGCAGCTATAGGAGGAGGCTCCAATAGGACAGGGAAGGATACACTTCAGACTTATGTAACAGAACTTCCTGTGTTGAGCCTGGGTCACTTGAGATGCACTCTTACTTGGCAGGCTCTCCCACCGCCAACATACAGGTTTATTTATACATATATATATCTCAGTATTTCTCAACCTTCCTAATGCTGCGACCCCCTCATACAGTTCCTAATGTTGTTGTGGCCACCAACCATAAAATTATTTTTTATTTCATTTTGCTACTGATATGAATCATAATGTTACTGTGTTTMTACTTTTTTTTCTATGTAATTTTGATGACATTGCTTGTTGTTTATGTTCTGGTTTTATTTTGCTGTAACATGTTGTCCGGGCTTGGCCCCATGTAAGCCGCTCCGAGTCCCCATTAGGGAGATGGTGGCGGGGTATAAATAAAAGATTAATTTTATTATTATTATTATTATTATTATTATTATTATTATTATTATTATTACTATTATAATGTAAATATCTGCGCTGGAAATTTAGCCCAATTCTATCGTTAGTGGAGTTCAGAAATAATAATAAATAATAATAAACTTTTATTTATACCCCGCCACCATCTCCCCAACAGGGATTCGGAGCGGCTTACATGGGGCCAAGCCCGGACAACATATTACAACAAAATAAAACCAGAGCATAAACAATAAATAACATAATCAAATTACATCAAGAAAAAATGAAAAAAATATATAAACAGTCATAAAATAACATTCCAATAAACACAATCACAATAACAATGGGTGGGCCACATGTACGATTCTAAGACTCTTCTAATGAGATAAAAATAGGAGCAAGTTATCTGCATGGAATAGTAAAAACACACATAGTTGTGAAGCTAGGTGAACTACAAATCCCAAATGTCAAGGTAGATTTTCCCCAAACACTACCAGTGTTCACATTTGGGCATATTGAGTATTTGTGCCAAGTTTGGTCTAGATCCATCATCGTTTGAGTCCACAGTGCTCTCTAGATGTAGGTGAACTACAACTTCAAAACTCAACGTCAATGACCACCAAACCCTTAGAATCATAGAATCAAAGAGTTGGAAGAGACCTCATGGGCCATCCAGTCCAACCCCCTGCCAAGAAGCAGGAATATTGCATTCAAATAATCCCTGACAGATGGCCATCCAGCCTCTGTTTAAAAGCTTCCAAAGAAGGAGCCTCCACCATGCTCCAGGGCAGAGAGTTCCACTGCTGAACGGCTCTCCAGTATTTTCTGTTGGTTGTGGGACTTCTGTGTGCTAAGTTTGGTTCCATTCCATCATGGGTGGATTCAGAATGCTCTGATTGTAGGTGAACTATAAATCCTAGCAACTACAACTCCCAAATGACAAAATCACCACCACCACCCCAACCCCACCAGTATTCAAATGTGGGTGTGTCGGGTATTTGTGCCAAATTTGGTCCAGTGAATAAAAATATATCTTGGCTATCCGATATTTACATTACAATTCATAACAGTAGCAAAATAACAGTTATGAAGTAGCAACGAAAATAATGTGATGGTTGGGGGGTCACCACAATATGAAGAACTGTATTAAGGGATCGAGACATTAGAAAAGTTGAGGAACACTGCTTTAGAAGAACATTCACAGCAAACATCAAGTATTGCCAAGAAGCTGAAAGAAAACATCCCACTCATAGAAGAATTCCCACTGATCACACGACATATCCAAGCCACTCATTTCTGATTTTCGTATGAAAATATCTTATTGTCTGGCTATAAAAACTTCTGCAGCAACTGAAAATTCCTGAGCCGGCTACTTAACTCTCACTTGGGTATAAAAGTAACAATTACCTGGTTGACCATGCCATTAAGCTGCTCAGAGAGCTGGCGGAGGCTCTCGGTTAATGAGGGGGACCTAGAAAAGAAACAAAGCAGGTTGCTTTAATAAAAGGGACTAGTAAGGCCAGTATGTGCAAAGGGAAAAAAAAGACACAGCATTACAGAAATACAAATGTAGATCTAAAGTTACTTACCGGCTTTCTTCAAATGTGTTTTTATGTTCCAAGTCACTGAGCTGTGGAATAAAATACATGCGTAACTGTACAAATAATGAGAAGCACATAAATGAGTGCATGCATAAGTCTGGAAGCATGCATACGTATACATACATACATACATACATACATACATACAGGTTAAGTATCCTTTATCTGAAATGCTTGGGACCAGAAGTGTTTTGGTTTTCAGATTTTGGAATACAGTGTTCCCTCGCTACTTCGTGGTTCACTTTTAGCAGACTCGCTGTTTCGCAGTTTTCAATAAATATTAATTTAAAACATATATCGCTGTATTTTCACTGTTTCACGGATTTTTGCCGCCGCCGCTCTCCGAGGCGCTTTCCCTCCTCAGTCCTCCCTCCCTCCAGCCTTGAAGGGCCTTTCCTTCCTTTCCTTCACTTTATTTTAAGTTTATAAATACTTAAAATAGTGCATAACTACTAAAATAATATAGAAATATTAAAATAAATATAGAGTCCCTACATCGCTGTTGTAGTAGAGCCTGTTGGCAACGATACAACTGGTAGTACAAGAGGTAAAAGAGGGAAAAGGTGTGCTCAAGAGTTAGATGAGGAGCAACAGAGGAAGAGGATCCGGGAGATACTTATGTCACTCACTGATGAAGGTTTCTTTGAGGGGTTTTCTGAAAGTGAGATGAGTGAAGAGGAGGAGGGAGATACAGCAAGGGAAACTAAGAGGTTTACTCGGGAGCAGGAGTCGGATGAGGAGCGTCAAAGGAAGAAGATCCTGGAGATACTTACTGCTCCCACGGAAGAGGAGGATTTCATGGGTTTTTCTGGAGATGATGGGTCTCCATCATCTCCAGAAGGGTGGAGGGAGTGGGGATGAAACACTGGATTGGACCAAGATACAAGAAGTTCGGGATGTGTGTACTCAACCAACGTCTAGTGACACGTTTGCGGGGTTTTCTGGTGGCGGGGATTGGCAATCGGGTGATACTGTGGGATCTTGGGGAGACCTAAGTCTTGACAAGAGGTGGAGGGATGGCAGTTGGTGCTCAGCTGTGGAAGCTAAGCCAGCTGAGAGTGATGAGGACGGGGTGGAGGGCAACTCATCATCCAGTGATGAGTTGTAAGATAAAAGTAGGCACCAAAATGCGAGGACTTTGTAGAAGGCAAAGTGTTGGTTTCGTGCCTTGAGTTTTGTCGCTGCCACTCTTGTGTTGGGCTTGGGTCCTGGAACTGCAGGTTGCTGTTTATCTTCGTGTGACTTCTTGGCTTGGATTCTCGTAACTGCGGATTTCCCCTCTCCTTGATTTCAGACTGCTTTTTGACGACGACGCTGCCTTGTGGACTTTGGAACCTCACTACTTTGGATTTGGATTTATTTGGCTTTGGACTTCATCTGGACTATGGTTCTTCTTCACTGCTTCTTGTTTGAGTATTTTCCATGTACTGTGTGATTTTGGCGTGTTTTAGAAATACTCCTGTGTAATCTGGGTTTTTTGCCAGGATAATCCAGATTATAGTTTAAGTTTGTTTTTCAAGCTGGAAATTGCTGCAATCTTTGAGTTTTGACCAGAGGCACTGAAGTAATTGTCTCTGAGTCCTTCTGTTTGCTTTAATAAACTGTTTCTTTTGGACATACTACTGTGTCTGGCTCTTTAAGGCTTCTGGGTTCCGACATCGCAGTTTTTCACATGGAACGCAACTCCCGCGATAAGTGAGGAAACACTGTACTTGCATTTGCATAGTGGGTAAATAATGGGCTATCTTGGAAATGGGGCTTAGGTCTAGACACAAAACTTGTTTATGTTTGATATAGCCTGAAGGTAATGTTATGCACAATATTTTAAATCATGTACATGAAACAAAATACAATGTACCTTCAGAAAGCAAAGGTGTCACTATCACAGGCACCATGCGTACCATTTTGGAGTATTTTGGATGCTTAACCTGTAAACAGAGTGGGTGGATTCTGCCCTTTCATAACAGAAGCTCACATAAACCTTGCCTCTATCAAGAGCTAAGCAAGTGGCCACTCCAAATTCTCTACCAGGAGCTAGTTTTATTAAGAACGGTTATGTTCCTTGCTACACGCCATCTTTCCAGTATTTAGCCAACCAAACAACATATTATCGATATTATCGAAGGCTTTCATGGCTGGAATTACGCGGTTCTTGTAGGTTTTTCAGGCTATACGGCCATGTTCGAGAACATTCTCTCCTGACGTTTCGCCTGCATCTATGGCAAGCATCCTCAGAGGTTGTGACCTCACAGCCTCTGAGGATGCTTGCCATAGATGCAGGTGAAATGTCAGGAGAGAATGCTTCTAGAACATGGACCCAACCAAACAACAGATTGTCAGGTTGTGTGGAATTGGATTTGATGGGGAACAAGGCACGCATATTTACTTCTTTTCAGGTCATGCCTTTCTCAAGTAGATCTGGAACTGGATAAACTGGGCACGAGGAGACCTCAGTGCCAGGGCCGGCCCCAGGTAATTTTCAGCAGTAAACAGGGGCATCGCAAGAGCGCCCCTCAATTTAATGCAATCCATACTTGCTGCTTGGGATTGGGCTCTTTTGGGAGTTGTAAATACTACAAATAACTGTTTTCCACCAGATTCAGAATTGTAAGACTGCCATCCGATTTGGAGCAGGGAATGCGCGCATGCAGACACACACACACACACACACTGGGATCTAAACCAGCAGATATTTGTGTCTCTGAAGGCTTTCACTTTAGGGCATTGGTCTGGAGCCAGGGAGGAAAATGGCCACAGTGATCATTTCATGCAGTTTCGAAGTGGTTTTGCTGTGTGTGCAGATAGAAAACCAGCTTGAAGCTGGGATGGGGTTTACACAAACAGCAGAGAACTGATGCTCACAAAGGACTTGCTTTTGTGTAAATTTTGTTGCCTAGCTTTGAAGTCCATATAATGCTCAGTGTGAATTGAGGGCCCTTCTACCACATTGCCATATCAAATACCAATGGTCTGCTTTGAATGGCAGTCTAGACTCACATATCAGATTCAAGTGAGATAATGCGGGTTATCTGATTTAATAATCTGGATCATGTGGCAGTGTAGAAGGGACCTGGGAGACCTGGGACCTCAGCGACACTACCATATAAAATCCAGATTTATCTGCTTTGAACTGGATTATGTCTACACTGTCACAAATTCCAGCTCAAAGCAAACTGTTTGGATTTTATATGGCAGTATAGATGGGGACTGAGGGCCCTTCCACACAGCCATATAACCCAGAATATCAAGGCAGATAATACAGAATACCTGCTTTGAACTGGATTATATGTGTCTACACTGTCACAAATACCAGCTCAAAGCAATCTTTTTGGATTTTATATGGCAGTAGACCATTTCCGCTACCTTGGCAGCCACCTCTCCACCAATGTCAACATCGACACCGAAATACAACACCGCCTGAGCTCTGCGAGTGCAGCATTTTCCCGAATGAAGCAGAGAGTGTTTGAGGACCGGGACATCCGTAGGGATACCAAGGTGCTTGTCTATAAAGTTATTGTCCTCCCAACCCTGCTCTATGCCTGCGAAACGTGGACTGTCTACAGACGTCACATGCAACTCCTAGAACGATTCCATCAGCGCTGCCTCCGGAAAATCCAGCAAATATCTTGGGAAGACAAGCTGACAAACGTCAGCATGCTGGAAGAAGCAAAGACCACCAGCATTGAAGTGATGGTCCTCTGCCATCAACTCCGCTGGGCCGGCCACGTTGTCCGGATGCCTGACCACCGTCTCCCAAAGCAGTTGCTCTACTCCGAACTCAAGAACGGAAAACGGAATGTTGGTGGACAGGAAAAGAGATTTAAAGATGGGCTCAAAGCCAACCTTAAAAACTCTGGCATAGACACTGAGAACTGGGAAGCCCTGGCCCTTGAGCGCTCCAGCTGGAGGTCAGCTGTGACCAGCAGTGCTGCAGAATTCGAGGAGGCACGAGTGGAGGGTGAAAGAGAGAAACGTGCCAGGAGGAAGGCACGTCAAGCCAACCCCAACCGGGACCGCCTTCCACCTGGAAACCAATGCCTTCACTGTGGGAGAAGATGCGGGTCAAGAATAGGGCTCCACAGCCACCTACAAACCCACAAAAATAGTCATCAAGGAAGACCATCTTACTCGTCCAACGAGAGATCGCCTAAGTAAATAACTAATATAGATATGAGCCCCTTGAATTTCAGCTGCCTTGCACACTGCACCCGAGGTGCCCCTAGGACTGCAGCACCCTACGCAAAAGCTTAACTGGCGTATTGCTTGAGCCGCCCCTGCTCAGTGCACAAGATGGAGAAATGTACATTTCCCCTCCTTGCCTGCATGAGATGTTTTTAATCCTTATGTGAACCTTGTTTTGCTTCACACAACACAGTGGGGGAAACCTCTGTAGGATATCAGAGCATTCACAAACCTGTGACAGCTGCATGCTTCCAGGATCTGGGGAGGCAGAGCTAGGCAAACTGTTGCTGTTAGATAACATGGGGACATCGGCAGCCAGCTGGTCAGCATTATGGACGGCAACTTCCCCATCACAGTATGCCTGTCACAAAACACACAAGGATTACAAGCACCGTGCAGGTGTGGGGAACACAGAGGAGTGCAGACGTAAAAAAACAACAACAAATAATTCTGGAAGCATTTGTCAAAGTTAGAAGCAATTCAACAGCACATGCTCTCTGCAGTTATCAAAACACAACTGGGCCCTATAATATTTCACTTGTCATTAAGAATTAACTGCAGTAATTTATATTGAAGCCTGAGCTGCTACAAAGGTATGGGGAAATATCTGGCACTTGTACTGCCTCTTTATGTTTACACATTGCTGGAAAGGCTGAATGGCTGAATTTGACTGCCAAACGCTTCCTCCCAAAATGCTCCCCATGGTTTCTAGGACACTGAAATCCAAGGGTGGCAGTTAGATCCAGATCAAATATAAATAGGAGCATTATCCTAATTAAAATGGTACCCACTAACTAAAGGCCTGGATTTTACTTAGAGATTAACTAACCAAATATAGTTGCATTTAGAGAGGCTATGCAACTCACAGCGAAAGTTTTAAGGGTGTGAGGAAGTGGGAAAAAGCAAGGACATTGCAGCGTGGGAATGTTCTTTGCTCCTTCTCTCCAAGCTTATTGTGCCCCTCGTGTATGCCATTACATTCATTCAGGATTAGTTCATAGAGAACGGTAGTCACGTTAAAGTGTTCCTAGAATGGCTGGCACTCCCCTTCTGCATCTCAGCATTGACTCAATTTTTCTCATTCCAGAAACCAAATTTGCTCCTGGGGCACTCAGTCCCATTAACCAGTAAGCAAACAAACACAAGACTGCATTATGCCAATAGTACAAATTTATGGGGCCACTGGTGGTGCAGCGGTTTAAACCACTGAGCTGCTGAACTTGCTGACCAAAAGATTGGAGGTTCAAATCTGGGGAGCAGAGTGAGCTCCTGCTGTTAGGCTCAGCTCCTGCCAACCTAGCAGTTCGAAAACATGCAAGTGAGCAGATAAATAAGTACCATTCCAGCGGGAAGGTAATGGCACTCCTCGCAATCATGCCACATGACCTTAAAGGTGTCTATGGACAACACCGGCTCTTCATATTAGAAATGGAGGTGAGCACCAACCCCCCAGAGTCGGACATGACTAGACTTAATGTCAGGTGAAATCTTTACATTTGACAAAGTTTATATATCTCATATATCTTGTCACAGATTCCATTCTTTTCCATGTTTATTTGGTGAATTAAATCAAATAAGTCAGAATAGGCACATCGAAATGAAACCTGAACTTTTAAAGTCTGAAAACAAGGCCAAATCAGGCAAATTTTACTTAAATATTGACTCCCCATTCAACCATTAATTCACTGTGTCTACCCCAGCTGGACTACCAACAGTGTTCTGGTGCAACGTTTTGCTTTCCTTTTAAAATCATAATTCAAAAACAATTATGATACATGGAATATTGTATTGTCGAAGGCTTTTATGGCCAGAATCACTGTGTTCTTGTAGGTTGCACCTGCATCTATGGCAAGCATCCTCCGAGGTAGTGAGGTCTGTTGGAACTAGGAAAATTGGGTTTATATATCTGTGGAATGACAAGGGTAGGACAAAGAACTCTTGTCTATTGGAGCTAGGTGTGAATGTTTCAACTGACCATCTTGATTAGCATTTGATGGCCTGGCAGTTTTTTGGTGTGGCTGGTTAGTGCCTGGGGGAATCTTTTGCTGAGAGGTGATTAGCTGTCCCTGATTGTTTCCTCTCTGTTGTTTTGCTGTTGTAATTTTAGAGTTTTTTGTTCATTTTCATGGTTTCCTCCTTTCTCTTGAAATTGTCCACATGCTTATGGATTTCAATGGCATAGATGCAGGCGAAACGTCAGGAGAGAATGCCTCTAGAATATGGCCATATAGCCCGAAAAAACCTACAACAATTTTCTTCCCATGTTTTGATACATGATACATGATCTTTCATATTTATTCTCAAAATTTGCAGAAGCAGAAGTGACTAAGGGCCCTTCCAGACAGGCCCTATATCCCTGGATCTGATCCCAGGTTTTCTGTTTATCCCAGATTATCTGCCAGTGCAGACTCATATAATCCAGTTTAAAGCAGAAAACCGGGGATAAGATCCTGGGATATAGAGCCTGTCTGGAAGGGCCCGAACTCAAGTCAACTGGTTTCTATTTCATGTTTGGTCAAGCAGCACTTGTGCTACAGAAATGGACCAAAAATGGAAGTTTATTTTCCCTAATTCAGATGTTTGCCAACAGCCCCTGGTAACACAAGCAATCAAAAAGCCAGGTTCTTGTGGGTTTTTTTCGGGCTATAGGGCCATGTTCTAGAGGCATTTCTCCTGACGTTTCGCCTGCATCTATGGCAAGCATCCTCAGAGGTAGTGAGGTCTGTTGGAAATAGGACAATGGGTTTATATATCTGGAATGGCTGGGGTGGGGCAAAGAGCTCTTCTCTGCTGGAGCTAGGTGTGAATGTTTCAACTGACCCCCTTCATTAGCATTTGAAGGCCTGGCTGAGCAGAGAGGAAACCAGGCACATCTTAACACCTCTCAACAAAAGATTTTCCCAGGCTCAGCCAGGCCTTCAAATGCTAATGAAGGTGGTCAGTTGAAACATTCACACCTAGCTCTAGCAGAGAAGAGCTCTTTGCCCCACCCCAGCCATTCCACAGATATATAAACCCATTGTCCTAATTCCAACAGACCTCACTACCTCTGAGGATGCTTGCCATAGATGCAGGCGAAACGTCAGGAGGAATGCCTCTAGAACATGGCCCTATAGCCCGAAAAAACCCACAAGAACCTAGTGATTCCAGCCATGAAAGCCTTCGACAATAAATCAAATAGCCACTTCCTGCCTTGGGATATTTATATATTCCTCAGATTTGAGCCCATGTGCACGTTTCATCACCTGTCAAAATAGAAGTTGGCATGGACAGGCAGTGCAACTCATCTACAACCAGGCCAACAGTTTGATCAGAGAATGAGCAAAAACATGCTCTTCTGAGTGAAACTCATCAAAATAAAACAATAACAAGAGAGAAAAGAAGATCCTAAGCAGAGAAACCAAGACCTGCCTGTGAGCTTTGGTGAACAATGCAATTTATATGTTCACTCACCACGATCAACGCGAAAAAAGACAACATTGGGGCAGCTTTCCCAGCCAATCCCTCCAGACATGCCTGACATATTTGCAAAGCAGCTGCTCAAAGCAAGGCCCCTCTTCCCAATTGTAATTTGAACCAAGTGAAGGGAAGTGCTCACAAGTGCTATGGTGGGAGGGGGGAGCAAGTCCAAAATAGCTCCGTGTTAATGGTGGCAACAACAACATTCACACAGCTGACAGAAAATATCCCAAAGGGATGTGTATTCCACCCACTCCCAGAGAAAGACCCTACATGTTGAAAACCAGATCAGAAGCATGCAGTACGGAGAGCAAGCCAGCGGGACAGATTCTGAATGCTGCCTCACCTTTCTCTTGTCCAATGGAGGTATGGCTACCCCATTGGAGCGGTTAAGGTCTGACACCAGCACCTTCAGAATGTTCTGAATCTAAAGGAAGTGAAAGAAAAAGGGGAAAGAGAAACAGCTGAGAAAAGGGACAGAATGAACACATTGATCAGCGGGTTCCTGATGCCAAAGGATCAAGAAAGAATCAACAAGGCTGAGAACCTAGAAAGACCCAAGGTGGAAGCAAATCCTATTGAAATCTAGAAAACTCATTTATGCCTCATCTCTTTAGGATCGGAGTACAAGTCCTTCACCTCAAAGGGGAATTCCAAAACATCCATATTAAATGTTCCCTGACTAAACCTGGAGAATCAAATCTGCTGACCTACCTGATTTTATCGGCCTGCCAATATTAGAAAGAGAAACACGCAGCTCTGTTAATTTCATACAATATCAAAAGTACCTTTAAGCAAGAAGATAAATATTTTGGAGCATGTAATATAGTAAACAAGCCACTCACGTTTTCAGGAGACTCTCTGCCATCATTTGTTGGCGTCTCTGGTCTACTCCCTTCTTTACCTTTACGTTTCTTCTTGGCTCCTGGTGTTAACCCAGGGCTATTCTTTTGTTGATATTCCTTCAGCTGAGAACAGGAAGGGAAAACAACAACCCTAAAGTCCAACAAATTAAGCACTTATGAGACTTTCCATTTAACAATATCTAGAGCAGTGGTTCTCAACCTGGGGGTCGGGACCCCTGGGGGGGTCATGAGGGGGTGTTAGAGGGGTCGCCAAAGACTATCAGAAAACACAATATTTTCTGTTGGCCATGGGGGGTTCTGTGTGGGAAGTGTGGGCCCATTCTATCGTTGGTGGGGTTCAGAATACTCTTTGACTGTAGGTGAACTTTTTTTTTTGTCGTGTCAGGAGCAACTTGAGAAACCGCAAGTCGCTTCTGGTGTGAGAGAATTGGCCATCTGCAAGGACATTTCCCAGGGGATGCCCAGATGATTTCATGTTTTTATCATCCTTGTGGGAGGCTTCTCTCATGTCCCCACATGAGGAGCTGGAGCTGATAGAGGGAGCTCATCCGCCTCGCCCCGGATTTGAATCTGCGACCTGTTGGTCTTCAGTCCTGCCGGCACAGGGTTTTAACCCACTGCGCCACCGGGACTCCTATAAATCCCAGCAACTATAACTATAAGTGTAGTTGATCGGTAAACTGTAAATCCCAGCAACTACAACTCCCAAATGTCAAGTTCTATTTTCCCCAAACACCACTAGTTTTCACATTTGGGCATATTGAGTATTCGTGCCAAGTTTGGCCCAGATCCATTATTGTTTGAGTCCACAGTGATCTCTGGATGCAGGTGAACTACAACTCCCAAACTCAAGGCCAATACCCACCAAACCCTTCCAGTATTCTGTATTAGTCATGGGAGTTCCGTGTGCCAAGTTTTATTAAATTTGATCGTTGGTGGAGTTCAGAATGCTCTTTGATTGTAGGTGAACTATAAATCCCAGCAACTACAAATCAATCCCCCGCCCAACCACACTAGTATTCAAATTTGGATGTATTTGTGCCAAATGTGGTCCAGTGAATGGAAATACATCCTGCTTATCAGATATTTACATTACAATTCACAACAGTAGCAAAATTGGAGTTATGGGGCAACAACGAAAATAATGTTCTAGTTGGGGGTCACCACAACTTGAGGATCTGTATTAAGGGGTCATGGCATTAGGAAGGTTGAGAAACACTGATCTAGAGAACAGCATGCATTTTCCATCTCTGCCTTTCAATCTCTTCCATTTAACAGCAGTCCTCTTTCTCCTCCCTGAAAAATATGTGAGATCATTTTTGGTGTAGACTTTTGAAAAAGGAAGTAGTGAGCTTCCATAAAGCAGTGAGCTTTCAAAAGCCAAACAAAGAGTTACAGCAACCATCCACTTGTCTTATCTTGACCCAACATAAGATAAAGATTCTGGCATCTTGAAATGGGAGGTCGAAAAGGTTCCGTACTTGCTCCGAGTAGGAGAAGGAAGGCAACACTGAAGGCTATGAGGCATGGCCAGCCTTTGCCTTCTGGCTGCCCGAGGCAAATGTCATGGTCAATTGGGCACTATGGATGGCACAAATCAAAGACAAAGAAGTTACTCCTGCGTGATGTACTAATAGCCAAGCATGAGCCAGAACATTTCTCTATCCAAATTTTTGCCATTTCAATGACAAATGTATAAACGTTGGCTGGGGTCATAGAGTTGCAATAATAAACTTTATTTATATACTGCTCTATCTTCCCAAAGGGACAACATAAACACCCAAACACTCAATTGTCAAAAAGAAAACCATACAGACAATTTATATCAAGACAAGCACATTAAACAATATAAAACAACCTACTTTAACTTAATAAACAAAATAACAATAAAATAAAAAATACTGTATATACTTTTTTAGGCTGAAAAAGTCCCGCTCGGCTTATACTTGAGTCAAGGTTATTTATTATTTTACTCTGTTATTATTATTATTTGTAATGCATTTATAATTTTACTCTATTAATATTATTACATTTATTAGAATCATAGAATCATAGAGTTGGAAGAGACCTCATGGGCCATCCAATCCAACCCCCTGCCAAGAAGCAGGAATATTGCATTCAAAGCACCCCTGACAGATGGCCATCCAGCCTCTGTTTAAAAGCTTCCAAAGAAGGAGCCTCCACCACACTCCGGGGCAGAGAGTTCCACTGCTGAACGGCTCTCACAGTCAGGAAGTTCAGGTGGAATCTCCTCTCTTGTAGTTTGAAGCCATTGTTCCATGTCCTAGTTTCCAGGGAAGCAGAAAACAAGCTTGCTCCTTCCTCCCTGTGACTTCCTCTCACATATTTATACATGGCTATCATGTCTCCTCTCAGCCTTCTCTTCTTCAGGCTAAACATGCTCAGCTCTTTAAGCCGCTCCTCATAGGGCTTGTTCTCCAGACCCTTGATCATTTTAGTCGCCCTCCTCTGGACACATTCCAGCTTGTCAATATCTCTCTTCAATTGTGGTGCCCAGAATTGGACACAATATTCCAGGTGTGGTCTAACCAAGGCAGAATAGAGCATGGGTAGCATGACTTCCCTAGATCTAGACACTATGCTCCTATTGATGCAGGCCAAAATCCCATTGGCTTTTTTTTTGCCGCCACATCACATTGTTGGCTCATGTTTAACTTGTTGTCCACGAGGACTCCAAGATCTTTTTCACACGTACTGCTCTCGAGCCAGATGTCCCCCATTCTGTATTTTTGCATTTCGTTTTTCCTGCCAAAGTGGAGTATCTTGCATTTGTCACTGCTGAACAGTGACAAATTTACTTTATTTTACTTTATTATTGTTGTTACATTTATTATTTACATTTATCTTATTACTATATTTCCATTATTTTAATCAATAGTAATAATAATAACAAATGTAATAATTTTTATTAATAAATTATTACATTTATTATCTTATTCTCTTTATTATTATTGCAAGGATACATAAGCACATTTACATTGAAGAAGATGAAAATAATGGTTTCATCAGAGTTGGACAGTTATCTTAAATTACAGTTTTATGTAAATATTCAAAAACATTGGACCTACTGATACCTCAATTAATGTAATTTTATTGGTATCTATTTTTATTTTGAAATTGACCAGTACCTGCTGCATTTCCCACCCTCAGCTTATACTTGAGTCAATTCGTTTTCCCAGTTTTTTGTGGGTAAAATTGGATACCTCAGCTTATATTTGGGTTGGCTTATACTTGAGTATATACGGTAAATTATAAAATAAATAAATAAAATAAAAATGTCCTCTTGCAATGAACCCAAGAGGACATTGTACCATCATGTAACTTTTGAGAAAGCATTGTCACAATTGGTATGCAAGCACATAGCAATCTTAGAAGCATCAGCACTGCTATCCAATGGGCAGAAAAATAGCACATGTAAGACAGATATATACTTTAATACAGATATGAACTAAGACTAAATGACAAGTGAAGGACAACAGCTACAGTCCACACACTCTTTACAGAACAGACATTGAATATATAGCGTTGGGTATGTGGAGTAATTCTAATAGCTAGTTCAAAGGAGAACGTTATCATCTAAGCAGTTGCTGAATGATATGCCAGCATTTACGTAAATCATGTTCATTCAATGCATCTACTCTAAGTGGAACTAGAAAATAGATTTAGGCCTAGGTGTGCTGTCTACTAAAAAAAAGGTAAAGGTTTCCCCTGACATTAAGTCCAGTCGTGTCCGACTCTGGGACTCTGGTGCTCATCTCCATTTCTAAGCCGCAGAGCTGGTGCTGTCCGTAGACACCTCCAAGGCCATGTGGCCACTGGCATGACTGCATGGAGTGCCAATCTTAACATACTTTTATGTCTCTTCTTCTCTTACAAAATGAGCTTAATTATGTCTCTGTCCAATCAAGTGTTACAGCCTTGTATTTTAATATATCTTGCAGTTACAACATGACTGCTTTAAGAAAGAGTTTCTGAAAAACCACTTCCTGAAATTGTTGGAATATCCAAGCATTCGAAGGATGTGTCGCATGTTCTTCTCCCAACTGAATCTACAAGAGGAACTTCTATTATGCTTTCAAGGAATGTACTTATAAAGCTGTATTAAACTGACATGTTGATGGAGCCTAATTTTTTTTTTCCGTGTCACAAGTGACTTGAGAAACTGCAAGTCACTTCTGGTGTGAGAGCATTGGCCATCTGCAAGGACGTTGCCCAGAGGACGCCCGGATGTGTTGATGTTTTATCATCCTTGTGGGAGGCTTCTCTCATGTCCCCACAATGGGGAGCTGGGGCTGATAGAGGGAGCTCATCCACACTCTCCCCAAATTCGAACCTCCAACCTGTCAGTCTTCAGTCCTGCCAGCACAAGAGTTTAACTCATTCTGCCACTGGGGGCTCCTGGAGTCTAAGATAAGGAGTGAAAGACCCGCAAACAAACATATACTAAACTGTAGTATCTTTCTTTTAAGGTAATCCAGGAGTGTATCTTAATAAGAGTTTGGAGCACACAAAGTATATGGGAAAGTTCTGCATAACTGGTGGAAGCATCTCAAATATTTATTTCAATGCAGAACAGGCTTGTTTCTCAGCTGTTTCAGAAATGTTGACCAATGGATTGGAAGAGATCCCACCTAAAAATTAGGAAGAACTTCCTGGTGACAAGATCTGTATGATTGTGGGAAACATTGCCTTGAAGAGAAGTGGGCCCTCCCACTTTGGAGATGTTTAAACAGGGATTTATAAACAGCAATGCTTGGGATTACTGCATGGCAGGAAAGTTGGACTGGAGTACTTTGGGATCCCTTCCAAGTTTCCAACTTTTTAAAACAAGTGGATTGTCTTTAAAATGCATTCTGATTAAACCTCTCTGGAGAGAAGAGCCCCTTCTGACAATTGAGATATATGTCTCTAAATTTTGGCTACTCCTATTGGATGAGGACAAACAAGATTAATTCAGACAAGACAGAGGTCCTCCAGGTCAGTCACACGTCTGACCGGGGTATAGGGTAGCAACCTGTGCTTGACGGGGTTGCACTCCCCCTGAAGACACAGGTCTGCAGCTTGGGGGTCCTCCTAGATTCAGCAGTGACACTTGATGCTTAGGTGTCAGAGGTGGCTGGGAGGGCCTTCGCACAATTAAAACGCGTGCACCAGCTGCGACCATACCTCGTGAAGTCTGATCTGACCACAGTGGTCCACGCCTTAGTTACCTCTAGATTGGACTATTGCAATGCACTCTATATGGGGCGCCCTCGAAGACGGCCCAGAAACTTCAACTGGTCCAATGTTCAACAGCCAGACTGTTAACTAGAGCAAATTACAGGGAGCAGTCTACCTCGCTGTTTGAGCTCCACTGGTTGCCATTCATCTTCCAGTCCTAATTCAAGGTGCAGGTTATCACCTACAAAGCCCTGAATGGTTTGGGACTCGTCTACCTTCGTAACCGCAGCTCCTTCCATAAATCTGCACGAACTCTTCGATCCTCTGGGGAGGCTCTCCTTTCACTGTCACTTTTATGTCAAGTACAACTGATGGAGACGAGAGAGAGAGAGAGCCTTCTCTGCTGTGGCCCCTTGGCTTTGGAACTCACTACCTAGTGAGATTAGGCGAGCCCCTACCCTGGCAGCTTTTAAGAAAGACCTAAAAACTTGGCTCTTCCAATGTGCCTTTGGCGAGTGAACATATATTCCATATTTTGTCTGTTCCAACTACAGTTCCATCTTCATGATGCACTTTCCCCTGCCCTTAATGAAGGTCTAACCCAGGGGTCCTCAAACTAAGGCCCAGGGGCCAGATACGGCCCTCCAAGGTCATTTACCCGGCCCTTGCTCAGGGTCAACCTAAGTCTGAAACGACTTGAAAGCATACAACAACAAAAACAACAACCCTATCTCATCAGCCAAAAGCAGGCCCACACTTCGCATTGAAATACTAATAAGTTCATATTTTTAAAAATTGTTCGTCATTTTAATTATTGTATTGTTTTTAAGTGTTTTTTGCACTACAAATAAGATATGTGCAATGTGCATACGAATTCATTCATGCTTTTTTCAAATTATAATCCGGCCCTCCAACAATCCGAGGGACTGTGACCTGGCCATCGATTTAAAAAGTTTGAGGACCCCTGATCTAACCCCATAGTTCATTCTTTTTTAGCTCTTCCCTCAGAAAGACATTCTCCCATCACTTATCTCATCCAAGGTTTTATCAATTTTATCCTAGTGTATTTGACCCGCCCACTGCATTCTATTTCTCTATCATGTTATTTTGTGATTGTTTTATTTTATTTTGTTATTTCATGATTTTTTATTTTGATGTTAATTTTGCTTCTTTCTATTTTATCTTTTTCATACTGATATCGAGCCTGGCATTGTCCACCGTTCTGTATCATTGCATTTCATTTTTTCCACCTAAGTGGAGTATGTAGAGATGCCCAAGGAGCTGCTTCCTCCCAAGAAACACCTCTCAAACTAAGAAACTATTCCACGTTTCTCTGAGCTCTGTCACTTTGCTTTGGCATTTAAATACAGCCAGATGCATATAAGTGCAGGTCAGAATAGAATAACCGCATCTCCGTTTACGAACCCACGCGTTCACTTCGTTCATCTGGAGAGGCCCTGCTCGTGATCCCGCCTGTGTCGCAAGCGCGTTTGGTGGGGACACGAGACAGGGCCTTTTCTGTGGTGGCCCGACTCTGGAACACCCTCCCCAAAGATCTTAGACAGGCCCCTACATTGGCAGTCTTTAGAAAAAACTTGAAGACCTGGCTGTTCCGATGTGCCTTTCCAGAATAGGAAAACTCCAATACCAAGTCCCAGAAGCACTTTATTAGAACTAAGATTGCCGCACACTGCACACTGCACTTACCCTATAATCCTTATATACCACCTGTCACATCAGCACTTTTAATTCTGTACCCATTACTCTGGCCCGGCCCAGTTTTATTGTGTCTTGGTGTATTGTATATTGTTTAATATTGCTTTAATTGTTTTTAATTTGCTTTAGGTTTTGTATTGTTATGTTGTGTATTGAGGCCTTCGGGAGATGCTAGCGGGGTACAAATAAAGTTAATAATAATAATAATAATAATAATAATAATAATAATAATATGTAGAGACGCCCAAGGATCTGCTTCCTCCCAAGAAACACCTCTCAAACTAAGAAACTATTCCACGTTTCTCTGAACTCTGTTACTTTGCTTTGGCATTTAAATACAGCCAGATGCATATAAGTACAGGTCAGAATAAAATAATTTCATTGTCATTGTTCATCAGTTGTAGGCAAACTTCGGCCCTCCAGATGTTTTGGACTTCAATTTAGGCTTAAGCGGCTGCGAGTTATGGAAGGTGCCTGAGGTTGTTAGGAATTGTGGGAGTTAAAGTCCAAAACAACAATTGAAGAGAGATATTGACAAAGTGGAATGTGTCCAGAGGAGCGTGACTAAAATGATCAAGGGTCTGGAGAACAAGCCCTATGAAGAGCGGTTTAAAGAGCCGAGCATGTTTTGCCTGAAGAAGAGATGGCTGAGAGGAGACATGATAGTCATGTATCAATATGTGAGAGGAAATCACAGGGATGAGGGAGCAAGCTTGTTTTCTGCTTCCTGGAGACTAGGACACGGAACAATGGCTTCAAACTACAAGAAAGGAGATTCCATCTGAACATGAGGAAGAACTTCCTGACTGTGAGAGCTGTTCAGCAGTGGAACTCTCTGCCCTAGAGTGTGGTGGAGGCTCCTTCTTTGGAAGCTTTTAAACAGAGGCTGGATGGCCGTCTGTCAGGGGTGCTTTGAATGCAATATTCCTGCTTCTTGGCAGAATGGGGTTGGACTGGATGGTCCATGAGGTCTCTTCCAACTCTATGATTCTTGCATTTCTCTTTGCGGATATAGATACAGATCTATAAATCCCACTTGCCAAGTTTCCAAGAGACCTCACAATGGCTGGGGATGCCTGTCATAGACGTGGGCAAAACGTCAGGAGAGAATGCTTCTGGGACTTGGTCAGACAGCTCGGAAAACTCACAGCATCCCAACAACACAGAGTGGGTTGCTCCAGCCTGAGCCATGCATCGCTATGGTTCCATACCCAGAAACTGGGGATCATAGAATCATAGTTGGAAGAGACCTCATGGGCCATCCAGTCCAACCCCCTGCCTAAAAGCAGGAATATTGCATTCAAATCACCCCCGACAGATGGCCATCTATCCTCTGTTTAAAAGCCTCCAAAGGAGGAGCCTCCACCACACTCCTGGGGCAGAGAGTTCCACTGCTGGACGGCTCTCACAGTCAGGAAGTTCTTCCTAATGTTCAGATGGAATCGGCCTCTCTCTTCGGAGCAATCCCACTACGGGGCGGGCTGGGGTCTTCCGGCCTCCGAGGGGCGTGCCTAGGCCGGAGAGGCGCCTCGGAGTGGGCTAGGCCTCTGCCTGGCTGAGGAGGGGGCAACTAGGGGCGTGCCTGGGTCCAGAGGCCTAGGCCGCCTTGTGTCGTCGTAGTTGCTGTTTCGGGCCTGAGGCAAACTCCTCCCGGCCTCCCCTGCCTTCCCTTGCCGCGTTACCTTCTTCTTGGCCGCCGCCAGCTTGCTCTGCCTGCTCCCGTCCGCCATGTCCCCGGCCACGTCAGCCCGGAGGAAGGAGGGGAGGGCGGGGACAGCGCCGCCAGCTGACAAGACGGGGAGAGGTAATCGAGACTCCGCCCGGGCCTAGCTTGGACGCGGCATTGCGCAGGCGCAGCCCTGACAGGCCCCACCCCCAAGACGGGGAGAGCTAATAGAGGCTCCGCCCGGGCCTAGCTTGGACGCGGCATTGCGCAGGCGCGGCCCTGACAGGCCCCGCTCCCAAGACGGGGAGAGCCTAATTGGGGAGCGGCACTGCGCAGGCGCAACTCTGGCAGGCCCCGCCCCCAAGGCGGAAAGAGCTAATCTAGGCTCCGCCCGGGCTTAGTGGAGAGCCGTACTGATTGGGGAGCGGCACTGCGCAGGCGCAGCCCTGACAGGCCCCGTCCCCAAGGCTCCGCCCGGGCCTAGTGGGGAGCCGTACTGCGCAGGCGCAGCCCATGACAGGCTCTTTCCCAGGCGGAAGGGAGCGCGCAGGCGCAGTCTGCCTTCGCGCCATTTCGAAGCCTCGTCCAGAGTTCCCTCACGAATGAAGTGTGTTCCATTCAGTCAGGGGAAAAGATAAAACAGTCAAACACTGTACAGAGAAGTCAAATCTGAGGTAATTATTGGTAATTAAGAGTGTCAACATAACGTTTTCAAGGAAGTTTTGTCGAGATCTAGGAAAGTAATGCTTCCTCTCTATTCTGCCTTGGTTAGACCACACTTGGAATATTGTGTCCAATTCTGGGCACCACAATAGAAGAGAGATGTTGACAAGCTGGAATGTGTCCAGAGGAGGGCGACTAAAATGATCAAGGGTCTGGAGAACAAGCCCTATGAGGAGCGGCTTAAGGAGCTGGGCATGTTTAGCCTGAAGAAGAGAAGGCTGAGAGGAGACATGATGTTGTTGTTCATTCGTTCAGTTGTCTCCGACTCTTCGTGACCTCATGGACCAGCCCACGCCAGAGCTCCCTGTCGGCCATCACCACCCCCAGCTCCTTCACGGTCAGTCAAGGATGCCATCCATCCATCTTGCCCTTGGTCGGCCCCTCTTCCTTTTGCCTTCCACTTTCCCCAGCATCATTGTCTTCTCTAGGCTTTGCTGTCTCCTCATGATGTGGCCAAAGTACTTCAACTTTGTCTCTAGTATCCTTCTCCAGTGAGCAGTCGGGCTTTATTTCCTGGAGGATGGACTGGTTGGATCTTCTCGCAGTCCAAGGCACTCTCAGCACTTTCCTCCAACACCACAGCTCAAAAGCATCGACCTTCCTTCGCTCAGCCTTCCCTAAGGTCCAGCTCTCACATCCGTAGGTTACTACAGGGAATACCATGGCTTTGACTAGGCGGATCTTTGTTGCCAGTCTGATGTCTCTACTCTTTACTATTTTATCGAGACTGGACATTGCTCTCCTCCCAAGAAGGAAGCGTCTTCTGATTTCCTGGCCACAGTCTGCATCTGCAGCAATCTTTGCACCTAGAAATACAAAGTCTGTCACGGCCTCCACGGTTTCTCCCTCTATTTTCCAGTTGTCAATCATTCTTGTTGCCATAATCTTGGTTTTTTTGATGTTTAGCTGCAGCCCAGCTTTTGCACTTTCTTCTTTCACCTTGATTAGAAGGCTCCTTAGCTCCTCCTCGCTTTCGGCCATCAGAGTGGTGTCATCTAGACATGTATAAATATGTGAGAAGAAATCATAGGAGGGAGCAAGCTTGTTTTCTGCTTCCCTGGAGACTAGGACGCAATGGAGCAATGGCTTCAAACTACAAGAAAGGAGATTCCATCTGAAGATTAGGAAGAACTTCCTGACTGTGTGAGCCGTTCAGCAGTGGAACTCTCTGCCCCGGAGTGTGGTGGAGGCTCCTTCTTTGGAGGTTTTTAAACAGAGGCCAAATGGTCATCTGTCAGGGTGCTTTGAATGCAATTTCTCTGCTTCTTGGCAGAATGGGGTTGGACTGGATGGCCCAGGAGGTCTCTTCCAACTCTATAATTCTATGAATCTGAGGTAATTTTTTAACTTGGGAATGTGTTTTTGTGGTACAAAACGACAAAGAGACACAATAGACTTTTTGGCTTATATTCCATAGACAGAAGGAAAGCGTTAGGGAGATTTAGAGAAGAGAGAAAACATAGAAAAGGAATATTGAGAAAGGAGGTACCTAGGTAAGAGGCCTATAGAGAAGATGGAGACTGTATAGAGCACCTGGAGGACCCAAGTTTGCCCATGCCTGCTGTATACAGGATGGAGATCTAGAGAGAGAAGGTACACCTATAGACAATGTACTTTGGGAAGTCAGACGTGGTCCACGGGCTCATTACACCACGAATGGACTACTGCAACACTCTCTACGTGGGGCTGCCTTTGAAGACTGTTCAGAAGCTTCAAATAGTCCAATGTTAGCCAGGTTGCTAACAGGAGTGACACACAGGGAGTACACAATCCCGCTGTTACGCCAGTCTGCTACCGAGCACAATTCAAAGTGTTGGCTCTAGCTTATAAATCCCTAAATGGTTCCGATCCAGCTTACCTGTCCGAACATATCTCCCTTTATGAGCCAGTTAGAGCATTGAAATCGGCTGAGGAGGTCTTGCTCTCGGTCCCACCCCTTTTGCAGGCATGATTGGTGGGGACAAGAGACCTTAGTGGTGGCTCCTCGGCTGAATATAGTATGGACCCCACCATCTCCATGTTGTTTAACACCTACATGAAGCCGCTGGGTGAGATCATCCAGAGTTTTGGAGTTCGATGCCATCTGTACGCAGATGATGTCCAACTCTATCACTCATTTCCACCAGATGCTAAGGAGGCTGTCCAAGTCCTGATAGGGTTAGACCTTCATTAAGCCTGGCCGCTGTGACGGTCTGGATGAGGGCAAGCAAACTGAAGTTGAATCCAGACAAGACAGAGGTCCTTCTGGTCAGTCGCAAGGCCGAACAGGGTATAGGGTCGCAACCTGTGCTGGATGGGGTCACACTCCCCCTGAAGACACAGAATCGCAGCTTGGGAGTTTTCCTGGATTCATCACTGAGCCTGGAATCCCAGGTTGCAGCGGTGGCCAGGGGAGCGTTCGCACAATTAAAACTTGTGTGCCAGCTGCACCCATACCTTGGGAAGTCAGACTTGGCCACGGTGGTCCACACTCTTGTTACATCTAGGATAGACTACTGCAACACACTCTAAATGGGGTTGCCTTTGAAGACTGCTCGGAAGCTTAAAATAGTCCAACGAGAGGCAGCCAGGTTAATAACTGGGGCAGCATACAGGGAGCATACAACTCCCATGTTACACCAGCTCCACTGGCTGCAAGTTTGCTACCGGGCACAATTCAAAGTGCTGGCTTTGGCCTATAAAGCCCTAAATAGCCCCGGCCCAAATTACCTGTCCGAATGCATCTCCCCCTACTTACCATTGCAGAGATTGAGATCCCCCAGGGAGGCCCTGCTTTCCATCTCGCCATTGTCACAGGCGCTATTGGTGGGGATGAGAGACAGGGCCTTCTCGGTGATGGCTCCCTGGCTATGGAACTCCCTTCCTGGTGAGATCAGGTCGGCCCCCTCCCTCCTGTCCTTTAGAAGGATGGTAAAAACTTGGCTGTGGGACCAAGCTTTCGGGACAGGGCAATAAAGCAGCAATCGGAAAGATGACCAGGCCAATTAGATTTTACACGGATGACTAGGATGGTTTTAAATGGTGTATTTTAATATTTTAATAATTGTTTTTTAATGTTTATGTGAATTTTTAATGCGTATGTGAATTTGTGTCCCGGCATTGAAAGTTTGCTGTATATATACTGTGCTCTGCCCTGAGTCCCCTTAATCCAACATTTGAAATCTCATGACAAAGGCAGAAAAAATGGAAGAGAGATGGATGTTTGAAATTCACAATAGTTACGTGCTTAATGTTTTTAATTCCATGTTTTTAATGTAATTGTTTATTTTAATCAACTTTTTTTTATATGGCATCAGATTGTTTCCAATCTGTAAGGTTGCCCTGAGTCCTCTTCGGGGTAAGAAGGGCAGGGTATAATTATGATTAATAAATAATAAATTATTTTTAAAAATGTCTCAGTCTCATTCTTCTCCCAATTTTCCTTATATGGCACCTTTTTCCAGTTGCTGCAAACTGAGTTAAAAGTGCAAAAATAGGTGACACTCGATGGACTCGGCGAGATGATTATTATTTATATCCTGCTTTCTCTCTCCCAAAGGAGAATCAAAGTGGCTAACACTAAACATATTATACCATATGTATATTAAAACCCGGCAAGATGATTGTTATTATTTATATCCTGCTTTCTCTCTCCCAAAGGAGAATTAAAGCGGCTAACACTAAACAAATCATACAATATGTAAATTGTCCTTTAGAAGACAAGTGAGGGACCAGGCGTTTCATTAATCAAATAACGGCAATTGGAAAAAAGACTTAGGATATTTACGACATTGAATCTGCTTAGACTTGGATTTGATTTTACTGGCATGTATAATCTACTGTCTAATGAATTGTATAATGTGTTTTAATGGTTTTTAATGCTTTAATTCTACTTCGAATTGACAGCATCGTATGGTGCTTCTGTGAGACCGCCCTGAGTCGTCCTTCAGGGGGGAGAAGGGAGGGGCAAAAGTGCATTAAATAAATAAATAATACTCAGAACATACAAATATTAAAATACAGGACTTATTAAAGGTACATACTTCAAACCAACAAAACAATTAGACTACATAAAACATAGCACTTCCTGGCTCAGTCTTGAAAACTTTCTTCTTATATGGTTTTTAATCTGTTTGATTGATATGTGTTTTAATTGTTTATATGCTTAATTTGTTTATATTTTGATGAGATGTGTTTTATTGTTTACCTGTGTAGCATTGAATTTTTGCCAGATTTGAAAGCTGCCTTGATTTCCCTTCAGGGTCAAGAAAGGCGGGGTAAAAATGAAATTAATTAATTAAACAGCTGTCTGAAAAGAAACTCTTGTCCTTCCCAGTAGGCTTGGGCAAAAGCAAACTGCTGCAAGCCCTCCTAGCTTATTTGTTCAATCATGTTTCTCATTTTGACTACACTTTGCTGTTGTTCGACCAGTTTTCATATGTGAAATTGTGAAGGACATACTGTATGCTCCTACTTTCAGCATGATTGATGCCAGGGAATAGCAATGGCAGTCTGTCACATTTTTTCCACTTGGGCCCACCATCATTTTGGCCTGACAAACACGTATATTCATAAAACCATACATACGCACACACCCTATTCCGACCTGTACTTTCTTGGTGTGTTTCTACACTGTAGAATTAATGCAGTTTGACACTACTTTTACTGCTATGTCTCAGTGCTATGGAATCCTGGGAATTGTAGTTCGGGCAGGCCCAGCACTCTTTGGCAGAGAAGGCTCAAGAGCTTCTTGTGATTATCTTGACTGATCGCAGTTAGTGAGAAATTGCATTGATCTGCCGTATTGATACATGTCTTGTCTGCAGTGGAGGATATTAATTCCATTGCAAGATTCAACATCCAGCTCATTCGCTTCCCGGCCTCTGTCTCTCTCCAGCAAAATGTCTTAGGCCTGCTTTGAAAAGATCCCTGGTTGCAGATTTGCAGGATGGGCAGCCACAGCCCCGTGAAATCGGCTCAGAGAAAAGCTGCGCTTGTCTTCCCTCTCATCATATCATTCCCAAAGTATTCAAGCCATGTGAAAAGCTTATTAAATAATGACTCAAGAGGGAAGGGCCGCTTACTCTACCTGAAATACCAGCTCCACTCATACTTGCCTGGAGGCTGTATCACACATTTATGAAGAAATACTGCTCAGCTCAAAACTTAAAAGTGTTACAAATCAAATTTATTATATTTATGCATTTAGGCATTTTAAGACCTTACCTTTTTTTATTTGACTCAGGATGTAGAATGAATGCAGTTTGACATTACTTTATGTTTCGATGCTATGGAATCCTGGGAGTTGTAGCTTTACAAGGTCTTGAGCCTTCTCTGCCTAAGAATGCTGGTGCCATACCAAACTAAAACTCCCAGGATTCCATAGTACTGAGTCATGGCACTTCGAGTGTTGTTAAACTTGCATTCATTCTACAGTGAAAAAGGAAATAATCCCCAGCAAAATGTCCTCAGAAGCACTTTAACTACTTGTTGGGTTGCTCTACCTTCATCTCTTTTAAAACCCTCCTATCAGATACATCCTACCTCTGTTCATGCCCAGCGTTTATTTTTTAAATTTTCAACTATTACATTTGGCCCGACCATAGGTTTTTGATTTTTTTAAAAAAAATCCTTGTGTGTTAGTGTTTATATGTGAGTTATATTAATTGTATTGTTTTTGCTTATTGTTTTTTGTTTTATTGATGTGTTGTCGGGCTTGGCCTCATGTAAGCCGCTCCGAGTCCCCTTGAGGAGATGGTGGCGGGTATAAACAAATTATTATTATTGCTATTATTATTATTGTGTAGAAGATGGACTCTTAGCCAATTTTCATGGTTTGGCTGTTTAAAGGCAACTCAGAGCTTTGAGATTACAGCTCCCAGAATCCCCCAAATAGGGAGAGAGTAATGGGAGTGCTTGTCCCAAAGCACCACGGATCACTCAATAATATTATGAAAATTTGAAATGAACTCAGCCTAAAGAGACTGCAAGCCTAGCAGCCAATGCAGTGCAAATATCTTATATGTCCTCTCCTCTCTACTTCCTTAGACTACAAATCCCAAGATGCAGATGGAAGAGGAAGTTGGGAGGGTCTGCGTCTCTGCTCATTTGCCACAAGACGGGATGGAGAAAACTGGAGAAATACCTTCTTTTCAAAAAGAATGGGAGCAAAGCCCAAGAGAGAAGGGAGGGCCCTCGCCACGTCCCTTCCAAAGGAGGTAATCGTACATTTAATTGTGATTTACTTTTTTCACTAATCTTGAGCTGCATCTACACTGATCTTGACCCCACATGAACTGCTGTTGCTCAAGGCTATGGAATCATGGAAGTTGTAATTTTACAGAGTCTTCTCTGCCAAAGGGTGTTGTTGGGGCCTCCCCAAACTACCACTCTCACAATTCTATAGCAGTTAAAGTGGGGTCAAATAGCATTTATTCTACCCTAAAGCAGTCTTTCATCCCCAATGTGCATTAATGAACCTTTGCCTCTTAAATAATGTCTCTTTTATATCAATTGATCTGCAATTTTTTTTTAAAACTCAGGACGCCCCTTGGAGCCCAGAGAAACTGTAATACAAGTTTCAAGTCCCCCGTAAGTATCTGTTTGGAAGGAAATCTATTCAAATTAGATTTTGAACAAGGTTTGGGAAGAAGGGGAATAGAAGAGTGATCAAATTGGACCGTTTAGGACACTAGTTCTGTTCTAACTTTAGATATGCAATTCCAGGCCATGTAGACAATGCTCTCGGAGTTTTTAATACTAACAGCTTTTGGCAAAATTTTAATCTTGTCTTTGCTCAATAGGTTCCATCTCTTAGGGTCTGTCAGCCTGCGGATAAGGAGACTCTGCAGTGGGAAATTGAAGAGCTGAAGAACAAAAGTATTTCTTTAGACAAAGAAATAGCCCCTCTATTAGCTGAGTAAGTATTGTTCATAGTTCTAGCACACTGACATGTTGGGTTGCTGTGAGTTTTCCGGGCTGTCTGGCCATGTTACAGAAGCATTCTCTCCTGATGTTTTGCCCACATCTATGGCAGGCATCCTCAGATCTTGGAAATTAGGCAAGTGAGGTTTATATACCTGTGGAATGATGTCCAGGGTGGGAAAAAGAACTCTTTGTCTGCTTGAGGCAACTGTGAATGTTGCAATTGGCTACCTTGATTAGCACTGAATGGCCTTGCAGCTTCAAAACCTGACTGGTTGCTGCCTTCTAATGTTCTTATTTAAAATTGTTCCAATGACCAAAATTGAAACTTCCCATTCAATATGGTTGGATTTGTGTCATTGTTTTTTCCCACTATAATAACCGAAATGATTATAGCATGAAATATTATAATGTTATAATATGCCCTCATAATGCACTTTAATACTGATTTAGGATTGACTGCGTTCCCTCATTTCTCTCTGAAAATCCTATCCCAGTTATATCTTACCTTGTTCACGTCAGCATATTTTCAATTTTAATCTATTACATTTGGCCCGGCCAGTTTTAAAATGTTAATATGTCACTGCTGATTGTTGATTTTCTGTTCATGTGATTTATATGATTTGTATTTTATTGATTGTTTTATTGATGTTGTGTTTATTGATGTTTTGTTTATTGATGTATTCTGGGCTTGGCCTCATGTAAGCCGCACCGAGTCCCTTGGGGAGATGGTAGCAGGGTACAAATAAAGTTTATTATTATTATTATTATATTAATGTAATGCAATATAATACTAATAATATATTATAATTATATATTTGTTTTATGTAATATTACTAATAATAATACAATATAATTGTATAGTGCAAAATACAGTAATATTTAATACTGATATTGTACTATGCTAATAATATAATATATAATATATTGAGGCCTTGGCCTGTGTAAGCCGCATCGAGTCCTTCGGGAGATGCTAACGGGGTACAAATAAAGTTAATAATAATAATAATAATAATAATAATAATAATATATTGTATGTATATATATATCTTATAAGCCACTTTGATCCCCTTCGGGGTAAAAAGGGCGGCATATAAATGTCATAAATAAATAATACCAAAGATGAGTGAAAGCAGAATGTATGTGTTTTGTTAGTAAAACTACTTTATTTTGAGATTTTCATTATAAAAATTACTTCCAATCTGAACTAAATGTGCCCTTTTCCAAATGTTACTCTTCGCAGAGGATACAGTTTAGAGGAATTAGAAAACCACATCGCTCTGCTCCATGAATACAATGAGATAAAAGATACCGGACAAATGCTTTTAGGCAGACTAGGTAAGAACCATATATGGAGCCTGTTTGTAAAGTTTTTATTTTAAATATTTCTATTTCAGAAGATAACTTCAAGTGGTTTAGCTTAGGCTAAAGCAACTCCACTGTCAGAAGTTCTTACTGTTCTAGTTCAATGGTTGGAATTGTGTGAACCTTCAGATGTTGTGGGATTTCACTGTTAACCATGCAGGCTAAAGGTTCTGGAAATTGTATTTCAATGATACTGCAGGGCCACACAATTTTTGCCCCAACTCCATGACTGAACACAATTCAAGGATGAGGAATATCCAGATGGTGCTAGTCAGCATCTCCATAATCTTCTCAATATTATATATATATGCACTTTTGTGACTGTTGCTAGGTGAAGTGGCTCTCTGATGTCACTGGATTGGCTGTTGCTAGGTGAAGTGCCCCCCTGATGCCACTGGGTGATATGTGTATGAGGGGAGAGGGAGGGAGGAACCACAAAGAGTGAGCCCACCAGAGTGTTGCCATGGAGACATTGTGAGGTAAGTTTCTCAGAGCTGGAGAAGGGAGAAAGTAGGCAGGCAGCAGTTCCAACGAACCTGGGCAATGCCTGGTATATATGCTAGTATCTGACTATTAGGTATACATTGATTGGTTGACTCATCCCTCATACTGCTGAATTTGTGTGGCAAGAGAGGATGATTTGGAATGACATGATGGTAAACAGCCATTGACTGCCCAAGCTAATTCTTTTGTGCATGTAACCAGAAATACATAGGTGTCAGCTGTAGGAGGAAGCAGATGGTAGACACAAACTTCTTAGTTTTTGATTGTGTTTTTTCCACCTCTTCCAGCAGTGATCAGAGGGGTCACCACAAAAGAGCTGTACCCTGAATTTGGCCTGGACCTTAATGACTAGAAGGAATACAAGAACAATGATGTCTGCTGACCAAAATGGTGAAAACTACTGTAAGTGCAGGTCTTCAGAGAAACAGAGATGGAACAATTGTTTAACGCTCTACATTTTGTTAATTTTTATAGATCGGAGAAGTTGACCTTGCTAACAACTAAGCATTGGTACAAATAGGGTGTTGTACCAACCAACCATGGTCAACATGGAATTCTCTGGAGAATTACAGGTGGTTGTGTTGAATTGGCTCCCCTTGTCTCTGAAAGTTCAACTAATGGTATAATGTATAGTAGAGGGGAATATAATATCCCATCAGTTCTGTATCTGGTGAACTTAGACCAGGAGCATAGAATGTGTGGCTATCCGGTTGTTTAACTACGACTCCCATTAGCCCTAACAAGTATAGCCAGTAATGAAGGAGTTTATAGTTCAACAGTCCCTGGAGCTGGTTTCGCAATGTTGGGCTAAACAGAAAGCAACATCCTTGAAGAGGTTGAGCCTCTTCTGGCTTTTTTCCTTTAAAAAAGTGTTGTTTGACAATCCTCATAATTCAGACTTAGGGCACGTCCATGTCCTTTTCAGTATCTTGAAATGAGGTTTTCTCATCTTAGCAGTTGGCAAAATTTGGGTCTAAACTGTGACAGCTGTTGTATTCTTTGAACTCGGAAGGTGACTGTTCAGAGACAATCCCTTGATGCTTTGTTTGGAAATCAATATTAAAACATTGCACTGCTTTCTTGAACTTGAGTCTTCTGATCTTATTGGCATAGAGTCAACACACATTCTCTTAGGGATTTGAAAAGGGCATATCCCAGAGATTATGCCATTAAGAATGTCCTTGTGTGGATTATTATTGGACAACAGTCTTTACCACGTTTATTGAACTCTGGGCCCCTTGTTACATGTGTTGTAGTTGTTCTTATGGTATTGGTCTCGTAGTATCTGCAGACCTCAAGAACTTCTACAGTTCTCGTTAAAATACATGGTGAGGCAGCATAACTTCCTTTTTTAAAATGCGCGCCATTCAGTCGGTTGAAGACATAGCGGAGCGTTAGTGGTCTTGTTCGAGAGGCGGGAGTATAAAGTTTTGTTCTGACACAGTTCAGTCGCCATCATGCGTTGGAACAGTGAGGAGCGTGCTTTTGCCGTTGAGGCCTACTTTTCGAGCGGATTTGGAGTGGCCGGCCCGCTCTCCAGATTGGGCCCCTTGTGATTTTTTTCTATGGGGTTTTTGAAATCCCGTGCTTATGTGAACCGTCCAAGGACCCTACAAGATTTGAAGACCAACATCCAGGAAGAAATTGCCAACATGATGCCTGCTATGCTGGCAAGAGTCATGACAAACGCCAGAAATCAGTTTACTCAGTGTATGGAGAATGGGGGACAGCACCAACCTAATTTGATCTTCAAAACAATGTAAAACAAAACTTTAGGTATGCGCCTACATTATAAAAAAAATTCTGATTCATACAATGGGTTTTATTAAGTTTTGAAAAAAGGAAGTTATGCTGCCTCACCCTGTATTTCTATAAGCAGTATAAATTATTGTTGGTAAGCCTGCTTTAAGCTAAAGTTTGTAGTTCGCATTTGGTGGTGTAGTTTTTCAATTCAAATACTGAACCAAAGTATAGTTGTGTTCCTTTTATTGAGGTCAGATATGGGTGCACCAGTCTTTTTGCAAAAACCTCAGCAATGGTACTTACAAATGGTCAGCGACTCTTCCTAATAAGAGAAACCAGAGAGGTCTCGTAGTATCTGCAGACCTCAAGGCTGTGGGACTAGCTTTTGGAAAGCTATTTATCTGTATCTATCTACCTATCTAAAAGTCAAAGTATATGTTTATTTGCCTGTCTGTGTGACCTACAAAGTGGTTGCTAGGTGAAGTGGCCCTCTGTGATGTCACTGGGAAAGAAAGGTGGCATGTGTAGAGGGAGGGAATAATCACAAAGAGACGCATGTTTCCACAGAGATATTGTGAGATGAGCTGGAGAAGGGGGGGAAAGGAGAATAGAAGGAAAGAAAAAAATGAATGAAGAAGAAAGCCAGGAGAGGGAAGAAAAGAACAGGGAAAAGGGTATGATGGGAGGGAAGGTGAAAGGAGGGAGAAAAGCAGGAATGCAGCAGTCCCTCCGACATCCAGGCAACACTAGACACATACGCTAGTACTCTAAGACGACAAGGTAGCACTTAATTCACCAAGTACAAAACTTTTGGGGTTATACTTCAGGCTACTTTCCTTATCTGCACTCAACCAGTCTTCCAATCTTAAGATCTTCATCTTATTGCTGCATCTTCCCACAAGGCGTTTCCTCCCATGTTTTGCCCCATTCCTCCATCAGCCTGGCCTCCCTCAGTCTTTCTGTCTCCCTCATCGTCAGACCAGGGTTCCTCCGGGTGAGCCAGGCTCTTTTGGAGCTCCGTAATAACCCTGAGCCTGGACTTCTCAATTGCCTTCTGGATGTTGGGCAGGCTCCACTGTGTCCTCAAAAGAGCATCCTCCAGCATGAAGACACCATCCCGGACCCTTCGGACTTGTGTGCACACGGCAGAGGACTTCAGCTCCAGCCCAATTTCATGAACTACCTTTCGGAGATATTGTTGGGTCTCATGCAAGCAGTGAATTTCTACAGAGGAGAGAACAAAAAACATTACATTAAGCCTCTTCTTTCCTGCATTGGACTATGTTCTTTCCAGTTAGAGTAAGAGTCCCTTAAATCCTAATTTGGGGGAAAGGTGGCATATAAATATGTGACAAAAGGGACTTTCAGTGTCATCTATTCCAGCCCTATTACCTGCTAATTCTACAGCATCCCTAATGAGCATCCATATACTTGCTGATTAAAGACCTCTAATGAAGGAGAATCTATTTTGTGAGGCAGTGTGTCTAAATTCCAGCAGTCTATATTCAAGAAAGTGAAAATGGCATGTCAGTGCTCCAGATTACTAACAACAATAGGGACTAGACACCTGGTTTTTTAATTTAGAAACAACTGCAGATTAGGAAACACAGCTCGTACCCAGTTGGAATTCAGGAGGTGCAAACTGGAAACACCGGATTGCTGTGATCAAAGGCGGGCTTTTGTCCATGGGGCGAATCAGTCCTCTCACCGCCAACTCATAGGCTTCTTGCGTTTTTAAGTCAAGGTTAGCATATCTGGAAGAACACGAGGGAAAAGAATGGGACTGAGAAAAGTGTTAGAAATTCCATGTTGTTGATACTGCAGGGTTGCGATGTCCAACTGGTTCACACAGGACATTTTGTCCACTCAAAACAGATCTAATTATTCGTAAGTCTGACTATTTGGTAAGCAAACATAATTTGAAAAATGTGGCCAGTTGTAATTGGAAGTTATTCTCCAAAATTGTCACAACTGAGAAGAGTCCAAGTTTCACTTTGTTGGACAAATAGGCTTATGAACAAAAGACCCTCCCCATCAATGTACAGCAGAGTAACTTATTAGCAGCAGCGTGCCTCGGCACCAGTAGACAAAAGTGATAAAAAGAACAAACCAATGTTATCTCTTCCATAGGAGGCTTTTCTATGTAGTAAAATAATATGGTTGCACTATTTACAAGAACAAGGTTTCCACGACACAAAGTCTGGGTTGTTGTAGGTTTTTCGGACTATATGGCCATGTTCTAGAAACATTCTCTCCTGTTTCGCCTGCATCTATGGTAAACATCCTCAGAGGTTGTAAGGTCACAACCTCTGAGGATGCTTGCCATAGATGCAGGCAAAACATCAGGAGAGAATGCTTCTAGAACATGGCCATATAGCCCGAAAAACCTACAACAACCCAGTGATTCCAGCCATGAAAGCCTTCGACAATAAAAATCAAGACCTTTATACTTCCTTCTTTGCTTCCATGCTGGGCTTCTTCCTCATGGAGATAAACAGCTTCACAGAGTCTCCTCTCACAACAAGCTTATATTGGAGCTTCACACAGTAGCTTTTTACACACTGGAGCTTCACACACGAGGCTTTGCAACCTGGGGCTTCGATGGTAGATGCCTGCAGAAGGTTCCTGGCAGCTCCAGGAAGGACTAGGAAATGCTGGTTTGGAACCCTAGAAAACTGTTACTTGTCTCTATAGTAGATAATACTGATCTCTCTCTCTCACACACACACACACACATTTCTATAGTTGTCTGGGCTGCTGTACTACAACTAATCATGTTAGATGGCCTAGATCAGCGTTACTCAACCTGGGGGTTGGGACCCCTGGGAGGGGGTCGCGAAGGGGTTAAGAAGGGTTACCAAAGACCATCAGAAAACACAGTATTTTCTGTTGGTCATGGGGGTTCTGTGTGGGAAGCTTGACTTAATTCTATTGTTGGTGGGGTTCAGAATCCTCTCCGATTGTAGGTGAAGTATAAATCTCAGCAACTACAGCTGCCAAATGTCAAGTTCCACTTTCTCCAAACTCCACCAGTATTCACATTTGGGCATATTGAGTATTCGTGTCAAGTTTAGTTCAGACCCATCATTGTTTGAGTCCATAGTGCTCTCGGGATATAGGTGAACAACTCCCAAACTCAAGGTCAGTGCCCACCAAACCCTTCCAGTATTTTCTGATGATCATGGGAGTTCTGTGTGCCCAGTTTGGTTCAATTCCATCGTTGGTGGAGTTCAGAATGCTCTTTGATGGTAGGTGAACTATAAATCCCAGCAATTTAAACTCCCAAATGACAACATCAATCCCCCCCCCTGCCCTCCGAACCCCACTAGTATTCAAATTTGGGCATATCAGGTATTTGTGCCAAATTTGGTCCATTGAATGAAAATACAACCTGCATTATCAGATATTTACTTTACGATTCATAACAGTAGCAAAATGACAGTTATGAAGTAGCAATGAAAATAATGTTATAGTTGGGAGTCACCAAAACATGAGGAACTATATTGATGCGTCGCGGCATTAGGAAGGTTGAGAAACACTGGCCTAGATAAAGCTTGTGAACTTCTGGTTATTTTCCTAAGGAGACAAGGGCTTTCTAGTTCTCATGGTTATGGAGAAGAAGCTGAAAACCAAACGGCAGAGTTGATACTTAGGACAATTTATTGAAGAGAAAACTGTAAACTTCCTGGTCCGCGGGCTAGGAAGAAGGCTAAGAATAAGAAAAAGAATTGCTCTCCGAAACACTACTTTCTGCACCAATGTTCACTGGTGTGGACATTGGTGCAGAAAGTATTGGTGAGTAAAGCTGGAATCTAGGGGGCTCACACTGGCTTCCATAGGAAAATATGGAGGAGGAAATCTTGCACAATCCCACATCTGCAAAAAAATAGATATTTCCCCTTATTTACATTTTTTAGTGATTGCAGGGGGGCATATTTTGCCCACGCTTTCTCTAAATCAATGCCATCATCTAAGTATTAGATCACGCATTTGCCAATGATTTGAGCTCCATCTCTCGCTCATATATTTGTATAGGCAATTTGGCTTCACACAGTATTTGATATAGGCATTATTTCTTGTCTTTCGTCAAAGTAAGCACTACATTTTCTCCACTGGCGAGCTCAGGGTGTCCATTTTGTTTGTGTCCATTTATTCCAGCAGCGCAAGCAACCCTATGGAGATCCACTCTTGCTTGCTTCATTGAAGGTCGTCTTTGTGCCCCTTTTCCCCCATCCATCCCACCCCGAGAGTCTCTATTTACTCAAGCCAAGGGGAAGCCAGAGTCTGTCCCTCTTGCTTACTCCTGCTGTGGGGTTCCTGCCCCACTCTCTCTCGTCAAGGTTTCTCTTGTCCAGATAAGGGGGGTTGAGGTTCCTGTTCTGCGGCATCCCCTTCCATCCCAGCCTCCAGGAGCTGGTCGACCTCTGTCTCCGAGCGCAGGATGCACCATAATAAAATGCTCGTCAGGGTCAGGCTCACCAGTGCCACTCGCCACAGTGGCTGCTGATGATCGCTGCCCATGGACCGGGCCACACTCCACGTCTGGGGGCTGGCAGGACCCTTGAGGAAGCTCAGTGGCTCGGAGCTCTCAGGCTCCTGGCGCTTTTGCGGAGGACAGTAGTGGCGCAGATGGAGGGACAAGAGAGGCGGATGTGGCCTGGGGGAGAGGAGGAAAGAGACAGGGGTGAGGGGGGAGACAGCAGGGAGCCTGGCCAACTGCCCCTCCCCTCCCCAGCCCTCCTTCTCCCCCCAGAGACCACCTATGGCCCTAGCATCACCCAACAAAGGGGCAGAGGCTCTGAAAGGAGATGGAAACCCACCATTTAACCCAACTTCGGCCCTCCCTCCAGGTGTTTTGGACTACAACTCTCACAATTACTAACAGCCAATAGGAATTGTGGGAGTTGGAAGTCCAAAATACTTTGAGGGTAGGCCAAATTTGGTCTATGCCTACTGTAACCAGTAAAGAGCCAGCACAGCATAGTGATTTTTTTCCTGGATAAAGACCAAGGTTTGAATCTACTCAGCCACTGAAACCCACCTTTTAACCTTTGGTAAGTTCATATAAAAGATCAACCTTGCCAAGAAAACCCTAGACTACAGTGTCCCAAAAGCAACCTCAACATGATGGCACTCAACAGCAACAAAAAGCGCTGGAACACTGTTTTGATTGAATTTACTAGTTCTTTGCTGGAGTAGGTTTAAGATCGGAATTGTGCTTATCATTTTTCTGGAAGGCAATGGCAAAGCTTCTTTGCCAAGGGTTGCAACCTGAAGGCACACAGCAGCAACATCTAAACACCATCCCTCCAACCAAGTGCAAAGTATGACTCGTAGAAGAGCCTTCCCCATCACCTGGCCCTTGATTTGTTTAGCTGGAGATGCCAGGAATCTAACAAGGGACTGACACATAGCAAGTTAAATCAACCATTGAGCTACATACTCTTGGACTGAATACTTACTGCAACAAAGCCTTGTGATGGGATCCCTGGATAACGGAGAGAATCCGTTCCAGCTTCTCCCTGGTGATGTGATCTACAGACAAGGAGAGAAGTAATATTAGGAGACAGAAAACTAGTTGATGCAATCTGGACTTACAGAAACAAACCAAAAAGAATCAGAGCCCATGCTGGAAAAAAAAGTTCTTTTTTAGACTACATCTAAGAGATTTCAAAGCACTCTCACAAATCAAAGGAATGCCCTTTTGTGTGAGTGAGCTTATTAACAAAAGACCCTCCCCATTAATTTATAACAGAGTAACTTATTAGCAGCACCAGTAGCCACAAATGATAAAAAGAACAAAAAACACACAGGCCAATGTTCTCTCTTCCATAGGAGGCTTTTCTTTGTAGTAAAATAATATGGTTGCACTATTTCAAGAACAAAGTTTCCATAACACAAATAAAGTTCTTTATACTTCCTTCTTTGTTTCCAAGCTGGGCTTCGTTCTTATGCAGATAAACAGTTTTGGCCTCACAGAACCTCTTCTCACACCGAAGTTACACAGGAACTTCACACAATAGCTTTACACATGAGGCCTTCAATCTGGGGCTTCTCTCACCAAGCCTTCTCAAACTGAGGCCTACCTTATACTGAAGCCTTTCTCCCACTGGGGTCTTCTCCCACTGAGGCGAACTAACAAATACATAGACACTGAGGCATATTAAGCTACAGGCACACCTGCTTATATTGAACTGCAACTTTTGCTGAGGCCCTGCTCTCAATCCCACCATTCTCGCAAACACGGTGGGGATGAGAGACAGGGCCTTCTCAGCAGTGGCCCCCCGTCTGTGGAACTCTCTCCCTAAGGACATCAGGTTGGCCACCTCCCTCCTGTCCTTTAGAAGACAACTGAAGACTTGTCTCTGGGGCCAGGTGTTCGATTAGAGGCCAGCGGCAATGGGAAAACGAAATTTGGATTTTGCAACATGGACTCTCCCGCCTCGGCTTGGTTTTACTGGCACGTTAATCTATTAATTTATTGTTAAATTTTACTGATGATGTTATACAATGTTTTAATATGATTTTATTGTGAATTGTAATGTTTATGGTATTTATGCTGTTAGCATCCTCTGATGCTCATGTGAGGCTGCGCTGAGTCCCCCTTGTGGGGAGAAGGGCGGGATATAAATATATGAAATAATAATAATAATAATAATAATAATAATAATAATAATCTCATTCTCCATCATCAGCAGTTTCTCATAAGAAGAATCACCTTGTCCGATCTAGGAACCACTCCCAATCAATATGCCCAAATCCCCTACAATGCACCAGGAGCAGTGGTTTTCAAAGATGGGTCCTCCAGGGTTTGACCTCCATCTCCCAGCATCCCCGCTTCACCACTGGACACTCTGGTGAGGGCACCTAACAGCTGACATCCAACCCACAAGTTAGGCATCCACTGCCCTAGGGATCATGGACAGATCGTGGACAGATAGCAGGACTAAGTCAGGGTGGGAGTTGTGTGGCCCATAAATATGATCTAGTAGCAATATGTCAGCTATAGCCAATAAAAGAAATGGTTTTCAAGCTTTACTCACCAAATGTTGTCTTCTCAATCAGTTTGCCTTTGTCGGAGAAGTCATCAGTGGCTTTGCCAAACATGCCGCGAACGGTGTAGGTCTTTGGACAAAAGAATAGTAATATGAGGCATGCACTTAAAATGAGAACATAAAAACTCAGCAGGACTCCACATTATGAGACCACACTGGAAAAAAATGGAAATATGGTATGTGTGCTTTTAAAAATATTTATTTTCTCCCCAAAATCTTTTTTTCCCTAGAAAAATAAGGGAATGCATATTATAGAATTTTTTCTTTTAGTCTGATGCCAATGTAGAAATGTTTCTGCTGCTCCCGAGACTAGGACACAAGCAAGCACAGATTCTGTACAGTATGTATCAGGGCAAAAGTGCAATTGCCCAAAGTCTCCTAGTTCTTGAGCAAAGTGGCATTGCACATCAGCATTCCTATCACTAACTATATAAATAAAAATGTAATGTTCGTTTGTGGGATTAACATAACTCAAAAACCACTGGACGAATTGACACCAAATGTGGACACAAGACATCTAACAACCCAATGTATGTCTTTCACTCAAAAAAATTGATTTTGTCATTTGGGAGTTGTAGTTGCTGGGATTTATAAGTTCACCTACAATCAAAGAGCATTCTGAACTCCACCAATGACAGAATTGAACCAAACTTGGCACACAGAACTCAGCAGAAAATACTGGAAGGGTTTGATGGACATTGGCCTTGAGTTTTGGAGTTGTAGTTCACCTACATCCCGAGAGCACTGTGGACTCAAATAATGATGGATCTGGACCAAACTTGGTACTACTCAATATGCCCAAATGTGAACATTGTTGGAGTTTGGGGAAAATAGACCTTGACATTTGGGAGTTGTAGTTGCTGGGATTTATAGTTCACCTACAATCAAAGAGCATTCTGAACTCCACCAATGATAGAATTGGGCCAAACTTCCCACACAGAACCCCCATGACCACAGCAACGCGTAGTAGATCAAAGGGATGATACTTTACCCGGCTGAGATGGGCGTTGTACAGGTCATGCAACAGCTTGTTGCCATGACCCACTCCAAGCACTGAAAAAGATAGAAAGGTTCAGAGAAAAGCATGAGCAAAATGGCCCTGAACACGCACAACTGCAACATACTTCCTGCAGCACAAAGGGAGACAATAAAGGGACCTCACTACCTCTGAGGATGCTTGCCAAAGATGCAGGCATAACGTCAGGAGAGAATGCCTCTAGAACGGCCATATAGCCCAAAGAATATCAAATCAGAAAATCTGGTAACACCAGAATCAACACAGTATATAAGGAACAGCACTCAGAAACAGAACTCCAGACAGCATGCAATCAAGTGCCCGTTAATATCTCCCAAATGATGCCTCCAGGCACAACAGCCAGGCTGACTCTATGCAAATACCCTCACTGATTGACTTTGCAAATTACAAGGCTACTCAATGCTAATCAAGCTTGCTAATTTCAACATTCACACTTGTATGTCCCCCCTTGTACGTAGGTTTATTTTCCCCTCTCTCCATGAGTTCTCCCTACAATTAGGTTTAGCCCTTTATCTCACCCGGAGTTTTTAAATCATTTTATGTACATGCGGCCCGCTCTTTGTCTTTATGTTCAGTTTTTATGTTCTATGTATATTGTTTATATGCTTTGATACTTTTGATATGTTTTATACTTTAATGTTATGTTGTTTATTTTATTGTAATTTTGTACTTTTTTTATTGTAATCTGTTCGGGTTTGGCCCCATGTAAGCCACTCAAGTCCCCGTTGGGGGAGATGGTAGTGGGGTATAAATAAAGTTGTTTTTTTTAAATTATTATTATTATTATTATTATTACTACTACTATTACTATTATTATTGCTTCAAATAGACCAGGGTTTCTCCCACTATGGACATTACTCCACAGATATATCTACTGGACCCCCCCAGTGGCATAATGGGTTAAACCGCTAAGCTGCTGAACTTGCTGACCAAAAGGTCGGTGGTTCAAATCAAGGGAGCAGGGTGAGCTCCCACTGTTAGCCCCAGATTCTGCCAACCTAGCAGTTTGAAAACATGCAAATGTGAGTAGATCAATAGGAARRTAATAGCACTCTGGCGGRAAGGTAATAGTGCTSCAAGCAGTCATGCTGGCCATCTTGGAGGTGTCTATGGACAGTGCTGGCTCTTCGGCTTGGAAACCGAGATGAGCATCAACCTCCAGAGTCTTAATGTCAGGGGAAAACCTTTACCTTTCTTATATATATATATATATATATATATATACTCCACTTGCCTAACCTCCAACATACCTCTAGAGATGCCATTAACCACAGATGCTGGCAAATCATTAGGAGAGAATGCTACTGAAACATGGCCAYTCAGTCTGAAAAACTCACAGCAACCCAGGCCATGAAAGCCTTTGACAACACATATCAAAAGGCACTTAGACATTACTGATGCTAGCTGTTGCCAAAACTAACTCAACTCATGTAATAAGATTCGGCCATTTTGCTTACCAAATACGCCAGAGGACTTTCGGTCCAGGTGATGACCTACTCCAACTTTGAGATGGGTGAATACTGGCCCAGAAACTGCACAAAAGAAAAATGAATACCTCAATTAAGGAAGGAGAGGTGTTTCTAACGTCTTTAATAGAAAACTGGTACCAGAGCCAGAAATAACACTCTGATCCTGCTATCATCCTGTGTATAGCAGCTCCCCCCCCCCCAAACACACACACACACACACCTCAACTTCTTACCTAATGGATGGTCAGCTAACATCGGGACTGATGCAACTGTCATGGTCAGCTCCTGCCCATCCTTTCCTTCTGTTTTGGTAGGCAGAAAACGGACCTGTTTCCGCGGGGGAGGCCGCTGCAAAGCATTCAAGTCTGTGTAGAAAATGTAAAAAGAATTACAACTTGTTCTGACTGACCCACTTTTCTAATTTCTCCTTCTTAGAATGATTCTGATCTGCTTTGAACTGGATTGTATGAGGCCGCTTCCACACAGATGAATAAAATCCCACATTTTCTGCTTTTAACTGGAATATATGGCAGTGTGGACTCAAGATAACCCAGTTCAAAGCAGCTATTGTGGAATGTTCTGCCTTGATATTCAAAACGATCTGAACAGATTAGAGAAATGGGCCAACACTAACAAAATGAAGTTCAACAGTGACAAATGCAAGATACTCCACTTAAGCAGAAAAAAAATGAAATGCAAATAGACAGAATGGGGGATGATGCCTAGCTCAAAAGCAGTATGTGTGAAAAAGACGTTGCGGTCCTCATGGACAACAAGTTAAACATGAGCCAACAATGTGATGCGGCAGCAAAAAAAAGCCAATGGGATTTTGGCCTGCATCAATGTAAATCGCCTAGAGCAGTGTTTCTCAACCTGGGGGTCGGGACCCCTGAGGGGGTCGCGAAGGGGTGTCAGAGGGGTCGCCAAAGACCATCAGAAAACACAGTATTTTCTGATGGTCATGGGGATTCCATGTGGGAAGTTTGAGCCAATTCTATCGTTGGTGGAGTTCAGAATGTTCTTTGATTGTAATGAACTATAAATCCCAACAACTACAACTCCCAAAAGTCAAGGTCTATTTTCCCCAAATTCCATCTGTGTTCATATTTGGGCATATTGAGTATGTGTGCCAAGTTTGGTCCAGATCCACCATTGTGTGAGTCCACAGTGCTCTCTGGATATAGGTGAACTACCCCCAAACTCCACCAGTGTTCACATTTGTGCATATTGAGTATTTGTGCCAAGTTTGGTCCAGATCCACCATTGCGTGAGTCCACAGTGCTCTCTGGATATAGGTGAACTACAACTCCCAAACTCAAGGTCAATACCCACCAAACCCTTCCAGTGTTTTCCGTTGGTCATGGGAGTTCTGTGTGGCAAATTAGGTTCAAATCCATCACTGGTGGAGTTCAGAATGCTCTTTGATTATAGGTGAACTATAAATCCCAGCAACTACAACTCCCAAATTACAAAATCAATCCTCCCCCAAGCCCCACTAGCATTTACATGTGGTTGCATTGGGTATTTGTGCCCAGTTTGGTCCAGTGAATGAAAATACATCTTGCATATCTGATATTTACATTATGATTTATAACAGTAGTAAAATGACTGTTATGAAGTAGCAACAAAAACAATGTTATGGTTGGGGGTCACCACAACATGAGGGACTGTATTAAGGGGTCACGGCATTAGGAAGGTTGAGAACCACTGTCTTAGATGAAGGGCTAGAAGGCAGGATCATCAAGTTTGCAGACGACACCAAATTGGGAGGGAGAGCCAATTCTGGAATATTGTGTTCAGTTTTGGGCACCATAATTGAAGAGAGATATGGACAAGTCTGGAGAACAAGCCCTATGAGGAGCGGCTTAAAGAGCTGGGCATGTTTAGCCTGAAGAGAGGGTTGAGAGAAGACATGATAGCCATGTATAAGTATGTGAGAGGAAGTCACAGGGAGGAGGAGGGAGCAAGCTTGTTTTCTGCTGCCCTGGAGACTAGGGAGCTTGTAGTTTGAAGCAATGGAGCAATGGCTTCAAACTACAAGAAAGGAGATTCCATCTGAACATTAGGAAGGACTTCCTGACTGTGAGAGCTGTTCAGCAGTGGAACTCTCTGCCCCGGAGTGTGGTGGAGGCTCCTTATTTATTTATTATTTATTAACTTTATTTGTACCCCGCTACCATCTCCCCAAGGGACTCGGTGTGGCTTACATGAGGCCAAGCCCAAATACAACAGTACAAGCAATAAAACAACAATACAAGCAATTAAAAACATAGACAATAAAATAAACATTATCAAAAAGCAACACATAATTAAAAACAGAGGGGAGGCCAAATGTAAAGTTAAAATTGGAGATATGCTGGGACATCTACCACAGAACACCCCGAAAACGTTGAGGAACATTGGAACAAACTGAAAATCTCCATCATCCAAGCCTGCGAAGAAACTATTGGGATATCAAATCAAGAAACATCAAGATTGGTTTGACGAAAATGATGAGATCCAACAGCTAATTGACAAGAAAAGGAAAGCCTTCCAAATATGGCAGAGAGACATCAACTGTGCTGCTAAGAAAAAGATCTACACCAGTGCAAATGCTGAGGTCCAAAGAAGGACAAGAGAACTCAAGAACATCTGGTGGACAAAGAAGTCTGAAGAAATCCAACACCTGGCAGATACCCATGATGCTCAGGGATTTTTCAAAGCCACAAAGGTCATCTATGGACCAAGAAACCATGGCATACAGCCTCTACGCTCATCAGATGGAACCACACTCCTGAAGGACCAAAACTCAATTGCACTACGTTGGAAAGAACACTACCAAAGCCTCCTGAACCACAGTTCCAATGTGGCCGAAGAGGTCCTCTCACAAATCCCGCAACAACAAACCAGGGATGAGCTTGCAGCACTGCCTAGCTTGGAAGAAGTCAGCAATGCCATCAGCCAACAAAAGAATAACAAAGCCAGCGGACCGGACTTGGCCACGGTAGTCCACGCTCTGGTTACATCCCGTTTAGACTACTGCAACGCTCTCTACGTGGGGTTGCCTTTGAAGACAGCTCGGAAGCTCCAACTAGTCCAACGCTCGGCAGCCATGATTTTAACAGGAGCGGAGCGCAGGGAGCATACAACCCCCCTGTTGCGCCAACTCCACTGGCTACCGATCTGCTACCGGGCTGAATTCAAAGTGCTGGCGTTGGCCTTTAAAGCCCTAAACGGTTCCGGCCCAAGCTACCTATCCGACCGCATCTCTGCCTATGAACCCACCAGGACTTTGAGATCTTCCGGGGAGACCCTGCTCTCGATCCCGCCTGCTTCTCAAGCTCGGCTGGCGGGGACGAGAGATAGGGCCTTCTCGGTGGTGGCTCCTCGGCTGTGGAACGTCCTTCCTACGGACATTAGACTAGCACCATTTCTAATGGTATTCCGCAAAAAAGTGAAGACCTGGCTGTCTGGCGTTCGAATAATTAGTGCAATGATTGGTTAATGAACACTGGAATGGAACAATGGATGACGAATCTGGAACATGTTTTTGATGACGAGACGACAGTGAATGGGTATTGTAGTAACTGTTTATTAATTGTGTAATGTGTTAGGTTTCTATACTGTAGCACTGAATTTTTGCTGTTCGTATTTGTTGTGAACCGCTGTGAGTCGCCTTCGGGCTGAGAACAGCGGTATATAAGTAAGGTAAATAAATAAATAATAATAAAAGCCAGCGGACCGGATGGGATCCCTGCTGAAATCTTTAAAGAGGGAGGACCTGAGCTGACACAACAACTCCACCAGCTCATAGAAAAAGTGTGGGTGACTGAGAAGATTTCAGGGATCATCATCACCCTCTTCAAAAAAGGGGAAAGAACAGACTGCGGAAACTATCGAGATATCTCCCTTCTAACCTCAGCTGGGAAAATCCTCTTTGGAGGCTTTGTAACAGAGGCTGGATGGCCATCTGTTGGGAGTGCTTTGAATGCCCAAGGGCCCAAGTTGGCCTATGCCTGTAAAGACATAAACAAACGGGAGCAGGCAGGCAGGAAATGGCAGGGGGGAATCAAGGGAAGGAGGAAATGCAGCCAGGCCTGGGGAGGAGGAGGAGAGGGGGGAAGCATAAGCGGGGTGCTCCACCGACCTCTCAGCAGATTGGTCTCCACCGCATCCCGGACCAGCTTCCAATGGACCCCGGGGGCCTTATAGACCGCGAATAGCCCTTGCAGGCTAGCCCCCGCCCGCCTCATGGCCAAGGCCTCTCCGCTCCCCGTGGTTCCCTATGGGTGCTGCTGCTGATTGGCTCTCCGCAAGGGCGCCGCCATTTTGAGTCCGTCCCCTAACACTCTCCCCCCGGAAACAAGCGCTGTTGCTCGGAACCAATCTCCGCCTCTCTCAGGCCCCTTTCCATACACCTGTATAACATCACACATATACCAATGTTGAATGGAATGTAATGCCTCCACCTTTGTAACTCTTCAACACATGGCAGTGCTAGTGTGCGGCAGGTACTGGCTTGTTCAGTAGACTCTCCTCTACAGTTCCAATTTGGCGGGAAGCCTTAGCATTGAACGGTTGTGTTGTTAAGAGAGGCTGGCAGGCAGGAGGATGCAAATGGACTTGATCCATTGAAACCAATGGGATTATTTATTTATTTATTTATTTATTTATTTGTATACCGCTCTTCTCAGCCATTAGGCAACTCAGAGCGGTTAACAACAAGCAGCGGCAAAAATTCAATGCAAACATCGTACAGCCATTTAAAAAACAATTAACACAATACTACAGTAAGCAATTAACATCAATAACCATCAGTAAACATCAATAAACAACTCACTAGCGTCTCATAACTAAAATCATAATCCAAGCTCGTCATCCGTTGTTCCGATTTCCTATAATTCATTGTAATTCATTGCACTGCCTATTCAAACGCCTGTTCAAATAACCAGGTTTTCACTTTCTTCCGAAATGCCATTAATGAGGGAGCTGATCTGATGTCTGTGGGTAGGGCGTTCCACAGCCGAGGGGCCACCACCGAGAAGGCCCTGTCCCTCGTCCCCGCCAACCGTGCCTGAGTTGCAGGCGGGATCGAGAGCAGGGCCTCCCCAGAAGATCTTAAAGCCCTCGTGGGTTCATAGGCGGAGATGCGTTCGGATAGGTACCTTGGGCCAGAACCGTTTAAAATAGAGGAGCTTGCTATAGAATCATAGAATCCTAGAGTTGGAAGAGACCTCATGGGTCATCCAGTCCAACCCCCTCCCTAGAAACAGGAATATTGCATTCAAAGCACCCCTGACAGATGGCCATCCAGCCTCTGTTTAAAAGCTTCCAAAGAAGGAGCCTCCACCACACTCCGGGCAGAGAGTTCCACTGCTGAACGTCTCTCACAGTCAGGAAGTTCTTCCTCGTGTTCAGATGGAATCTCCTCTCTTGTAGGCTGAACTGCTCTCACAGTCAGGAAGTCCTTCCTCATGTTCAGATGGAATCTCCTTTCTTGTAGTTTGAAGCCATTGTTCCGCGTCCTAGTCTCCAAGGAATCAGAAAACAAGCTTGCTCCCTCCTCCCTGTGGCTTCCTCTCACATATTTATACATGGCTATCATATCTCCTCTCAGCCTTCTCTTCTTCAGGCTAAACATGCCCAGCTCCTTAAGCCGCTCCTCATAGGGCTTGTTCTCCAGACCCTTGATCATTTTAGTTGCCCTCCTCTGGACACATAATAAAGGAAACAAATAAAATGATTCACAACAAAGTAAAAAACAAACAAACAGGGATGTGCCTATTAGGGAGATTCAGAGATAGATTAGAGCAACCAGAGAGAGAAATTTTTTTGTACAGCTTTGTGGCTGCACGCATTACAATTGCCAAAGATTGGAAAGGGGAGAAAAGATTAAGCATCAAAGATTGGAAGGATAAACTGTGGGATTATGCACAGATAGCTAAAATTTCTAGCAATTTGAAATATGAAAATCATGAAATATTTGAATAAAACTGGAAGCTGGTGTTAGTATACTTGACGAGAGAGCTAAAGAAAAAACAAGAGAAATTTATTTAATTGGAAGTATAGAGGGTTAAACAAGATGTGCATAAATCCTACGGGGATCAGTGACGGAAGCCATGGTGGTGGGTAACACTGGGGGTAGTTTGAGGGGTAACTGTACTGTGGGTGGCAGGTTGTCTACGTATGTGTATGTGTTTGTGTATGTGTATATTTCTGCAATATATATGGTTGGTGTATTATCTTTTTGAAATAAATTTTAAAAAATTAAAAAATTATAAAAGAAACCAATGGGAGTCAAGCTAGCTATCCAATGCCTGAGCCAGTTGCTTCTTGCTAAGCCCAAAAAACTCACAGCAGCCCAACAAAAGAATGCTTTTGCTAAACATTCTGTTGTTGGGCTGCTGTGAGTTTTTTGGTTGTGTTGTTCAGCAGTGGAACACTCTGCCCCGGAGTGTGGTGGAGGCTCCTTCTTTGGAAGCTTTTAAACAGAGGCTGGATGGCCATCTGTCGGGGTGCTTTGAATGCAGTATTTCTGCTTCTTGGGAGAATGAGGTTGGACTGGATGGCCCATGAGGTCTCTTCCAACTCTAGAATTCTAAAGTTCCATTTTGGTGGGAAGCCTTAGCATTGAACGGTTGTGTTCTTAAAGTGTGAAGTATGGAACCCTGCACAGACAGTCAGTCAATGCGACTTAAGCAACGTGCAATCATTTAATTCTTGACAGCAGAAGGTGTCATCCCTTCATCAGAGAACACAAACTGTTTATGGGGATTGTGTTGATGTGAGTACTGTGCATCGGTGGGCAAGGAAGTTTCAAGATGTTGAGGTGGGAACATCTGACTTGTGTGACAAACGAAGAGTTGGACGTCCTGTGACAGCAACCACCAAGTTTCACAAGCAAAAGGTTGAGAAAATGATTCAGGACGATCATCGTATCACTCAGAGAGAACGCATAATCGGCGTTTACAGAAATTTACAGAAAACCCACACACACGGATATCTACATAAAAACTCCAACCATCACCCAAGTCAAAAAAGAAGCACCATTAAAGCCTTGGCAGACCGTGCAAAAGAATCTGCGAAGCCCACCTCCTCCAAGATGAACTGAACCACCTCAACTGGGCTCTCCAGGCCAATGGAGACTCCACCTCAGACATCAGAAGAGCTGCAAGACCAAGAACAAGCCACGAGAGTCAAGATGAAGATCCACCCAGAGGAAAAGTGTTCCTGCCATACATCAAGGGAACCACTGACCGCATAGGGAAGCTGATGAGGAAACACAACATACAAACAATCTACAAACCCACCAAGAAAATCCAACAAATGCTACCGTTCAGCAAAGGACAAGAGGGATCCTCTCACCTCTGCAGGAGTCTACCGTATACCATGCAGCTGTGGACAAGTCTACATAGGGACCACCAAACGCAGCATTGCCCAGACACGAATCAAGGAACGTGAAAGGCACTGCAGACTACTTCAACCAGAGAAGTCAGCATAGCAGAGCATGTGATGAACCAGCCTGGACACAGCATATTATTTGAGAACACAGAAATGCTGGACCACTCTCACAACCACCATGTGAGACTACACAGAGAAGCCATTGAAATCCACAAGCATGTGGACAATTTCAACAGAAAGGAAGAAACCATGAAAATGAACAAAATCTGGCTACCAGTATTAAAAAAACTCAAAAATTACTGCAGCAAAACAACAGAGGGGAAACAAACAGGCACATGAAATCACTCTCAACAAAAGATTCCCCCCAGGCGCTTCCAAGCCATTGAATGCAAATCAAGGTGATCAGCTGAAACATTCACAGCTAGCCCCAGCAAACAAAAGTCCTTTGTCTCACCCTGGTCATTCCACAGATATATAAACCCATTTTTCCTAGTTCCAACAGACCTCACTACCTCTGAGGATGCTTGCCATAGATGCAGGCGAAATGTCAGGAGAAAAATTGCCTCCAGAACATGGCCATATAGCCCGGAAAAACCTACAACAACCCATTGTGGGATTTTCTGCCTTGTTGTTCTGGGATATAGGGCTGTGTGGAAGGGCCCCTGGTGACTTGTAGTTCGGCGAGGCAGAGAAGGTGAAAGGCCTTGTAAAACACCTACCTGCTTGACTGCATTTCTGTGTACGAACCGACACGATCTTTTGTGTGCCACTGTTTATTGTTTATGTCATTTATATTAATTGTATTGTATTGATTGTTTTTGTTTATTGCTTTTGTTTATTGATGTACTGTTGGGCTTGGCCTCATGTAAGCCACACTGAGCCCCTTGGGGAGATGGTAGCGGGGTATAAATAAAGATGATGATGATGATGATGATGATTATTGTTGTTGTTGTTGTTGTTGTTATTATTATTATTATTATTATTATTACTATTACTATTACTATTATTATTATTATTATTATTCCTATGATGCCATTGCACTGGGACAAAGGAAGCAGGGCAAAGTGAGTGCAGGGATTCTATATGGCAGGTGCAATCTAAAGCTGGCCAGTAGGTGGCGCCCGGGCTCCACCTAAACAAAGTCTTCAACCAGGAAGTGCAAAAGAAGGCGTTCCATTTACAGCAAAGGATCTTACTCTCTTTCCAGTGTCCACACGTTTCTTGTTGGCGTGTGTTTATTTCGCCTTAAATCGACCCACCCCGGTGGAGATGCTGCGGGCAAAACACTCCAGAAGGATTCTTGATTCCCTTGGGATTATAGGCAAGTCTAGAATGCCTTGTTCCTTTCCCCCTCTGTGTGTGTCCCACTTCTTGAACCCTTTGGCTTGATCTCCATTGTGAAACCAATGCAGTTTGACACCGCTTTAACTCCCTGTGGCTCAAAGGGTCCTGGGATTTGTAGTTTGGAAGGCACCAGCGTAAGATGTCCGTGGCTTAAAGTCCTGGGATTTGTAGTTTGGAAGGCACCAGCCACAGTTCGGATTATAGCATAAAATGGAAATATTAATTGATTTGACTTCTGAACATATTTTGCTCCCATCCTTTATGGGGGGCTCTTGGGGGGGGCTTACAATTCAAACAGGATCAGGTGAGAACCCCAAGCAACAGCAGCCAGGCTTTGCAACTGCAAAGCTACTCAGCACTTATCGAGATGGCTAATTGCAACGTTCACACTTGCTTCAAATAAACAAGGTTATTTTTCCCCACCCTGGACATTATTCCACAGGTATATGTGTGCTCCATTTGCCTCACTTCCAACAGAAACTCCGAATATGCCATTAGTCATAGATGCAGGCAAAATGTCAGGAGAGAATGCTACTGAAGCATGACCGTACAGCCTGAAAAACTCACAGCAGCCCAACAACAGAATGCTTTTGAGTTTTTTGGGCTTAGCAAGAAGCAACTGGCTTAGGCATTGGATAGCTAACTTGAATCCCATTAGTTTCAATGGATCAAGTCCATTTGCATCCTCCATTTGCATTTGCATGCCTGCCAGCCTTTTCACTGACTGTCCTTCAATGTGTTTTATTGTCTTTTCCAAGGGGCAAGATGCCAACTCTGCCATTCCGGCCACGAATCGGCTGCTGAGATCCCCATGGGAGAGAAGTATTACCCGCTGTATCCAGGCCACATCCCCACCAACCTTCTGCAGAAAGGCTTGCTGTCAGCTGGCTCGGCCTGCATGGCGCTCTACAACCCCTACCGCCATGGTGAGACGGGCCTGCTTTCCCCTTTCTCCAGCTCTAAGAAGGATCCGAAACCGGGAACACGTCTAATATTATATGACCGACCTGTCATCAGCTGCTGGGAGCCAGGATGTATATATAGTCAGTGCTCTATGGATCAAGGCTATGGAAATCTGGGAGTTGTAGTTTGGCAAGTCTTTGGTAGAGAAGGCGACCGATCACTCCCAGAACTCCATAGTGCTGAGCTTTGGGAGTTCAAGTGGTGCATAGATGCACCCTGTGGCAGCACAGGCGCAAGGCATGATAATGATGATGATAATTTATTTATTTAAAATATTTATATGCCGCTTTTCTCACCCCAAAGGGGACTCAGAGCGGCTTATAAGATATATATACATACAGTATATTATATTATTAGCATAGTACAATATCAATATTATATATTATTAGTAATATTACATGTAATATATAATATATAAATATAATATTGTATTATTATTGGTATTATATTGTATTATATTATCTATATAAATAAAAATGTAATGTTCATTTGTGGGATTAACAGAACTCAAAAACCACTGGACGAATTGGCACCAAATTTGGATACAAGACACCTAACAACCCAATGTATGTCCTTCACTCAAAAATAAATGATTTTGTCATTTGGGAGTTGTAGTTGCTGGGATTTATAGTTCACCTACAATCAAAAAGCATTCTGAACCCCACCAACGATGGAATTGAACCAAACTTGGCACACAGTTGTCCCATGACCAACAGAAAATACTGGAAGGGTTTGGTGGGCAGTGTCCTTTGGTTTGGGAGTTGTAGTTCACCTACATCCAGAGAGCACTGTGGACTCAATGTTGGATCTGGACCAAACTCTACACGAATACTCAATATGCCCAAATGTGAACACAAGTTTGGGGAAAATAGAATCTTGACATTTGGGAGTTGTAGTTGCTGGGATTTGTAGTTCACCAATATCACAGAGCATTCTGAACCCCACCAACGATAGAATTGGGAGAAACCTCCCACACAGAACCCCCATGACCACCAGAGTGGGCCACAGCATTGCATGGCAGGGGACGGCTAGTAATATTATAAATGTTATATGTATATACAATATATTATATTATTAGTAAAGCACAGGAGACAAGATGGAACTGTCTTCAATTGTTTATTGACAATGATTGTGTTTATTGACACCCCGCTTTGTCTCTCCCAAAGGAGACTCAAAGTGGCTTACAATTAAAAGTATGACCACATTATTATTATTTGATACACACCAAGATTAGCACACAGCAAACAGGATCACTATGCTGGCTTTTGCATTTGATCACATGTCGGACCCTTCCCAAGTGTCTAGGACTGTGTGATGTATTGGCGAATAATGCGTGCAGATCCTAGTAGGGTGGCCTTTTGCAGCTGACAGGAGGTAATTTTGTCTGTGCCGATTGTTTTTAAGTGCTGGCCAAGGTCTTTAGGCACTGCACCCAGTGTGCCTATCCCCACCTTGCCTGGCTTGTGTCTTTGCAGTTCTATTATTAATATTACTATTATCATCAGCATATTATATATTATTATTATATTGTTTATTGATACATAACATCAAGAAACAGGAGTTTGGACTGAGTGGCCCACGTGGTCTCTTCCAACTTTATGATTCTCTCTTTCTTGCTCAGATATGGTTGCTGTCCTTGGAGAGACGACCGGTTCCTTTGCTCTGCGAAAACTCTGGCAGCGGATGAAGAACGACACCGAGGGATATCGGATCCTACAGTGAGCCAACTGGTTTTTCTTGATCCGTCAAGGTCACCTTAGGTGGATTAGTTGCCTCTCAATAGACTTTTCCACTGTGCAACCCTATCCTGTTACTTGGGGAGGCGGTGTGGACCGTTCAGTGCAGTTCAATGCAGATATTGTGGATTATCTGCCTTGATATTCTGGGTTATATGGCTGTGTGGAAGGGCCCCTCGTTTCCAGAGCAGCAGAAAGCAAGCTTTGAAATATTGAAACATGGCTCCCATGTCCCTTTCTCTCAGGCCCCTTCTTCACTGCCATATGATCCAGTTTATCAAAGCAGATAATCCACAATATCTGCTTTGAACTGGATTATATGAGTCTACACTGCCATATAATCCAGATTATCAAAGCAGATAATCCACAATATCTGCTTTGAACTGGATTATAGGAGTCTACACTGCTATATAATCCAGTTTGTCAAAGCAGATAATCCACAATATCTGCTTTGAACTGGATTATAGGAGTCTACACTGCCATATGATCCAGTTTATCAAAACAGATAATCCACAATACCTGCTTTGAACTGGATTATAGGAGTCTACACCACTATATAACCCAATTTATCAAAGCAGATAATATATGAGTCTACACTGCTATGTAATCCAGTTTATCAAAGCAGATAATCCACAATATCTGCTTTGAACTGGATTATATGAATCTACGCTGCTATATAGAGTTTATCAAAGCAGATAATCCGCAATCTCCACTTTGAACAGGATTATATGAGTCTGCACTGCTATATTTTTATCAAAATTTATCAAAGCAGATAATCCACAATATCTGCTTTGAACTGTATTATATGAGTCTACACTGCTATATAATCCAGTTTATCAAAGCAGATAATCCACAATATCTGCTTTGAACTGGATTATATGAGTCTACATTGCTATATAACCCAACTTGTCAAAGCAGATTTGATTTAACACTGCTATATAATCCAGTTCATCAAAGCAGATAATCCACAATCTCCACTTTGAACTGGATTATATGAGTCTACACTGCTATACAATACAATTTATCAAAGCAGATAATCCAGAATATCTGCTTTGAAAAGGATTATATGAGTCTACATTGCTATATAATCCATTTTATCAAAACAGATAATCCACAATCTCTGCTTTGAACTGGATTATGTGAGTCTACACTGCTATATAATCCAGTTTATCAAAGCAGATAATCCACAATATCTTCTTTGAACTGGATTATGTGAGTCTACACTGCTATATAATCCAGTTTATCAAATCAGATAATTCACAATCTCTGCTTTGAACTAGATTATGTGAGTCTACACTGCTATATAATCCAGTTTTTCAAAGCAGATAATCCACAATATCTGCTTTGAACTGGATTATATGAGTCTACACTGCTATATAATCCAATTTATCAAAGCAGATAATCCACAATATCTGCTTTGAACTGGATTATATGAGTCTACACTACTGTTTAGACCCTGCTTTATCTCTCCCAGAGAAGATTCAAGCCCAGTGTAAAACTGACTGTTGGTGTGTTTGCATTGCAGGGAGCGTCCTCGTATCCGTCTCTCCACGCTGGATATCGCCGGGCTTCAGGCACTCCCAGATGGGACCTTTGGACGGGAATATGTCCGCTTCCTAGACGATAACGTGAGTCTGAACAGGATTGGGATTACAGTATTCCCTCACTTTTCGTGGGTGTTATGCTCCTAAGTTGAACTCCAAAGTTTGGCCCATCCTGATATACATAGATACATGTTTTAACCTACAGAGTGATAGTTCATACGAAAACAGAATGTTTCTTTCCGATTGGCAGGGAGTCTCTCCGGACACGAGGCTGGCCGCCCGGTTTGTGGACGATGAAGAGCTGGCATACGTCATCCAGAGGTACCGCGAGGTCCATGACCTCATGCACACTCTCCTCGGCATGCCGACCAACATGCTTGGTGAGCTGGACGTCCTACCCATTTGGTGCACGTGTGTGTTGTCGTCCCCTTTCGCCTACTTCCCGAACCCAAGCTGTTATCGCAAGCGTTTGAGCCGGATTTACAAGATGGTTGGGAAACAGGATTTGCAGAGGATGGGACGGGTGTTGTGCAATCGGAGCCGAGTCTCCTCGTCCTGCCATGTGAAGAGGGAAGCAGGGATGAGTCAGTCTTTGTTTTGCCTTTTCTCCTCACATCTGTATCAGCATCAAGCTTGAGAGAAATGGGAAGAAGAGTGATGGTGATTCCCTGGTTGGGAGAATGGAGGAGGATTTGGTTGATTCCCTGTGTGAAAACAAATCTGTTTTAGAAGCTGAAAGGCAGAGAAGGGAGGACGGGAGGTTGGACAGAAAAGGGTTGCTCTTTTGAGAGGCAAAGACACCTTTATGAGTTACCTGGAGTCCTAAAACTGGGTCTAAATGCAAAATATGATGGGAAATAATAATAAAAACAACATGGCTAACTAGGATCTGCCTCCATTTTGTAACAGGGATATGCTTTTCATGTTGTTTCTTCCCAGGGGAGATCACAGTAAAGTGGTTCGAGGCCGTGCAGACGGGTCTGCCCATGTGCATCCTGGGAGCCATGTTTGGCCCTGTCCGTCTAAACACCCGGTATGTCCAAAAGCTGGGAAATGCAACTTGCATCAAGGTGTTTCTCCAAACAATAGCCCCATTTGTTGTTGTTGTTGTTGCTGCGTGCCTTTAAGTCCTTTCTTGCTTATGATGATCCTGCGTTAAAACCTGTCGTGGCAGAATTTGATCAGATTCGAACCCAACACACAAACTACTAAACCACACTTGCTTTCATTGAAATGAATTCCAGATGGAAGTATACATTCCCATACAAAACAATCTCTCTCTCTATAGCTATATCTATATCTATACAAATGTAATGTTAGTTTGTGGGATTAACATAACTTAAAAACCACTGGGTGAATTGACACCAAATTTGGACAGCATATACCTAACAGTCCAACGAGTGACCATCACCCAAAAAAAACACTGAAAAGCACAGTGGAAGACACTTAAAATGACAAAAACACACAAACATGCATACATATACATACACACACACACACACACACACACATATATATATATATATATACACACATACACAAACGCAAATATATATATATACACAAAAATATACACACACAAAAATTCATATACACAGACTGGGCCACAGCAATGCGTGTCAGGACGTATAGTACTTATATAAATAAAAATGTAATGTCCGTTTGTGGGTTTAACATAACTCAAAAACCACTGAGCGAATTGACACCAAATTTGGACACAAGACACCTATCAGGCCAACGAGTGACCATCACTCATAAAACACTGAAAAACACAGCAGAAGAGACTTAAAAAGCAAAAAAAAACCCCAAAATACATTACAATGTATGCGCAAAACCACACATATATACGCAAACACACATATACACATATATACACACACAAAACACATATACACAGACTGGACCACAGCAACACATGGCAGGAGACAGCTAGGATATATATGTGTGTGTATGTATGTGTGTGTGTGTATGTGGGCAAATTATGTCTGTCTGTCTCTTTGTAATACAAAGGCTGCTGCTAGGTGAAGTGACCCTGGTAAAGAAGGATGACATTTGTATGAGGAGGAAGGAAAGAAAAAAAGAAAGAAAGAAAGGAAAGGAGAAGGAAGGATGGGAGGAAGCGGAATAAAGAAGGAAGGATAGAAGAGAAAGGAAAGGGGAAAAATATGTGGGAAGGGAGGAAAGAAGGAGGAGGGAAGGAAAATAGATAGGGAGAAGGAAGTAAGGGAGAAAGTGGAATAAGGAAGGAAGAAAAAGGGAACGGGAAAGAAATGAGGGGAAGGAAGAAAAGTACAAAAGAGATGGAAAGAAAACAAAAAAGGCAAAAGGAGTAGGGAGGATGGTGGAAACTGAATAAAGAAGGAAGAGAAAAGAAAGATATGAGGTAAGGAAGGAAAGGAAAAGGAAGGAAGGAAAAAGAAAGCGAGAAAGAAGGCTAGGGGAAAGAAAAAAAGGAGGGAAGGAAGGAAAAGTAAATCAAGAAGGAAGGCTGCAGGGAAGAAAGAAAAAGGAAGGAAGGAAAAAGGAAAACGAGAAGGAAGGCTGCAGGGAAGAAAGAAAAAGGAGGGAAGGAAGGAAAGAAAAAGGAAGGAGAGAAAAAAAGAAAGCCAGAAGGAAAGAGGGAAGAAAGAAAGAAAAAGGAAGAGGAGAAAAGAAACGAAAAAGAAGGCTGGAGGGAAGAAAGAAAAAGGAGGAAGGAAGGAAAGAAAGAAAAAGGAAGGAAGGAAAAAAGAAACTGAGAAGGAAGGCTGGAGGGAAGAAAGAAAAAGGAGGGAAGGAAGGAAAGAAAAAAGGAGAGAAAAAGGGAGAAGGAAGAGGGAAGAAAGAAAAAGGGAAGGAAGAAAGAAAAAGGAAGAGGAAAAAAGAAAGCGAGAAGGAAGGCGGGAGGGAAGAAAGAAAAAAGGAGAGAAGGAAAGAAAGAAAAAGGAAAGTGAGAAGGAAGGCCCGAGCAAAGAAAGAAGAAGGACGGAAGGAAGGAAAGAAAAAGGAAGGAAAAAGGAAAGTGAGAAGGAAATGGAAACAAAAAGCGAAGGAAGGAAGGAAAGAGGTAGAGAAAGAAGAAAGGAGAGGAAGAGAAAGAGAAAGGGGGGAAGGAAAGAAAGAGGTAGAAGAAGAATGAAAGAAGAAAAAGGAAGGAAGGAAGGAAGGAAGGAAGGAAGGAAGGAAGGAAGGAAGGAAGGAAGGAAGGAGGGAGGGCAAATACATGCATATAGTTTTACAAGACTGTAAAGCAATACCAAACTGACGTTCTGAATAGCTTTGGAAAACCAGAACGTTTTTGTAATAGAGTTTTTCAAACCATAACGAAAGGAACAGCCTGTGTTATGGATTTTTTAGGGAAAAGTGGGCAAAAAAACCAGTTGATTATTGATAGTCTTATTGCTTTGGTTGGCAATGGCCGGCGCCGGGAGCGGTGAGTGAGAAGGGGCGAAACCAAGCCAAGGGTTTGGCCGGAGCAGGCATGCAGACCTTTCCTTCCTCTGATGCTCTTTCCTTCCTTATCTCTCCATCCAGGAAACTGAAGCTCCTGGCCACAGAGCTCGTCCCGTGGGCCGTCAGGAGCGGAAACAGTGCCCGATGCTTCTTGAACTTCTATTATGAAGAGCGCTGGGAGCAGCCGGTGGAATCCCTTCGCAACGAAATGGGCATCCTGCCGCTGCCGGCGGTGAAAGTCTGAGCCCAGGAACAAACCACAGACTTGGTTAGAAATGAGCAGATCCTGTGTTGGATCAATGGTGTATCCTGCTAAATCGTTCAGACGTTTGTCATGTCCGCTGCCCCGTAAGAGGCGGTCGTATTATAAGCAATGAAGTCTGTATTGTCAAAGGTTTTCACGGCCGGAATCATTGGAGTGTGGTGTGCTTTCTAAGCTGTACCACCAACGTCTTCGAGCAGCGTTTTCTCCTTTTTTCCTTTCGCCTATTGACATTTTACATGACCTGATGGTGGTCAAGCAAGTGGAGTACAGTGTTCCCTTGCTACTTCGTGGTTCGCTTTCTGCGGACTCACTGTTTTGCAGGTTTTTGGCTCCCGGTTTATGACTGGTTGCCGTGCTGATACGGCTGTACCAGGAGCTCCAACTTCATTTTCTTTCTATTAAATGTCTGCATGCATTCCAAGGTTTCAGGCATTCTGCAAAAGTGACTTCCCTTGGTTTGCAATTATAGGGCCAATGTCCCATCAATCATTGTTACGTTTTGGTTCCGCCCCTTTCCCCAGGGCCCTGGGAGGAGAGGGAGCCATTTTTAGTTCAGTCTTACAGAAGGAAATTAAGCTACAGGACGTGGACCAGCTCCACTTGCAGAAAAGCTTCATTTGCTACAGTTTCGGGAGAAACAGTTTTACAGACCCAAAGAACTCCAGCTGGAGAATCTACAAAGCCTTGACTGGTAGGTCTACTCGGGACCCAAGACGTAGTTTGGAACCGGTAGTAGGACCCACATCAGCAAAGCCTAGATAGTAGATTGCCTGGGAGAGGTTAAAAAAGGGTTTTCCTTTCAAAAGAAAAGAAACAGTTCTCAAAGCCAGTTGCCTGTCCCTTGTGGACAAGATAAAGAAAGCCACCAGTCATTTGTATGATTGTCGTTGAAGACTGAAGAAGTATTTGTTTTATGTATTGTCGAAGGCTTTCATGGCCGGAATCACTGGGTTTTTGTAGGTTTTTTCGGGCTATATGGCCATGTTCTAGAGGCATTCTCTCCTGACGTTTCGCCTGCATCTATGGCAAGCATCCTCAGAGGTAGTGAGGTCTGTTGGAAGTCGGAAAAATGGGTTTATATATCTGTGGCATGACCAGGGTGGGACAAAGGACTCTTGTCTGCTGGAGCTAGGTGTGAATGTTTCAACTGACCACCTTGATTAGCATTTAATGGCTTGGAAGTGCCTGGGGGGAATCTTTTGTTGAAAGTGATTTGATGTGCCTGATTGTTTACTCTCTGTTGTTTTGCTGTTGTAATTTAAATCCAACAAATGCTACATTCAGCAAAGGACAAGAGGGATCCTTTCACCTCTGCAGGAATCTACCGTATCCCATGCAGCTGTGGACAAGTCTACATAGGGACCACCAAACGCAGCATTGCCCAGACACGAATCAAGGAACATGAAAGGCACTACAGACTACTTCAACCAGAGAGGTCAGCCATAACAGAGCACCTGATGAACCAACCTGGACACAGCATATTATTTGAGAACACAGAAATGCTGGACCACTCTCACAACCACCATGTCAGACTACACAGAGAAGCCATTGAAATCCACAAGCATGTGGACAATTTCAACAGAAAGGAGGAAACCATGAAAATGAACAAAATCTGGCTACCAGTATTAAAAAACTCAAAAATTACAACAGCGCAACAACAGAGAGGAAACAATCAGGCACATCAAATCACCTCTCAACAAAAGATTCCCCCAGGCACTTCCAAGCCATTAATGCTAATCAAGGTGGTCAGTTGAAACATTCACACCTAGCTCCAGCAGACAAAAGTCCTTTGTCCCACCCTGGTCATTCCACAGATATATAAACCCATTTTCCTACTTCCAACAGACTCCGTCCCCGGCCACGCCTTGCTGTGGCCGAATCTGGTGATCTGGAAAGTAACGAGGAGGTGTTGATTTCTAATATATGTAATGTCTTTATGCTTGTGGGTAAACAGTATATTTTGTTGTTTCTTTGTCAGTGTTGATATAGAGATTGTCTGGTTTGCCAACCCTGAAACATGCAACATATCATTGTCCTTCTTCAGGGTCCTTTAAATATCTATGATACTATATCTCTGTGTGTGGAATCATATCTATCTATATCTATGGCTGGATGGCTCTTCGTCAGGAGGGCTTTGATTATGTTTTCTTGCCCTGGTGAAGGGAGTTGGACTGGATGGCCTTGAGTATTTTCCGTTGGTCATGGGGGTTCTGTGTGGGAAGTTTGGCCCAATTCTGTCGTTGGTGGGGTTCAGAATGCTCTTTGATTGTAGGTGAACTATAAATCCCAGCAACTACAACTCCCAAATGCCAGGGTCTATTTTCCTCAAACTCCACAAGTGTCCACACTTGGGCATATTGAGTTTTCGTGCCAAGTTTGGTCAAGTTCCATCATTGTTTGAGTCCACAGTGTTCTCTGGATGTAGGTGAACTACAACTCCAAAAATTCAAGGTCAATGTCCACCAAACTCTTCCAGTATTTTCTGTTAGTCATGGGAGTTCTCTGTGTCAAGTTTAGTTCCATTCCATCATTGGTTCAGAATGCTCTTTGATTGTAGGTGAACTATAAATCCCAGCAACTACAACTCCCAAATGACAAAATCATAATTTTTTGAGTGATGGTCACTCCTTGTGTTGTGAGACGTTTTGCTGCCAAATTTGGTGTGATTTCGTTCATTGGTTCTTTTGTTTTTAAGGTACTCATTATGCACAGAGCATTTATATATATATAGATTTTCCTACTTCCAACAGACCTCACTACCTCTGAGGATGCTTGCCATAGATGCAGGCGAAACATCATGAGAAAATGCCTCTAGACCATGGCCATATAGCCCGAAAAAACCTACAACAACCCAGTATTTGTTTAATTTGTTCAATAATAAAGGACTCTGTTAAACCTTTCAAGCCTCTAAAGACTCTTCCAGAGGAAAATCCTTAGGGCCTCTCTATCAAGGCACCCTGGCTTCCCGCTGGGCACAAAGTGCACGTCCTGTTCAAAAGACAATTACTACAGGCCCAACGCGTGACAGCACAGTTGCCATTGCCTAGGGCGGCGTTCTAACTCCGCCTCCTGGCAACGATGGAGTGTGGAAGGGGGAGAGGCAGCCAATCAAGAGAGATTGAAGCAAAGCAGAGATAGCGAGCAATTGCCTCACCCTCAGAACACAATATACATACAAGGGTTGAATGAAAAGTAATGCCTCCACCTTCATAACTCCTCAACAGATGGCAGTACTGGTATGAGGCAGGTACTGGCTTGTTCAGTAGACTCTCATCTACAGTTCCATTTTGGCGTGAAGCCTTAGCATTGAACGGTTGTGTTGTTACAGTGTGAAGTATGGAACCCTGCACAGACGGTTGGTCAATAATAATAATAATAATAATAAAACTTTATTTATACCCCCAATAATGGAATTGAACCAAACTTGGCATACAGGACTCCCATGACCAACAGAAAAAACTAGAAGGGTTTGGTGGGCACTGACCTTGAGTTCAGGAGTTGTAGTTCGCCTACATCCAGAGATCACTGTGGGCTTAAACAATGATGGATCTGGACCAAACTTGGCACAAATATTCCATATGCCCAAGTGTGAACACAGATGGAGTTTGGGGCAAATAGACCTTGACATTGGGATTTGTAGTTACTGGGATTTATAGTTCACCTACAATCAAAGAGCATTCTGAACCCCACCAACGACGGAATTGGGCCAAACCTCCTGTTACAGAGCTAAAATTTAGGGTCTTTGCCAGGAGGCAGAGACCAATTAGACTCATCAAAGAGTTCTTTTTCCCTGGTGAGACAGAGAAGCATCCCATATTTTTTCCTGATTTCCCAATGAAAAGTCTCACCAGTTGAAGAAAAGCCATCGAGGTTTAATGCGATTCAGCTGGAACGGATGCAAAGCTGCAATCATTCGCCAAAGCTAAGCATGAGGGGAGTACACCAATACAGTCATATTTATAGCAAATTCAAAGTTGCAGAGTTCAAACTCCCCGCCCCGGCTTCCCTGTTGTTCCCCGCCGTGATTGGGCAATGGGCAAACAGCTGGGAGGCGGCCCTCCTGCCCCCGGTGCCTCTGGACCAATCAGGAAGCTCCAGTGGTCCGTAGGATCCAATGGGGAGACCTCTGCCATCTGGTGGCAACAGCAAATCAGGAGAGAGAGAGGCAGGATGAGGGAACACAATAGAGTCTATGAGTGAGTTTTGAAAAAAAGGAAATGCCATGTGGCCTGCGAGACAAAGGAAAAATCTCAAAACAGGGCTAGTCTATTGTCCCTTGAGTGGCATGTGTGAGGAAAGACCAGATTTTTCCAGGCCAGCAAACAGGAAAACAATGAAGATAAGGCTGAAGTGATTGTTCTTTGATGAATATACAGTAAAATTTAATCAGTGCGGAGGTGAGGGCTTTCCTAAGGCCCACTGATCTCCAGATAGGGAAATGGCCAGGGGTCTGCCAGGGGGCAAACAGCATTGTTGGGCAAACCTCCGAAAACAAAGCCATCTGCCAGTCTATTTTCCATGCAAAGGAAACCGTGGATTAGGGTCTTTGGAATGTCTGGAGCTCTGCAATCCCTTGGTGGGATTTCCTCATGAGTATAGGGGAATAAAAGGTCAATAAAAAAGGGAAAAGCCTTTGCCACGAGGAAATCATGAAATATATATTATGTGTCCATAGTTCATATTATTCATAGGAAGGTCCATAAAGGGAAATATCGATGAGGGGGAAAGAGAGTCCCTTGTTTGTGAGATGGGGGACCCTCAGGAGCCCAGGTGTGCCTCAGGTGGAAAAATTCATATACTTTTGTGGCATGTTTTCAGTAATAAATTGGTTACCTTCTGCTATGAACATATGAAAATAGGGCATAAATAGGGAAGTTTTCAGCAGGTGAGGCAATACAGAACTTTACCGTATTCGGTTCGTGTTTGGTGTCTGAAAGCAATTTGGTCTTGAGACCAAAGCAACTTTATTGTTTTTCCTTCACAGCCGGGTAACCAACGATGGTGTTTCACAGCTCCAGAAACAGAGGCTCAGTTGCGTGCGGTGTTTGGTTGCAAACCTAGCCTGCAAAATCTGGCTGAACTGGTTTCTTGTCCCATTTACAGGTTCTATTTAAATCTGCCAAGTGGGTTTGCTTGCAGTGCCGAGCTATATTTATATTTTAGACTGGCTTGGGTCATTTGAAAAACTCAATTTTGTAATTGTACACAATGCATAAGGTTGTGGGTGAACTACAACTCCCATCATGCCAAGTTAACCCCGAAAAACTCCATTAGGATTTAAAGTTTGTTATGTTGGGCAAGTTTGCTCTGGATGCATCATTGGTGGGGTTTAGTGTCCTCTCTGGATGTAAGTAAACTACAACTCCCACCATGGTGAACCAGTCCCCTCAACCCCTCCAGTAGGTTGAGATAGTCATAGGG